CAACTGACCAGATATATATTGGTTCACTTTACTTTAACTACTACTGCAAAGTAACGGCAAGCATATACATATCTACAAGATTGCGTGCGAAATGACATTTGTATAAAACATTAATAGAACAAAATTATTTACCCTTTTATTAGCCTAGTCTTTAAACACAAGACGTTAAAAGGTTTTAAGTACCTCCGTACATCAAAGAACCCACTATGCTTTAATGCTTGATGATTTAAATAATTAATTAAAATCTTCAATGTATTAGTACCAGTATCACGTGTGTATCTTTCCTGTGATAGGTATACAGAGACTTACAAACGTTTGGTTTATTTTATACAAGTGTTTTAAATTCTTACCAATTATATGTGTATCTTTTTCACCTGCAGTGATGATAAAACCGTTGATTATAGCACCACATAATAGTCCCTTCCCTTTAAGATGGAAAATAAATAACATGAAAACAAAAGTTCATCTCCAGATTTTTGTTATTATTTATGAAAACTAAAAACATTATTGAGCATGTATGAGTATCTCACGTTATATACATATCAACTAATTTAACCTAGTCTTAGACACTTGCTACATTAAGGTTAAGGCGGTTGGCATCGTGACAACAATAACAATACTTACCTGACCAATGTTGAATGGTGTTATTTTCCTACAGATCCCCTAGAATTAAATGAGGGTGTTAATCGTGACTACTTAATATCATATTTAATTTTGCTGATGGTCACGATGGCATTGCCCATAGCTTCAATCTAACCGATATTTCGACATTTCTTTCCTAAGTGCTAATCCCATTGATTTAACCTAATATATGTTTATTCTTGTTATTCATGTAATAAAATATCAATATATTAAGAAATTTAAACAGATTTTGTTATTTAAAAGGTTTTTAATATATTGATACTATATTACATCAATAACAAGATTAAACATATTTTCGGTCAAACCAACGCGACTATAGCACCTTTGGCTAAGTTTCTATTTCTTTTATTTTTTATGAATACATTTCATATTGACATAATAATGTCAAAAAAAATGAAATAAACAAATGACGGAAATTATTATACATAAATATCATCCAGTAATGTGTACGATTATATAGAATTGTTGTAATATATTGTTGTTAATTATTATTATCATGTCGAATGTAATATATGGTTGTGTTAAGTTTTACTATGTATTCATGGAACTAATGAAATGGTCTGTTTATTGGAATATATGCCAAAAGATTGTTTCCATGGAATAATTGCAATTTCCAATGTACAGTAAGTGTGTACAGTTATGTTGTGACAACATATATTCTCCAAGCCTATACAATTTCATATAAGAAATAGTTACAAAGTAAAACATATGGAACGCCATAGCTGCCTTATATAAACACTTCTAAAGTTGTCATGTCCTTTTGACAGATAGTGCTGTGGTTCTGATAAATGGTTATGTGGTTTTAATAAATGGTGATGTCGTTGTGATAAATGGATTTGTAGTTTAAATAAATGGTTATGTGGTTTTGAAAAAATGTTATGTCGTTGTGATAGATGGTGCTGTAGTTTAAATCAATGTTGCTGTGGATTTAATAAATGGTGCTGTGGTTTTGATAATGGTGATGTCGTTTTGACAGATGGTGCTGTAGTTTAAATAAATGGTGCTGTGGTTTTGATAAATGGTGATGTCGTTTTGACAGACGGTGCTGTGGATTTAATAAGTGGTGCTGTGGTTTTGATAAATGGTGATGTCGGTTTGATAGATGGTGCTGTTGTTTCAGTAAATGGTGCTGTGGTTTTGATAAATGGCGATGTCGTTTTGACAGACGGTGCTGTGGATTTAATAAGTGGTGCTGTGGTTTTGATAAATGGTGATGTCGGTTTGGCAGATGGTGCTGTTGTTTAAATAAATGTTGCTGTGGTTTTGATAAATGGTGATGTCGGTTTGACAGATGGTGCTGTAGTTTAAATAAATGGTGCTGTGGTTTTGATAAATGGTGATGTCGTTTTGACAGACGGTGCTGTAGTTTAAATAGATGATGATGTGGATTAAATAAATGATGCTGTGGTTTTGATAAATGGCGATGTCGTTTTGACAGATGGTGCTGTAGTTTAAATAAATGGTGCTGTGGTTTTGATAAATGGTGATGTCGTTTTGACAGATGGTGCTGTGGTTTTGTTAGCTGGTGATGTCATTTTGATTATTGGTGATGTAATTATGTATATGGTGCTGTTCATTTTATAAATGGTTATACTATTTTGATGTATGGTGATGTTCTTTTTATAAATGGTTATACTATTTTGCTATGTGGTGATGTTCTTTTTATAAATTGTTATACTATTTTAATGTATGGTGATGTTCTTTTTATAAATGGTTATACTATTTTGCTATGTGGTGATGTTCTTTTTATAAATGGTTATACTATTTTGATGTATGGTTCTGTGATTTTTTATTACGATGATGATGATCTATTTATAGATGACCTGTTTGTTTACCGGAACATTTTGGTCGGTTAAGACGTTTATTTTCGCCAAATTTTATACACTCTGATCTGAGCTTCATCATATCTTGACTGTTATTTATCCCAAAGTATTTCATTTCCTGCAGAGATAACTTGCAGACAAAATCAGGCGTGATCTTTTCATTTTCAAACAATGTCCACCCATTCCAAGGTTTTTAAAAATTGATTCCATTGTTTTTCACCAGTTAAACATTTCAATTTTAATTTTAATTTATTAATCTCAGAGAAAAACATTTAACCCTTTCCCTCATGAGCATATTGTGAAAAATGGCCGTTTTCATTGAAAAGCCTCCTGTTACAAGGTCAACTGAGCACTATGGAACTATGAAAAATGCTTTGATACTGATGAAAATTAACACAATTGACTAGACAATAGCCTCTGTCTTAAATTTCCTGTAACATTGGCAACGGGGAACGTCTCAAAATTGCCAAAAATCACTCATTTCATTTTGCATTGTTTTTTTCCCATCAAAACAAACTGATTTCAAAGTGCTGCAACTACTCAATGGATTGAGATGGAGCAAAAGGCTTTTCAGCGTTGTCACATGTCCAAAATTTTCTTGGCGATGAGGGGGACTGCCGCCCCCTTCAACCCCCCCCCCAACAGAAGGGGGCACACAGCCTCCCTGGTCGAGGGGTTAGAGTCGATGACTTCTAATCCAGTTACCTCTCTGGCGTGGGTTCGATCCCCGGGAGATGCTTTGGTATTTTAGCACGGAGGAAGGTAGTCTAGTACTGGTGTTACTCTCCAGGAACGATGGTTTGGAAACTACCAGCCTATATGACTGAAATACTGTTGGGAAAAGGCGTAAAATGAAACAAACAAGCAAACAAAAAGGGGCCCATCCCCTTGATGTACCATATGGTTGGGGGCGGCGCCGAAAAAATGGTCACTTTTTTAACAACATTTTTCAAACAAAAAACAGTGTATAGGGTCTAAACAGGGCATTTTTGCCTTAAAAAAGGGGGGGGGGTGTCGACAAGCCGTCAAAACACGTCTATATGAGGAGGTTGCGCCATATTTTTCTCAGAAATAAGTAAATGACCATCTCCACAGTTCAGAAAGACATCACCATGTACAAAAATCACAGCACCATGTATAAAATGACAGCGCCATATACCAAAACAGTATAACCATATACCAAACGGCATAACAACATTTCAAAACGACATTACCATTTATCAAAAACACAGAACTATCAATTAAAACGACCTAACCATTTATCAAATCCACAGCACGGTCTATTGAAACGACATAAACATTTATCAAAATTACAGCGCCATCAATAAAAACCACAGCACCATCTAACATAACGAGATAACCATTAATACAATTAACAGCACGGTCTATTAAAAATTTAAAACGACATAACCATTTATCAAAATTACAGCACCATCTAACAAAACGACATAACCATTTATCAAAATCCACAGCACCATCTAACAAAACGACATAACCATTTATCAAAATTATAGCACCATCTAACAAAACGACATAACCATTTATCAAAATTATAGCAACATTTATAACAACCATAGCATCAACTAAAAGAACGACCTAACCATTTAACAAAACGACCTAACCATTTAACAAAACGACCTAACCATTTAACAAAACGACATAACCGTTTATCAAAATAGCAGCACCATCTATAAAAACCACAGCACCATCTATAAAAACGAGATAACCATTTATCAAATTCACAGCACCGTCTTTTAAAACGACATCACCATGTATCAAATTACAGCACCATCTTTCAAACCCACAACACCGTTTAACAAAACTACAGCATCATCTATCAATTCGACTTCGCCACTTATCAAAATGACATCACCATATGTAAAAACGACAACACCATCGATCAGTGCTACAGCACAATATTTCAAATAGACCTAACCAAGTATTGAAATCACAGCACCATTTATTAAAATGACATCACCATATATCAAAACGACTGCACCGTTTATAACATGACTGCACCATATATCTAAATTACATCACCATCTATCTAAACGACATCACCATATATGAAAATAACATCACCATCTATCAAAACCATAGCACCATCTATAAAAACGACATCACCATTTATCCAAAGGACATCAAGACTTGATAAGAGTCAATATAAGGCAGCTATGGCGTTCCATAAAAACAGCAAGTAAATTTATACATCGGTTTATGAAATGATAAAGCATCTGTCTTATGTCCAGATGTGATGTTTTAAGAAAGTCCAAATATACTTGCATATCTTTTCTGAAGATACGGTATCATTATCATTATATTAGAAACCCCAGATAATGTGTTACAGGCATTTCAGATAGTATTTGTGATACATCACGGGTCAAATGCTTCTGATTTTGTTTGAGCCATTTTAAGGTACGAGGACCAAAAATCGGACGAGATTGAAACTGTTGAAACAATGAGTTTGCTTTCAGAACTGCTATAAAGTAAATCAGTTGTAATGCAGTTTATCATTTCTTTAAACGGGATCAAGGAAACACAAAGTGGATTTTTATTAGCTTTTATTAGGTACTTAACAATCAGCAACAAATAAATAACCATATTCAACAATAGCACTTTATACATGTAAACATTTTCATAGTAAATAGTTAAAAGTCTAAGTTGTAACAAGCAAGTCTGCTTCTAGATCGTCTGCTCGTCTTCTGTTTCTCTCCAGCCGTCCAAGACTTAGATTTTACCCGGAAATGACGTAACTCGGCTGCATGGTCCTCGTGTAACATGGGCTTGTAGCTGATTGGATCACATAGTTCTGGAAATTTGTAAAAGAACGCCTTGTATCCCCCGTCAAGTAAGTAAATCTCGGGATAGTTCAAATGTGGGTAACTGTCTTTGTTCATCTCACGATCCTGACTTCTTAAGAAACGATACCTGAAAATGTACATAAAGAGATATTAAATACATCATTCATAATTTGCATAAAACTGAAAAATTTGACCACAACAATATTAGATATATCAGAAATGCAGACTGCTGTTTGTTGAGAGATAACATCCTTATGCACAGGCTATTTAAAGCGGTATATAGTCTTCATTTTTTTCTTCTAATGTAATAATAATGTAAAATTTGTTGAGATAAAAAAGGATAACTTACATTTTTGGACCTCTCTCAGACGAAAATTCACAGTGAAAGATGAGTACACGTGGTTTTTCTGATGTAGATGTTTCTTGAAGCAATGTATTGACAGCGTCTTTTGTATAGAGGTTTACAGCTCCGCGGATATGACCTCCCTCAAATTCGTAAGGATACCGGCAGTCGACAATGGTAACGTTCCCTAGCTGTTCTATGTATTTCCCCTCCACAACGTCCGCCATAGTTTCAGTTGAGATTGACTTAAGGTCGCTATGTTTTCCGGGAATGGTTGGTAATGTGTAAGAACGACTTCCGTCTGCTACAAGTTCACGTGATTCTAAACGTTCAACAGCTTCGATGATGTTATTGGAGTCCTGAAACATAAATATTTTAAATGAAATAAAAAAATTATTTTCTCTAAAATACTAAATATATAAATAATTTTATTAAGGAATACGGAACGATTCAACCGCAATATAGATCTATATTAATATTTCGATTGTAATAACTAGGATACTTGAGGGAATTCATTTTGCCCTTTTAAGACTTCTGTACAAATTTTTTAATATCCATGTACTTCGGAAATTATGACTTACCGAAACACAGTCCTTCGATTTCTTCGTTGCAGGAGACTCTGCTTCAAGACTGTCGTCTGCCAGTCGTTTTCCAGAAAACAAGCTTCGTCTGGCGTCTGACACTTGGCGTCTTATGGAGAAACGTGATGGAATCTTTATCTGTAAAATAAAAATGATGCATGAATAACATTGCGATTATATGACGGGGAACTGGTGTGTGACATTATATATCAAATCGTAGTCGTGTATTGTTTGCATTGCATCGAAAGATTACATATTCGCAAATACTTACATGTTGAATTTTTCATTACAAAACCATTATCAATATCTTCTGTGAAAGAACTCCTTTAGCTCTACTTCTAGAATAATCATGATATGTAAAAAAAAATACATACATGTAACTAAACATGACTATTTACTAAAAGAAATTATTTCACTCCTAACTGAATTCCCTTTTCGTTTATTATTAACATTTCACAGAAGAAACGAAATAAAACTCACCGAAAACTCGGCATCTGAATCAGCTTCTTGTTTGTCCTTTCCATAGGGCGTTATTACAGCCTCGATCTCATCCCAGATGTCACCGGAAGTTGTCTGCATGGGAGATTCGTCAGCGGTCTCAAACAAACGAAGTCTGAAAGAATAAGAAAATTGATCAGTAATAATATTTAATTATCAAATGTATATAACTCTGTTACTATTGAGTTAACTGTATAATAAAACATGATAAACATGTATTTAAGATTGACATTATATAGAGTAATAAAGTTTAAAATGCAATATATTGATTTCTTGTGTATATATTTAAATAGGAAAGATATGCTACATTTATATCGTATAATTTTATTTAAAAAAAAATAACTTACCGTAATGCCATTTTCTTTGGTTTCTGTAAAACGTGAAATTGTAAAATATAGAGTATAAATAAAATTATCTGTTGTTTTTAACTGTTGAAGAAGGAATGGCTGATTTCCAAAAAACAGATTTCTTATATACGTTTCAGTTAGAGTTAAATGCCCCAGTACTCGTAATTATTAACTAATACTTTAGCTTCCGATACAGCTTTGAGCTGATTTTGTCTAAGCAATAAAAAGTTAACAAATACTGTGAAAAACATTTCCGTTTTCCTGTCTTCGCAACTTCTTAATTACAATTGTAAAACGGACATTTTTACACCTATGCATTTTCCGGCTTGTGTGACAAAGTGAACCGGATTTTGTTAAATGATAATACATAGTATCGTTGTTTATTTTATTAATTGCAATTTAAACGGAACTTGATTTCTGTTTAGTTCAATTCATAAAAGAAAGAAATTAACTTGACATAATTGTATTTTAAATACCAAAACATTTACTTAAATTCCAAAAATGTCTCTTATTTATTAATTTGTTTAAACTTAACATTTTTTAACCATATGTTATCGTACTAAATACACAGCAGTTGAACTGAAAAATATGGTGCATAACTGTTTTCCTAAGTATAGTTGACAGAAAACGGAAATTAAAAAAAACAATATCTTAAATCCATGTATTTAGATGTTCTTATGCTTATACTTTTAGTTGCTTTAATATCTTAATTCCATGTACTTTAACGTGCTTATGCTTTTATTTTTTAGCTGCTTTACTTCTGTTATAAATACATACATTTGTATGAGTTATTGTTTCTCGGAAAATAGCTCACGAGCTAGTGTTTTCTGTTTAAATGTATCCGACGTAAAATAAATTTTCTTGTATCTTGTATAGATTCTATTATTATTATTATTAAGTTTTTTTTATATGTTATATTTATTACTACTATCATTTTTTTTATACATTACATGTAAATGTATCAATTTTGTAAATATGTTACGATGATGTACCTTTGGTACAAATCTAATAAAATATATGTTCTTCTCTGCTAGAAACTTTGGGAAATTGAGCTAATTAAATGTAGATTCGGACGATAGTTTAACTTACGCACAGATCATCGTTTAACTTACGTACAGATCATCGTTTAACTTACGCCAGGGAAAGACTAAAAAAGTTCACAAAGTTGAAAGGGAGAGGACATGGTGTTATACATAAGCAACACTGATTGTTTCGAACACTATTTATTTTAAAAAGTACAAATCATTATGCATCAAATGCTAGCCGCTTCTTACCCCATAAATAGCCATAAACCATATAAACAAGTAACAACAGTTCATAATTAGTAACAATGTTTGGCGCACACTCTTTAATATTTTGGCTGAAATATTTGTAAATATAGTGCATCAAGATGATGAACATTTTATAAATCTTATATTCTTTACACAACTTTTTAACGTCATTACCAGCTTCATTAGAATACATAGCCATTGCCTAAATAATGTCGTAAACATATGATAAACGTAAACATATGATAAACGTACTAAAATTTTTAAAATGCATGAAATTTTGGTAAAAATCATGTTCATGTTTACAATAAGAGAGACAGTTGTTTGAAGATAAAACTAAGATTATACATAAACTATGTAGGACATGACTGACTTTCAGATGATAATTAACTAACAAAACAAAAATGAGTAATCTACAAATAAACAACCATGTATTTGGATGGACTCATCGTATGTTGACAACAATCAGTGTAATTAAACAAGAGGGCCATGATGGCCCTCAGGTCGCTCACCTGTATATAGCCCCCCCCCGGGCCAATTTTTACCCAAGGGCTTTTATTTGAACAGACTTGGTAGACACCCATAAGAAGATGTTTCATGCAAAACATCTAAGTTCTAGCTCATTGGGTTTTTTAAAAGAAGATTTTTTAAGTTTTTACTATACACATATAGTTAAAAACAATGACACCCCTCGGGCAGGGCCAGTTTTGACCCCTGGGCTTTTATTTGAACAAACTTTGTAGATATTTACTTAAAGATGTTTCATGCTTAATATCTAAACTCTAGTTATTTGGGTTTTTTCAAAGAAGATTTTTAAGTTTTTGCTATGTATATAAGGAAAATCAATGACCCCCGGGGCGGGGCCAGTTTTGACCCCAGGGCTTTTATTTGAACATACTTGGTAGACACCCATTAGAACATGTCTCATGCTAAATATCTTAGCTCTAGCTCTTTGGGTTCTTTAAAAGAAGATTTTATAAGTTTTTACTATATGCATATAAGGAAAATCAATGACCCCCTGGGGAGGGGCCAATTTTGACCCCAGGGCTTTTATTTGAACAAACTTGGTAGACATTCACTAGAAGATGTTTCATGCCAAACATCTAAGTTCTAGCTCTTACGATTCTTTAAAAGAAGATTTTTTAAGTTTTTACTATATGCATATAGGGAAAATCAATTACCCCCCAGGGCGGGGCCAATTTTGTCCCCAGGGCTTTTATTTGAACAAACTTGGTAGACATTCACTAGAAGATGTTTCATGCCAAATATCTAAGCTCTAGCTCTTTGGGTTCTTTAAAAGAAGATTTTTTAAGTTTTTACTTTATGCATATAGGGAAAATCAATGACGCCCTGGGGTGGGGCCAATTTTGATCCCAGGGCTTTTATTTGAACAAACTTGGTAGACATTCACTAGAAGATGTTTCATGCCAAATATCTAAGCTCTAGCTCTTACAGTTCTTTAAAAGAAGATTTTTTTAAGTTTTTACTATATGCATATAGGAAAAATCAATGACCCCCCGGGGGCGGGGCCAATTTTGACCCAGGGCTTTTATTTGAACAAACTTGGTAGACACTCACTAGAAGATGTTCCATGCCAAATATCTTAGCCTAGCTCATACAGTTCTTTAAAAGAAGATTTTTAAAGTTTTTACTATATGCATATAGGGAAAATCAATGACCCCCCGGGGCGGGGCCAATTTTGACCCCAGGGCTTTTATTTGAACAAACTTGGTAGACACCCATTAGAACATGTTTCATGCCAAATATCTAAGCTCTAGCTCTTAAGGTTGTTTAAAAGAAGATATTTAAAGATTTTTCTTTCGGTTGCCATGGCAACCAGAGTTCTGCATGGAATTAAATTCTTTGAACAATTTTTTAAGGTGACCACCAAAGGAACATTCCTGTGAAGTTTGGATGAAATTGGCTCAGTGGTTTATGAGGAGATGTCATTTAAAGCAAAAGTTTACGGACGGACGACGGACGGACGACGGACGGACGGACGGACGCCGGACGAAAAGCGATCACAAAAGCTCACCCTGTCACTTTGTGACAGGTGAGCTAAAAAAAGAAATAAAAGGAAACAATTGTGAAATTCTTATTTCATAAATGATGTTTGCAATAATGTAGAATTGTTGTAATATTTTGTTATCTTTTTCACATGTTGTAAGTCATATTTGGCTGTGGTGGGTTTTACAAAGAAGTGTACCCAAATGGCCTGTATCTATGGAACAAATGCCAAAAGGCTGTATTCATGGAATATTTGCGATCAATGATTGATAGTTTCCACAGAAAATATGTCCCGTATATCCATTGAATCTATTGTATTAAATAAAATGTGTCCATAGAAAACAAGTAATATAATAGACTATATCCATGGAACACTTTGTATTAAAATTGTATCAATGAACAAAATGTTGTCTACAATGAATTTAAATCCATGGAATACAGATGAGATGATTCTGATACTGTATATAACATATACTTTACAACGGACCATATCCAGATGTCATCAATGCACTTTCCTGAAATATACAAAAAAATGAAATTGTTAAAGTTATTACCAATATGAAATATAAATATATAAAAAGCCTGTAAATAGTTGATCAAGTTTGATTAAGTATTAAATCTAGCCCCTTTTGTAAATAACTGTGGTACATATTGTTCATCTCTTCATCATTTTTATTATAAGTTTGCCAGTTTATAACGGGAAAGATTTTGTTTTGTTTTTTGTTTTTTTGCAGTGTATATTTACAAGATTTAAATTTTCCTTTTTTTGAAATTTAATTTTACATTATCATATCTTTTGTTTGTGACATACATAAACATATGAAATGATTTGGGCATATGTGGCATTCCATAACGTAGACATTAATGTAGCAAATGAAGGACAAAGCTAGGATAATAAAGACAACTTGCCAATCTATAACATTGCAAAATTTGGTGCACACGTGTATATTAAATGGGCATTATATATTCTATTGAATTATGGAATGGGAAGGATTTTGTTAATGTGAAAAATGAACATTGTGAATTACTTCAAATATCATGACAGTGATAAAATAATTAATTCAACAAACATTGAACTTTTACAAAGAAAATAGCACATAAAACATTTCAAAGTAAGAATTTATGTATCACTATCATATATTCATGTTTACTGTCCTTAAACATATATATATATTATAAATTAAGCAATTAAAATTTTGCATAATTCTGCAAAATACATTATCATCCAGGCATTGCCCTAGTCAAAATTAACAGTGGCAAGTAGTTCTTTCTGTGATCAAGAAACTATACACTCATTGCTTAGTATTGGTTGCTTCCAGTTTCGGTTTCAGAGTAATTTAATAAGCTTATAGCGTCCAACAAAATCCAATAAAACAAATTCGTGTAAACTAAAATTAACAAATTTAACTGAATTAGCAATGTAAATGCCTTCCTTTAAAATAAAGAGTGAAGTAAAATGAAAATGAAATCAAATTCATTTGAAAAACAATGAAAATAAAACTGACAAAATGTGAACATTAATTACAACATGTGATAAGGGTAGTAAGTATGGCACACATAGACAATCGTTTGGTACCCTAGAAACTCCTAACCTCACGCAGGGGTCAGTAATGGACTCTCAATACTGACAATGTACATCTATAAAACAATAAAATACTTCATTATGTGTGACATACAATGTATATCTAAACACTCATTCAATAGATATAATTCTAAAATGTGTGACCTATCTGTGGGCAGGGCACTCCACTTTTCTTAGTGCTGGATAGTTATATAAAAAGCAACATAGAAATCGGGGCATGACTTTGCAAAAGAAATAATTTTAGGATTATCTCATTTGAAATGACATAATTTAATGACAATAAACATGTAAACCAAGTTTGAAGTGAATAGCTTTGATAGTTTCTGAGGAAATGTGACTAATTAACAAAAAAGTTAACCAACACACACCCCACCGACGACGAAAGCTTTGGGGGGTTTTTTCTTTGAAAAGAGGAGCTAAAAAATCTTCCTATGCATTTCCCCATCCTCTTCGATCGCCAAACCACCAACCAGATCTTTGGAACACTAATATTTAGAGATTATTATACCTTTTTCCCCAAAAGAATTTTCAACTTTTACTTGAAAATTTAATACATTTGTATACTTGTTTAGGCATTAGATTATGTAAATACTGAGAAAAAAATATTTCTTACCATAAGCTCATAAAATGTTTTTTCCATGAGTTCTTGGAAGAAGCCTCGCTCTTTCTGGAAAATGGAGTTATTGGTACCTTGCTTCTTGTATTTGGTTTCCAGCACATCAAGAACAAAATTGTTCATTGTCTTACCGGAGCTTGGATTCCGAGCCTTGCGATAGTCAGCTAACTTACCCACTGGCTCTAACAGATATTCATAGATCTGAAAAAGAATAATAACATTCAAGACATGAAAAAAAACTCCACTGAGGTCCAAAAGCCTAAAAACATAAAATATTAATTTTTAGTTCTGCTAAAATTGTTCATTTTACAAAATCCTGACAAATAATGCCTGATGCCTAGCCACCAACATTCACCACTCTAATAGCCAGAGTTTTCTGTTGGAAAATCTTTGTAATAACAAATAGTTATCCTTAATTAACCAGGACAATGTGTCAATATGATCTTAAATTCAGACATCATGAGCAACAAACTTCAATTGCATGTAAGGGTCTAAGTCACATTGACCTTGTACGTAAAATTGGTTTCGGACCAATAACTCAACAACTCAAGTTGCCTGGGTTATATAGCAAATTTTACATCGCATTTTGTAACTTATTAGACAAAATGGTAAATTACACTATAGTGACTACAGCACAATAACAATGTTTAAACTCTTATTCAGCTAAATGTCGTACATCTTCAATATAGACGAAACTATTAGGCATTTTGGGTAAAGATTTAGAGAATACAGTAAACTCCACTAATAACAATATTGCTTATAACTATATAACAATGCTGTCACCGTGGTCCCGACTCTTGTTTACAAATTGGTGCCTCTCGGATAAAACGATATCCAGATATAATGATATAAATTTGGACATCCCCTGAATATTGTTATATGCAGTTTACTGTATACCCACTGAAAAGTGAATAGTGCAGACCATGATCATACAGTACGCAAATGACAGCTGATATTAGTCTGCACTGGTCACATGGTTAGAATGAGTCACCACAAGCAGGTTTAATGTAAAATACTCACAGGCAGTTCTGGTATGTCATCATAATCAAAGTGAGCATCCCACAGTGTTAGGTCCATACTGCCTGCATTCTGTACATAAAAAAACGTTTCAAATGTGAGTTAAATCAACATTTTTTAATTATATAATATCATACTGTCAAACAAGTCTGGAAAAGTGGTTGTGACCCTTTGGCACAAATGGACAGACAGAAAAATAGTCACTGGGCATCCATGACCACGTGGTTCAGACTGTTGACTTCGAACAACTTGCACCATTATAGGACTGGATTTTTTTCATACGAAGAAGATATCCAGCTAGCAATAATGTCATTTGCTGCAAAACATCCATGGTTCTACTCAGGTGTGAAATAATGCACTGAGGGACACCTGAGGACTTCTTCCGCCAATAAAGCTGGAAAGTCGTCATGTGACCCCCCCCCCCCCCCCCCCCCCCCCCCAAAAAAAAAGACTAAAAAATGAACATAGATCAAGTAAACAAAACAAAGAGCAATAAGATGACAACATTTCTTTTTTATCGTTAGTTACATTACAAGAAACTGGGGATATAGTAAAAATTATCATACATATTTAGTCCTTGCGGTCCAGTTCTGTTGTTGCAGGACCTGTTCACATGGTAACATGGTCAGTTGCTGTAGGATCTCAGCTGATGGTTTCCCTTTAAACACTGGAACATGATGATTTCCTACCAGTACTGAGTTCCTGAAAAAAAAATTACTTTTATGTAATAATTATTGGAGATATGAAGTCACATAAAGACATATCAAAATAAGTTATATTACTTTTACCATGCTAGATATCTTGGACCTGTCCATCTTCAATTTGGACAAAACAATTTGTCATTTAACTAAACTTGCCAAAACCTTACATTCTGTTAAAATCCATAAAACAGTGCCTTGTAAACATTACTAGCACTTTATTTGCATATTTTGAGATTAGATGAGACACATTCCAACAAAAATGCCCCAAAAAGCACAGTACAACCCTGTTCAAAACAGATGTAAGAAACTTTTAGTTCTGGAAACCTATATCACCAACACTGTGGGTGATATATTGTGGATGATATGGATTTTATCACACAAATAAAACTCAGTATTTCACTGGTTAGTATAATTTGTTACATATGCAGAAAGAAGACATACAAATACATTTATATCTTGTGAACTATAATGTGTGACATATGCAGACTTAAGGAACATAAATCTATATTGTGATCCATAATTTGTAGCATAATTATGCAAGAAGTAAGCATTATAAATCTATTATGTGAGCTATCCAATGTGACATATAAATCTATCTTATGATTCATAATTTGTGATGTATGCAGAATAAAGTAATATAAATAAATCTTGTGAATTATAATTAGGGATTAAACGATGATCGAGTATAATCGAAAATTGATCGTTTATAGAACCGATCAGCGATGATCGATTACAAAGTTTAATAATCGATTATCGGTAATTTATTTTCTTGCTGTTACTTAAGTGACTCACTGTATTATAACAACACTAAATTAAAGCCAGCTTTGGTTGAAACAATAATTTTTATTCAATTGAATATGAAAGTACATGTATACTTGTGACCATGGAGTTAATAGATGACTGTGAGGCATGCTAGTTTAAAGGTATACTATGCTCAGATTTGACATTAAAGAATATTGAAATTGCTACACAGTCTATTTGTAAATATAAAAATGTTTTGACTTCACACAAAGAAGATATGTTATGTATAGAATTATTCTACACACTAAAGGTGGTTGCAATATCAATATATAGTGTCATTATAAAAAAAAATGGCAGTTTTGTTAAGAAAGGACCAACTTAACTTGTTCCCATACATAGTTTGTTCATTGCTTTTTGGAAGTGAGACATAATAATTTCATAGATTTTAACGAATTTATTTGATAAAAATATTTTACTCAAGGATGAGCAATGTATATCTTTATTAATAAACTAATTTATTTCAGTTGATAAAGTGGTGGTTACATGGAAATGGAATTCTTATAAATATTAAAGCATGATATGAACATTGTACATATTTACTTTGTTATAGTAAATGTTTCGATTATATAATCGATGATTGATCAAAAAGGGTGGTTCGATTATTTTCGATGATCGATTATGAGTTTTGTCCGATTATGAAACCCTAATTATAATATGTAAAATATGCAGAAGTAAAGAATATTAATCTATCCTGTGACATTAAAAGCTACGTGCCTCCAGATGAGCAAAAATATTTCAAGAAAATTAAACTTGAGCAAAATGTATTAATTAAGATTTGAAGAAAAGTATAAAGATTCAAGTGGTAATTTACATTTCATGTGTGATTAACGACTGCCGTATTTATTACAATATTTCTACTGCATGACTAACACAGTAAATGCTATTTTTGCATTTTTAAACTCTTTTTGGTAATTTACAGTGATTGTAAGTGCCATTTGCACAATATTTTACTTTGAAATACATTTTCAAAATTTTCATCGAAATTAGCATGGATCTGGAGGCATGCTGCTTTAAAAACATTATTTTGGGTTTTTATAATCTGACAAAAATCTATGTCAGGAGTTATTTTGGTATCTTTTTAACATAATTCTCTGTTACCATTTATCTTTCTATAAATGGTAACTGTAACATTGAGTCATATGAATGATACAGTGTAGACAACAAAATGATATCAAACCATAAAACTACATTTTACTATAAATAGAAAATCCAACTACATTGTGTAAACATAATTGCATGCCATTAAACAACCATTATAAGAATTGAACTATTCTATTATCTTTTTTTAAAAAAGAAAGAAATGAGAACTGAAAAATATTTCAAATGAAATAAATTCTGTGTATAACATATAAAACATATACTGTAACCTCTGCAGATGAAGATGAGAGGTGTTACTCTAGTGAGAGGTTAACTTAATTGTAAATTCTTACTTTTGATGTACAGAGGTTAATGCTCTGCATGCCTTTTCCCAGGGTCACTACCGGTCAGATTACCAGACCCATTCCCAATGGCAAATATGCTTATTTTTTCCCAATCTTTGAAAAAAATTCCTAATGAAACTAAAATTTTTGATATCAAAACTGACAAATTTGCTGGAGTACATTCCAGTATAGTATCAGACAGATGTTTGCACACATTTCATTGTCAGTTATTAATGTGTTCTTCATGCTTTAAATGATATTTGCATTGGCTAGAATAAACAGTTTTGCACAGTTCAAAATACTCTGCCAAAACAGCATGAAGGAGGTTTCAAAAGGTACCAAATATTTTTCCCAATTAAGCAATATTACAAGTTTGCCACACAAAATTTCCCAAACTGGGCAAGGTAATTTTTCCCCAAAATGGCTAGGGAAAGGACAGCGCTCAACAGAGAGTCAACCTGTAGATGCTGTGCTGTATGCATCATTAAAACTTCCAGCACTCTTATATTCTCAGTGCTTGATAGCAATATCATGTAGGAATTTACAAATAAGATTTTGTTCAGAATCCATGCAAGATTATTGATCATCAAAAATTCATAATTTTGATGCAAAAGACATCATATTTCTAGTGAAAACCTGCAGGGGATAATGAGATATGAAGATGAATGTATAACCTTTACTATCTGTTAATACCGACACTAAACATAAGTATGATAGCCCTGCTTTTTGGCTAAAAATAGATTCCTTTATTCAAACCAGGAGATGATTCATTCAAATTTAACATGTAGTTATTGATTATAAAGAAGAAAGAAGACTGAGAGAAATAGTGTTACAACTATATATGACTACAGAAAAAGGTCAAATAGTTTGTCATATAAATAAAGTTTTATAATATAAAATAGTTTATCTATGTGACAGCAAGAAGATTTCCTTCAAACAGTGTATCTATTTTACAACACACAATAACAAAATGAACACTCTAATCAACATCTTGTGTTCTTATCTTACCATGGGACAGAGCCAAATTTATTTCTGTAAAATTTAATATTATCTTTTATAGGTGTATGATAAATATAAACTATAATAATTTTTTTCTTATAGATAAGACTAGCAAATAATTATAATAACCAATAAAACATTTTTTGTGAAATCTTTGCCTATACATTGTTTTATGAACAGTAAGAAAATTGATTTTGGTTTTCATTAATTTATTGTCTGCATTAATGCACTTAACATCACGAAAACTGGTGACTCAAGAGTATATGTATGACGGATGATCATTTTGTAACATATTTTTACCAGTAATCATTTTAACAAAATCTGATGTAGTATGTATTCAAAGTCAACAAAATGTTGATCAATAAACAAAAGCTCAACAGTAAAATGCTCAAAACCTGCTCTGTTAAAAAATTTATCCTGTCATTTTTGAACAAGTCCTTATATGAATTTGGACTATTCCATAAGTTTGTGTACAAATAAACAAAAATCAAATAGAGCAACAAACAGGTATAGAGCCAGATAAGCAAACTGGCTTCACTTAAAACTGGTGGCATAGTCCTATTATTTTTACTGCTACCCCTTTAAGAGTTAATACTTATTCATGTTATAACTGACATAATTTCAAACAAAAACAAACATAAAAAGAAATCCTTTAAAATCACACAAAAAATTCTTTGCAGTGCTTACTCTAAACTAAAAATTTCTTTTATTCCCTTTTTTACTCTCCAACTTATAAGCTGATACAGTATACAAGTTATCTCTCTATTTTTATCTGTTCACAATTATATTAGCAAAAGAAGAAAAAATTATTTCACTTGAGCACATCGTATCACATAGCTTCCTGAAAAAAAATCTCTTAATTTCTAATACCTTTCCATACAATTTATTATAAACTTAACTAAAGAGGAAGTTTTTTCTTCAGAAACAAAGAGAAAAGAAAATTCAAAACAAAAGATCTGCCCTCTAATTAAAAAGTAAAATATCATTGAAAGAAACAAAGTAATGCATAGAATACCGTAGACAAGATAAAAGTTTATAAAATGAAAGATGTAATTTAACTACAAAGTAATGATGAAATGTATAGCAAATAAAGTTTCAGTACATCTATTAACTCACCCTTCAAACATTGGCAGAACAGCCCATCCAATGATGCGTGCTTCGTCCTCCAGGGAGAGTTCGTTCCCCTTGATATCTGTAACAGTACCAGGTTCTCTATGGTCAGGTTTAGGATGGTATTGTACCTCTAACCCAAACAGTTGTATCACCAGACATGAGTTCTGGTCATAGAATGGATGCAGATGCTGTAATGATGTAACACATAAAGTTATAGGAGCTATGATAATCTTGAGTGGTACTAAACATCTTACTGAAAGTTTTGCACAACAAATACTTTATCTTAATATTGAGAATAAACTTTAATAGCTGATTGGTTGATTCACAAATGAAATTTGCAATTTACCAATGGATATGTTGAGTTACATTGATCTCTATAGGTCAGCATCATGACCTTTTTTTCTTGGATTGTTTACATGTCTTTAATAAAGGTCTTTTAAGAAGAAAAATACATGTATCTGAAGTTACCCTCATTTTTCCATTTATCACCAAAATCAGAACTGCTGGTGAAAACCCCTCTTTAAATTAGGATACAGATGTGCCTGTTTATTGAGACACAAGCAGATTTACATAATTATTGCTTGAATCGTGATAGAAAGTCTAAAATGCACAAAATGGAAAATAATGACATCTGTATTGACATATTTTCTATACAAGCTCTCATATTCAGAGGTTATGTTTTTCACAAATAATTAATATATATTACAGTGGGGTCATCTGTCCATTCCTGGGCACTCTGGAAGCTGTCAAAGTTGTGTTTGAGAGTAACAAACTTTTCCTCGCCACCAAACCCTTCAGCTGTAGGATCCATACTCAAAACCTTAGCTCCAGGTGCAACACGCCCAAAACACTGGATGTACACTCCCTCTGAAATATCACCAAACATTATAAGTTCATAACAAACTTGTAACTTTCAGATGTGACAACTGTAGTTTTAGTGTAGCTATAACATGTATAACAAGAACAAAGAATTACATAGTATCAATCTATCTACTAACCTCTAACATGCATTTTTATATGCATAAATTTACAACTTTTACATAGTAATGCTGATCTGAAAACGTGAAACAAACATTTCTTTTCACTTTGTCTAGAAAAAAAATTCAAATAACAAAGTGAAAAAAAGTTTACTTTAAATTTTACTTTATTTCCTCCAATAGTTTCTTAGTCAGGTGAAAATGGCAATATTGATAAGCAGAAAAGCTCATAGCAAAAATTACAGGAACATGTATATCTTTACCTGGCATCCCATACACCTTGTTTATTTTCACTTTAAGGCCCATCTTGAGTTTATATCGAACACATCGTAGGAGAGACAGATCTCCGGCTGGACGCCCTGGTGTCAGATGTTGACGGATATCTAATCTATTCTGTAACCAGTCCAACAACTCTGTATCTGATTTCCCTGTAATAAGATGTGTAATTTTCTTTATATTTCTTACATATAATAAAAGTGATAATAAAACAGCCATGTTATACAGTTCATATAACTATCATCATGTATATTCACCATATTTACAAAGCATTTTTTTTATAATCTTAACAACTGAATGAAAAGAAATGAAAAATAAAATCTGCAAAGCCGGTGTTCTTATCGCTTATTTGTCTATTAAACTACACATTAACTATAAATAAATTTTCAAAAATAAAATTCCAAATAATTCATAGTAATTTTAAATAATAATCTTTAAAGATAAACAATATTTATCAAAATCCATAATATAACCTATTGTGAATGGTGGTCTAGTGAATAAGTTGTTGTTTGCTAAATTTTACTCATCCTGTATGATTACATTACTAATCCTGCATTTCATACCCAAATTTGAAAATCAACTGTGTCAATTAAATCTTTTGGTAAATGTCTGTAATTCTTTAATAAATATTTAATGTACTCATTAATTAATTGGACACAGGTATGTTAAAGACAAATCAAATACCTAAGATCTGAGTATGAACTTAGAAAAATTCTTTATAACATTGGACACTATGTTACAGAGAGCATGCTAAACAGCCCCTTATATCAGCTTAAATCATTCTCCGCTACAAATTCAGTGAAATATTCAAGTATAAACTGACCATGAGAAATATTCAATAATAACCTGACCATGAGAAATATTCAAGTATAAACTGACAATGAGAAATATTCAAGTATAAACTGACCATGAGAAATATTAAGTATAAACTGACCATGAGAAATATTCAAGTATAAACTGACCATGAGAAATATTCAATAATAACCTGACCATGAGAAATATTCAAGTATAAACTGACAATGAGAAATATTCAAGTATAAACTGACCATGAGAAATATTAAGTATAAACTGACCATGAGAAATATTCAAGTATAAACTGACCATGAGAAATATTAAGTATAAACTGACCATGAGAAATATTCAAGTATAAACTGACCATGAGAAATATTAAGTATAAACTGACCATGAGAAATATTCAAGTAAAAACTGACCATGAGAAATATTCAAGTATAAACTGACCATGAGAAATATTAAGTAAAAACTGACCATGAGAAATATTTAGTATAAACTGACCATGAGAAATATTCAAGTATAAACTGACCATGAGAAATATTAAGTATAAACTGACCATGAGAAATATTCAAGTATAAACTGACCATGAGAAATATTAAGTATAAACTGACCATGAGAAATATTAAGTATAAACTGACCATGAGAAATATTCAAGTATAAACTGACCATGAGAAATATTCAAGTATAAACTGACCATGAGAAATATTAAGTATAAACTGACCATGAGAAATATTGAGTATAAACTGACCATGAGAAATATTAAGTATAAACTGATCATGAGAAATGTTTAAGTATAAACTGACCGTGAGATTGTAGTCCATCAGTCTCCATGATCCTCTGTATCATTTCCCTCACAGATGATGGGTACGCCATGTGTTCATTATAACTCCGGAATATCCGGTACTCAGAAGCCGAGGGTTGACACGTTGAAGACTCAAAATATCCTGATGAGTACTGGGGATACGGTGCTTGTCCCTAATACAAAATAAATTTGGGTAAATGTAATGAAAAGATTTGTCAACATTACGATTCTCTTTTACTAAAGATATGATTTCTTAGATTATTTCTTTTTTTGCTTAACTGTAAAGAAAACTTTCAGATTAATTTAATGACTCAAGAAGCCGTTTCCAGGAGCTTACAAGTACTGGGTAAAGATTATTAAGAAATGTGTTGATCTCAAACTCAGATCTCAGTTATTTGATTGGTCAGAAAGGAGCACAGAATTTACACTGACCAATGAAAATGCTGAGATTTCGAGACCAAACTCAGAAAATAAGTTATATAATCTGGAGGTCAGGTGTTATGTAACAAAACATGGCTGTGACCTCCATCAAACAAGCCCTAGGTTGAAAGGTAGATTGTTTGTTTGTTTCATTTTACGCCTTTTCCAGACAGTATTTCAGTCATATAGGCGGGTAGTTTCCTAACCATCGTTCCTGGAGAGTTACACCAGTACTATACTACCTTCCTCCGTGCTAAACTACCAAAGCATCTCCCGGGGATCGAACCCACGCCAGAGAGGTAACTGGATTAGAAGTCATCGACTCTAACCCCTCCACCACGGAGGCGGTTGAAAGGTAGATACCTTAACCACTAAGCTAGGATTATTCTTGGGTACTGATCTTGAGTTAATTCATTAGAATGACTTTAATCATATGTATGTAACTTCTAATTATAAACATCTTGACTTCTAGCTAACCTCTGTATGTGGCATGATCCTCACCAACATAGATGAACCTGGCATAGTGGGTATAGTGTCCAGATCAGTAGGTTTGATCCCCGATATCCCAGTTGGCTGGGCCAGCACCGGCATGCCATTGTGTAACCTATACTGGTAACCTCCAACACGCAGTTTCTGATAAATAGAAAATTTCATATATTTTTTAAATATTGAATGAGTGTAGGTTCAAAACTTATTGTATGAGTGTGGGTTCAATACTGAATTTACTGAATTAATCAAATAAATTAAGTAATGAACCTACATGAACACTTTGAGAAATTGGAAAAATCAACAAAAAATATTAGCAAATGCCATGAAAGGGTCATGACAAAAGCTCCATTTTTTTCTTAAAAGTAGAGCTAAAATGAACCACTTTTTCATTGACATGCCTATAGAGAAATGCTATGTTTATATAATGCAAGTAAGGTCACATTAAATTTATGCAAGACCATACCATACCATTACTATGGGGTTAAAAAAACAGCATGGGTATGTGATAATGTCTAACTCATTAGCCCTATGCATGCTCACAATGACAATGATAGCCTTACCACCAGTGTAGAGCCTGGCCAGCCTATATTATGATTATAGTTTAACACGGCTCTATACAATAACAAAAAGTCAATACCATCAGTATATAGCCAGGTCAGCTTTAACATCCTTGAAGTCTATGTACTTAACTGTTGGTTACTCTATTTTTAAATTTCAGGACAAGTACAGCATACAAATTCAGCATATTAGCAGGGGTTCCATTGTCTTTGAAAAAATATAAGTCATTTCTTAAAATATGCAGGTATATAAGAACCAACCAGAAAGAAATGTTAAAGAAATTACAGAAAATGGTAAGCCATATGGACCATAACATGTAGGGAATTTTACCCGGCATCAAATAATAATAAAAACTCTTGGAAAATGTTATAAAATTACATTCTATACAGTATTACCAACCTTTTTAGTATCAAAGAATGGTACTAGACAACTTCCTACAACACCTATTGTATCACCAACAATGTCAACAGAATACACTCTGAGGAATGCCAGCATCCCTGCGTCTGCTTCTTTCTTCTCCATATTGATAGTGAGACGATATGTAAACGTCGGACTGCGTGCCGAGCTGTTAAGGTCAGGTAACACTAAAATGTCTTCTACATTTCCAACTGAGCCAGTTCTTAAAACTCTTCCAGTCACCTATGTATAAATACATATCATATTATATAAACATATGATGGTCATTTGTGTTTGTCTGTTACAGGCAACAAATGTAAATAACCAATTTTGTATAAATAACCAATTTTGACAAAATATTTAAGTGTTAATAAGGGGGATTACTCCAAAAATACAGCTTTCAGAATCATGCCCTTTGTTTAACAATTGCATTTTGTTCTGATTAGCAAGTAGTTCAAATTTCATGTTGATAATTTTTAAATGCTTGAAAAATGGGCTAAATTGAAGTTTTTGCATGACAACAACACTGCAACTATCATAACAGCTCGAGCTTTTCTTCAAAATAGACAAAACTAAAATTGTGTTCCTCTGTTAATAACAATTCAACATGTGATGACACTTTTTTTTTTATTTCCATTCACACAAAATCAATGGAAATTGAACATTTAAAAACTAAACAACGTAGCATCACCTTACCTTTATTACAGTGGCATTATCAGGAATGAACCTAACACTGTCTATATACAGATCTATAGGGTCTCTCAGACCAGTAGGTTTGGGATCTGCTCTTGTCAATTCTTTCTTATGAGGTACCCATGGTTCATCATTTAATGTTCTTGATGGAGGAGCAGGTGTTGGATTTACTGGCGTGGGAGTCTTTACTGGTGTAGGTTGTCTGAAAAAGGTATTTATTTTATGTATATCAATAAGCAAAACATATGTAAGGAATAAAAATTTCAAAATAAATTATTTGATTGTGTCATTAAATGTAGTTTATTCAATCTTCTTTTTTTCATTTCAGGTCAAACTGATATGAGAATATGTATCATATATAGCAACTTTCAATCTAATATAAACAAATGTCAGGTAGCAAAGTCAAATTTATTGAGAGTGTCAAAAACAAGAAAATAAAATATTCAACAAAACGGCCCAAATTTATCAGCAATATTATATAATTATAAGTTCTTAATTTGATAAAATTGCAATACATTGATCAAAAGAATGCCTACAAAAAGTACAGTAAATCTTTTTTAAACAATACACAAGTTTAGGTCCTAAATCTTACATAAATGATAAATTTGTCAATCTTGAGAGATCTTGTTTTATTTACTACTCTTTGAAATATTTTAGAAAATTATAGTACATGTAATACGTTCCTTAACATACAAACCTGGGAGATGGGATGGGTGTCGGCTTTCTTGTATCTGTAGGGGGCATCTGTGGGGGTAAAGAAGCCTTAAATTTACCCTGAGGCTCATTCTTTGGGTCAAAGACCATCAATGTTAATTTGGAATTATATCCGAGAATAGCACCTGAAATAAACCAATAAACATTATCAAATGATGAAACATCATAACTTTTCAAGACAATATGGTCTGTGTTCATAGGACAAGATAAAATTCAGACAGATTGCCTAGAAATGATTCGTCTTTATACAATTGCCCTTCTGTGCATTACTTCATGTTTAAGTGAGCAACTGGTTTGAGCCAAAGACCTACAATAAGCCATGTTGACAGCTTCCTTAATTGAATTAATTTGAAGTAGGTAAAGGGACTTGAAAATATACTTGATGAGTAACTGACTTGGCATCAACTGCCTTAAAAATTTATCAATAAATACAATTTAAAATCTATAAAAAAGTTTCAATAGTTTACTACTATAAGTCTGATAAAAACTTAAATATAATTACAAAACTGACCTGAATCTATACTTTTTTACTTCATATTCTGAAATCAAAGTCAATCTAATTGACAATCCAAAGCCAAAAAAGTCCATTCACAGTTAATATACATGTCTCACCTTCCTGGGGTTGACCACCTTCTAGTGGAGTCACTGGCTGGGTAGAGATAAGGGTGTCAGGAATTTCTCCAGGATGAAGGTCATAGACTCGTTCCCCATCTTGAAGGTCCCACTTTATATCAATGGAGGTCACTGACGTTGCACCATGGACATGCTGCCGTTGAAACAAAGGAATTCTTGCCCACCCTACTGGAATCACCTTCTTGTTTTCTGTATAGGACAAATTGACAGGTCATCAACGAAATGCATTTTTATTGTACAATGTACAAACTAAACAATTGACTGGTAATTGTCTATTGTTAAAGGCACATTATGCCCCATAACAAATAATTTTTTACTTCTTTAGAAAGGGAAAACACATGAATTTGTTAGCAATCAAATGATGGTTTTAGAGCATGTTAGATGCTTGTTACCTGAAGAAAGTTGCGATGAATGTACAATTATTTGTTATAAAAGTAGCAAAATATCAGCAAAGTAGTACTTTGACTTCCATACAAAATACTAAAGTACTAATTGCCGAAACAACAACAGAAAAAAAGATGGTTCAGATAAGTGACTAACTTTCTTAACCTGTACAGGAATACAAGTTTTATTCTCTTACTATATTTTAAGTCGGAGGTGGGGTAATCTTTTAACGTAATTGTAATCACCTGTAACTAAATCACAAGTAATCAGATGTATTCAATTACTGACCTAAATTTGATTACATATATCTTAATTAATTTAATTTCAGCTCTGTAATTTGTTGGCATTTATGATTACTTTTTGAATACATCTGATCATTGACTTTGCAATCAGTAAGAAAATAAAACACAAACATACATGTACATAGTACCAACAAACTTCAACAATAGAGTTGCTAAGCTTTCCAACATTTAATGTCCTTAGAAAAGTTCAAACCAACAGTGGTTAGTGAATAATGTGTTTGAAAATCAGTATTTCTAACCAATGGACCATAAAGGTCCCTACTTTACACCTAAAATGACTACATACTAGGAGAGGCAGGATCTACAAGGGTGTAATCCACTCTCACTATAGCATATGGATAGGCTCCCATCTCTCGTTCCAGATCATACGGCGCTAAATCAAGATCCGAGAAAATAAATTTGTCCTCTGGATAAACAATCTGAAAATTAAAAATAATAGAAATAATATTGTTGGTATTCAATTAATTCAATTTTTTCTGGTCATATTTTAATATTCCAATCTCAAACTTAAACACTTCATTTCCTTGACTTTACAAATACATATTGCTAACTGATCAATTAATTACATGTACAGCCATCATATTAACTAAATGGGTAGAGCGTTAGACAGAGATTCAGCGATCTGGGTTCTATTCCCAGATGGTGCCAGTCATTTTCGTTGTGATTGATCATGAAATCCTTTCTACAGTCCTTCACACTGTACCTCTGCTCTGGCATGTAGAGAAGTTACCAGTTCCTCGCAAAAGTGAAGGCAACAAGTACTTATAAACTGCTTGACAGTATGCCTAGGAACGATGCGGTGACTGAACTGTGCTCTAGTACATTCAATTTGGCTTACTGCCGTGATCCAGATGGAAAACTGCCCACCCCATCACCAAACGACATGTATGTTTCAACCGAGTTCATAAAATGTATTTTCAAACAAAAAATATATCAAACTAAAGTTTCAAGTGTATAAAGCTATATCCCTGCTGTGGGTTTGAATCCTGACAGAGGCTGTGGTTTCTTTCTTGTGAGGAAGCTATCCAGCTAACTTACCGAATGTGAGATTTTCTACTCAGGTGCCCATTTGTACCTGAGATAATACACAGTGGGGCATCTGAGGTTTTCCTCAACCAGTAAAGCAGGAAAGTCCACCTCCTCCCTCGAAAAAAAGGAACCTACCTGATATATTGTATTTCCATAACTATCTTGTGAAGTCGAGATGACATTTGAAGGCATCATAGAACTGTTGGATTTCAACCGTACCTCTCCAAAGTAAGCTACAACATTTAGTTTTAAATTGTTGGGATCTACACTTGCTAACCAGGGCTCCTGAAGAAATGTCATGATATATTATATGTTACAATATCCATCATGGCGAAAACTATAATATTTCTTGAACACGAGTTTCTTATTCAATTATTGTGCCAAAATAATAGCTAAGATGCCCAAAGTGTTGGGTACATATGCCATATATAATTAGTTATGTTACTAATTCAGTGTCATGATAAACCATGTAGTTCCAACACTTACCCTTTGCATGACCTCTGATGGTATAACAAGTTCTAATTTGACATCTTTAAGTCCACATGGGTTGAGAATTCCACCTACAGGATCACTGAACGGATTTGACAGCTGACTAACATGTGTCAATGGTGTGCTGCAAAAAGTAAATTTACTCTTTAAAGGAAAGTTGATGTCAAATAATTAGTTTTCATAACATACAATATACAGGGGGTACTACATGTATATAAGGCATATCTCACTGATGGATATAACCCTATCTTGTATTGACATAGCATTAATCAAGCCCTTTCACTATGAAATATAGAATATAGCATTTTGAGTATAAGAGGCTTTAGAATATTCTTATTAACAAAATTTATTTTTTTGGTAAACAGTTTTAAACCATTTTCACCATTTTTTCAGTTAATATATATACTGACATGCACATGTCTAAAGAGGGATACTGGACTCTGTACAAGAACTAATGTTATTTCCCACACACAAAAATCTCGAATGTCAGACATAATCCCCTTCGGACAAAATCCCCTTTGCATACCCGGACAAAATCCCCTTTATGGGTGTACATAATCCCCTTCGTGTTTTAGCAAGGCTGGACAAAATCCCCTTCACTACCCGGACAAAATCCCCTTGTTTCATAGGTTTCTAATGTATTATTATGCTCCATAAAAATTGATGAATAATGTATTATCTATTATACTCCCTAAAAATTGAAGAATAAGGAACTTTTGTATTTTCATTTATAATTATGCATCAATAGTTAACCTTTATTTAGTTTAGAAGTTTAAATTATCAACTGCATAACACATATTTGATTAGGCAATTTCTTTAATTGTCTTAAATTGATTAGTATGAAAAACATTTTTATTAGCCAATAATTGTTTCATTGATTGTTTAAGTTGATACTTCTAACTGATACATATTATCCATTGTTAAAATTTCTATTGATGAAAGAGTGATAACTTAATCAAACCAAGATCACTGCAATACTTGATTGATAGTTAAGAAAGCAATTTTAATGTCATTAAATGTGCTAATTGAATGTGCTTTTCTGCTGAAATATTTTCTTTTTATTTATACATTAAGATATTACCCACACAGCATATTATGCAGTATGTTGCTCTCATACCCACTTTATAAACCGAAAATTCATCTGAGGGGCATTTTATCCTAGGTAGCAATTTTATGAAGGGGATTTTGACCACTTCAAAATTTCACACATGAAGGGGATTATGTCCACCCTTGGAGGGGATTATGTCCAGATATACAAAAATACATGTAGGGGATTTTGTCTGAAGGGGATTATGTCCGTACACCAAAAATCTCAACTGCCTGACATAAATTATTTGACACAGCATACGAGGATGAAAGGCAAGAAACACATTGTCATCATCTAATTGTCTGGATGAAATGCTCCAGACCAAATACTCAAAACACACAAATCCAAGGCATAACACATTAGGCTATTCCTACAAAGATATTCTTACAAGAAAACTTAAAGAGTAAATGTCATGGTTTAAATCTGTTCACTATTTAGGGGAGAAAATGTGTAACCAGCCGGATATTTCAGTCAGTAGAGCCCCTGAATGGTCTTTCAAGGGTCATAGGTTCGAGTCAAAGTCAGGCTGCACTTTTTCTCACCCTGTGACATATGGTGCCAATGTGGGGCCCTGACTGCATATAGCCCAGAGTTTAATTAGCATTGCTTTGTAATCCTGAGAAAAATCGAGGACCAATTTCAAGAAACCTGTCATGGTATAGAACTGTTCACTTTTCAGGGGAGAAAATAAGCAGCCTGATAGCTCAGTTGGTAAAGCCACAGAACAGTCTTCTACGAATGGTTGGTCCGATTCCCACCAAGGCTGCATATTTTTCTAAGAAAAAGCATGAAGAAAGACTAATCATACCCAGGTCTCTGTCTGTTAAGGAAAGGTATATCTGAAGGATCATTTCCTTTTTCCATGTGTAAAAATGCCTGCTGTAAATCTATCGTGTATAACTTACACGGCTCTCTCATGAACACCTGTATAAAGGAAAAGTCTCTGTTATATTATCATGAAATTTACTTCACAGTTACAATACTTAAAAATCAAAGGGAACTTTTTCATGTAAGGAAAGTTTTGAACATTTTTATCATCAGGAAATTCACTTCATGGATACAATACTTACAAATCAAAGGAAACTTTTTCAAGGAAACAAACTTAACTGATTTGAGACAAAACTATCTACTATGTAAAACAAGAACCGGTTGAACCGGGTGATGCTCCCCGAGAAGGTTCTGGACACAGGAAAGTATAAAAAAAATGAACAAAGGGCAATAACTCCAAAATTAGACCAGGCTTTGTTTAGGTTCTTGAAGCGTTGCAGTTCTATCCAATTACATCTAGCTACCTACAAAGTTTCATGTTGATATCTCTAATAGTTTTAAAGTAATGTCCAGGACAAAAGTCAAAAAGTAAAAATAAACAAAGGGCAATTACTTCAAAATAAGGCAAGGCAGAGTAATGATTCTTAAGCACTGCACTTCCACCCAATGAGACCTATCTATCTACAAAGTTTCATGTTAATATCTCTTATAATTTTAGAGTAATGTCCCAGACAAAGTTCAAAGTGTCAAAATGAACAAAGGGCAATAACTCCAAAAGTAGGCAAGACATTTTTACAGTTCTTGTGCACTGCAAACTTACTCAATGAGATCTATCTACCTACAAAGTTTCATGTTGATATCTCTTATACATTAAGAAATATGTCCCGGACAAAGTTCAAAGTGTAAAAATAAACAAAGGGGGATAATTCAAAAATTAGGCAAGGCAGAGTTAAGGTTCTTGTTCACTGCACACCTACTCAATGAGATCTATCTACCTACAAAGTTTCATGTTGATACCTCTTATACTTTTAGAGTTATGTCCCGGACAAAGTTCAAAGTGTAAAATAAACAAAGGGGGATAATTCAAAAATTAGACAAGGCAGAGTTACGGTTCTTGTGCACTGCACACCTACTCAATGAGATCTATCTACCTACAAAGTTTCATGTTGATACCTCTTATACTTTTAGAGTTATGTCCCGGACAAATTTCAAAGTGTAAAATAAACAAAGGGGGATAATTCAAAAATTAGGCAAGGCAGAGTTACGGTTCTTGTGCACTGCACACCTACTCAATGAGATCTATCTACCTACAAAGTTTCATGTTGATATCTCTTATACTTTTAGAGTTATGTCCCGGACAAAGTTCAAAGTGTAAAATAAACAAAGGGGGATAATTAAAAAAATAGGCAAGGCAGAGTTACGGTTCTTGTGCACTGCACACCTACTCAATGAGATCTATCTACCTACAAAGTTTCATGTTGATACCTCTTATACTTTTAGAGTTATGTCCCGGACAAAGTTCAAAGTGTAAAATAAACAAAGGGGAATAATTCAAAAATTAGGCAAGGCAGAGTTACGGTTCTTGTGCACTGCACACCTACTCAATGAGATCTATCTACCTACAAAGTTTCATGTTGATACCTCTTATACTTTTAGAGTTATGTCCCGGACAAAGTTCAAAGTGTAAAAATAAACAAAGGGGAATAATTCAAAAATTAGGCAAGGCAGAGTTACGGTTCTTGTGCACTGCACACCTACTTAATGAGATCTATCTACCTACAAAGTTTCATGTTGATACCTCTTGTTGTTTCAAAGTTATGTCCCGGACAAGAAAAGGGGACGGACGGACGGACGGACGGACGGACGGACGGAAAGACGGACGGACGGCCGGACGGACGGACGGACAAGGCGGCGACTATATGCTCCCCCGAAATTTTTTCGGGGAGCATAAAAATTATATTCACATAAAAACTTAAAGAAAAAGGTATCTTTATAGCCTATTTTCTACCCTTCCTCTGGTACAACCAATCAAAAGCCCAGAAATAACCCAAAATTAACTAATATTCACTTATTAACAGTAATTTTACTGACAAATTGACCTGTTGTAAGCCATATGTGTAACAAATCAACTCTATAGATTGCCCTTATAACATGTCACCACGAGTGTAGAGATGTATAACATGATTCTTTTACTTTAATTCTTGTTCTTTCAAAAATACTTATAAACCATCACCATTCTTAATATCTTAAACTGACTCACACAGCCTTCAATCAGAACTAGACCATTGGTCATTTTTATTGAAAATTTTGAAATAAGCACTGACTGAATAGCAAACAATGCAGATTATGATCAGATATAAAGGATGTGCTGGCTGATCGTGGTCTGCATCGATCGCAAGTGTACATTCAGTAGCCAATAGTAATAAGTAGTTCCAGGAACATAATAACAATTTTAATGATACCTGATTATATATATGATGTACTGACAAAAATTTAACTGCTTCACATTGAAATGCATTTTGAATATTGAATTCAAAACCAGAAGAAACATAGGGACAATGTTGACACCAAATATCTTATCCAAGCTGCTTTTCAAATTTTAATGAGGTTCAAAACTCACAACAATTAAAGAGTTAAGAGCCTCAAATACCTCAAATAAAAGGTGTAAATACATACCTCTTTCATACCCAGGTAATCTCTGGCTGCCATGAATTTATGCCTCAGTAGCTCAAGTAGAGCCACAACAAAGTTCTCTAAAACAGTACTGTGCCAGTTCTGTAGGAAACACTGGTCCCAGATATACATCACGCTTGGTGCATCCAGAATACTCACAAAACCCTGCAAACAATAACAATTTGTATCAAAATTTACTTTTTTTTCTTCAGGGGTGTTTTACAAGCATTTGCTTTAATATTTGCTCTCAATTATTTCAGGCTTTTTTTTAAGGGCAGTTGGTGTATTTTTAACTGGACTTAACATCACACATTCATGTTAAAACTTTATGGTTAATTGACAGAGAATGACTCTTATATAGCTCCTTTACAAGAAATATTACAACCTAGAATGATTATCTTAGGGTCTAGTCATCAATATTCAAAATATCAGTCATTAAATTTAAGATTTGAATTTACTGGCCCGAATTCCAGTTTTGAATTTATTCTACTGTATATTTAACTAAATTTTCTTAAAATTTACACTGGCCCAAACTAATTTTCACTGGCCATGGGCCACTGGGCCAGTGCTAAATTCGATGACTGAACAATATTTTCTTAGATTTTACTTTCACAATATTTTTCAAAGCTTTCTATCAGTTTATAATACATCTTGAATTATCAAGACTTATCTAGTTGAAAAAGTTAAAGTAACAAAATATTTTAACAATTATAAAATTTCCTTTCTCAGCTTATGATTCTAAAATGGCGGAATAAGTTAAGTCTTCGACATGTAATTTGTTTATCATAGATCTGAAGTTTTCTAAAATAGTTCCATTCTAAGTATTATCAACATTGAACAATTAAAATATTTCACTTTGATAATCCTAAACAGAGTAAGAATTATTCCAATATCATCATTATCTATACAAAATTACCTTCCACTATATACAACTCACCTCACCAATCCAGCGACGTATGAATACAAGAGGGTCGGCCAGTAACTGAGCTGACATTTCCTGTTCACGTACGCCCCCTGGTGTTGTCTGTAATAACAGCTCCGCCTTCGCTTTCTCTTCATGTAATAGTTGTACTAGAAACTCCTGTATACACGGGTAATATGAGATAAAATTTACTAAAGCTGAGTTAGGTCTTTTTTTATTATTTTAAATAACTAAACAAAAATACAAATATTGAATATTTTTCTAATAAATGAAAAAACAACTTCGTTTCAAGAGAGATTTTTCCAAACAGGAAAGTTTCCTACCAAATTAAAACAATCAAAAGTTACACCCATTTATAAAAAAGGACAAAATTCTGATAAAAATAATTACCGACCAATATCTGTACTTCCACTCATTTCTAAAATATTTGAAAAGTATGTATCTGACCATCTAAAACAATTTCTAGAAACTCATAAGTTTATTCATATGACCCAGTCAGGATTCAGGACCAAGCACTCTTGTGAAACAGCATTAACAAACATAGTTGACAATTGGATAAATGCAATTAATGATGGAGAACTAGTTGGCACAATTTTTCTTGACCTAACCAAAGCATTTGACCTTGTAAACCATAAAATTCTTATTCAGAAACTGCATTATTACCATTGTTCTTCTCATACAATTAAATGGTTTTCATCTTATCTTGCAAACAGAACACAGAAAGTCAGTGTATCAGGTAAACTCTCAGAATCTGCAGAGGTTATATCAGGTGTTCCCCAAGGATCTGTCCTTGGGCCCCTGCTTTTCATTATATACATCAATGATCTCCCACTTCATTTAGAGACCTCAGAAATAGACATGTTTGCAGATGACACCACACTTACAGCATCAGGACATTCACCACAAGAACTACATAATAAACTTCAAACTAACCTCGAACATGTAAACAAATGGTGTATACAAAATGCAATGGTGTTAAATACACAGAAAACAAAGGCAATGCACCTTACATCAAATAATACACAGCTTCATTTACCACCTTTACACCTTCAAGATCAAATGATCCAATTTTCTGAAACCGAAAAGTTACTAGGTGTTTTTGTTGATAGTAAACTAAAATGGAAAATCCAAATAGAAATGATACTTAAAAAATGCAACTCTCAGTTATACCTACTTCTCAGAATCAAGCAATACCTAGACTTACATGCAAGAAAACTATTTTTTAACTCATACATCTTACCACACCTAGATTATTGCTGTACTATCTGGGGCAATTGCAGCAATGATCTGATCAATGATATCATAAAATTTCAAAAAAGAGCAGCAAGAATAATTCTAGATAAAAGTTACGATGCACCCTCTAGTGATTTGTTTAAAGAACTAAATTGGATGAGATTTGATGAAAGAATGAAATACAAAAAAGCAATCATAATATTTAAATCTATCAATGACATACCATATCCACAATACATGCAAAGTAAATTCCAATTTGTACACCAAAAACATGAGCGCAACTTAAGGTCTACAAATAGTTCAGACCTAGCTGTTCCACGACCTAAGAAAGAATTTTTCAGAAAATCCCTAGTATACTCTGGCCCTAAATTATGGAATAATATCCCTCTTAACATAAGGAAATCTAAAACAGTTCAGGAATTTCAAGCTTCATATCTATCCTGGCATTTCTCATCATTAAATTAATCATTTTATAACAAAATTAGAATCCAATCATTTGATGTGCCACCTTAAAAGTATTTCCCACTTCTTTTAATTTGATATGTACTTCTTTGACATGTATTATGCTTTGAATGGACTGTAAATATTTAACATGTATTTCTTGTTCTGACAATTTCAATGTACATTGTAACATAATGTTGTTGCAATTATTTTTGTAATATTGTAGTTGTATATATTGTAAATTATGTTTTTATTAGAGGCCCACATGGAAGATTGGGAAACCAAATGTGTAGCCTCGATAAATAAAGCCTTTACTTACTTACTTACTTACTTACACACTCGACTTTGACTTGAACTTATGTTAATCATTTACTAGAGCTACCTAATAAAAGAACATTGTACACTCATATTTGTAACAGAAGAGAGAAATACATGAGGACAGCAATACAAAAGGAATTCAGGGGAGGTAAATATCTTAAACGAATTATCTCAAACTGTAACTCATTGTTAAATCAAGAAATAGTTAACAAAATATCCCTGATCAACAGCAATAATTCAGATAACTGAAAAATTCCAAAAAAATTTAACATGAAATTAACGTATACTCATTTAAACAATTTCAACAAAATGACAAAGAAACAAACCTTTGGATTAACTTTCACATTAATTTTGGAGATCATTTTAAGATGATTGTAGAAGTCAGGGTCCGAGTCACGTATAGATGTCAGAGATTTCTCGGCTATAGCAAACACAACCGGCCATGTTGGGAAACAGTTGGAGTTTAAGAGGTCCATGTACATAGCCAGCTCAATTACAGTTTCACCTAAAAAAACATATATTGGTTTTATGCTTTCAATATTCAAAACTTTTTATCTGTAGAAAATATTACATTTTAAAGGTATTAAACTTTGTAATTTCATTTAGAGAGATCACTTAGTAAGGTTTATTCATTTTTTTAGATATTTAAAACAAAACTTGCTGCTTATATTAGATATCAGGCCCCAAGGTTAACAACCCTTTTTTTCTGAGATCAGCCACGGACCTCAGGATTTTCATTGGTCAGTGCACATTTTGTGCTAGACCAATCAAATACCTGAGAACTGAGCTTGGGCTTGAAAAATATCTTTTTAAGCTTGGACCCTGGTTTAACATCATGGTCTAAACTAACATGGTATGAAAGATCAAAAACATTATTGCTTAAGCGTTATTTTGGAAATATAAAGAATAAAATACAACTTCACCAAAATATTCAAATCATTTTGATGAGTCTCTAAAAGCAGGGAAAATTTTAAACATTTTCTTTCACAAAATTCTTTGCATCATTCTAGACATACCTTTATCTTCTTGTTGACCTTGATGTTGGAAGGCTATTTGCAGGGGAAATAACCAGTATATAAGATAAGGTTCATAACTCCTGTCATACACATAAAGAACATTCAGGGTTCTTATAGCTTCCTTCATATGCTCCGGGTTTTTGAACGGCACCAGACATGTAGTCTTGTTGTATGTCTGTAAATGAAAATAACTGGTTGTAATGGATAAAATGTATACAGAAACTATAAAGATAAATTATACTCAAATTTGATATTTGAAAAAATTGATAATTGGTACACAGGTCTGTATGTAAGAATAAAATAAATATGTTCTGAGTACACTCAGAAAAGATATGTTATGTTTCAAAACTCTACACACTACAGGTAATCACTGTACTTGTACATAGTGTCTCTACAAGTGACCAGCTACTAACTACACATGTTTTTAGATCAGTGGTGTGAGACAAATGACCATTAAACTCGATGTCCGAGATTAATTATCAAGGAGAAATTTTGCTTTACCCAAGGATCAAACCTGTGACTCCTTGCTTACAATTCTGATGCTCTCCCTTTTGAGCTAAGCAGACAGACAAAAGTATTAGGTAGTAGAGTACAGACATGTATATAATAAATATTGCAGACAGATAGGTCACATGACAGACAGATGAATCACATGACAGATGGGTCCCATGACAAACAGATGGAACACATGACAAAAAGATGTGTCACATGACAGACAGGTCACACGACAGACAGACAGGTCACATGACAGTCAGGTCACATGACATACAGACCGGTCACATGACAACATATAAGACGGACTAGTCTACAGCCAAACATCATGATAAATGGTAACAAGAGCTGTGGGTAGGACAGCAACGCTCGACTATTCTTAGTGCTTGATAGTAAAAAAAATGCTTGATACAGTTACCTCCTCCTGTTTACAGGTTGGGGTCATGATGTTGAACAAGTGTGCAAAGTTTCAAAGCCATATGTCAATGGACTTTGAAAATATTTGAACTATTACAAAAACTTTAACGTAAATTCTAAGTCGAAAAAGTGGCATAATTCTGTCAAAATGCTTGATAGAGTTACCTCCTCTTGTCTACAGGTTGGGGTCATGATGGTGAACAAGTGTGCAAAGTTTCAAAGCCATATGTCAATGGACTTTGAAAATATTTGAACTATTACAAAAACTTTAACGTAAATTCTAAGTCGAAAAAGGGGCATAATTCTGTCAAAATGCTTGATAGAGTTACCTCCTCCTGTCTACAGGTTGGGGTCATGATGGTGAACAAGTGTGCAAAGTTTCAAAGCCATATGTCTATGGACTTTGAAAATATTTGAACTATTACAAAAACTTTAACATAAGTGGTTACGCCGACGCCGACGCTCGGGTGACTGCAATAGCTCTACTTATTCTTATCGAATAGTCGAGCTAAAAATAATCCCTACCTCAATAACAGCATTCTCTATCAGACCATTGATAGGTGAACTTGTTGCCCTGTTAATCTTCAGATCTTGTATACCTCGTCCTAGAGCCTTCGCAAACCTCTCTCTCACAACCTTCTCTACAACACTGTAATTATATAAACTAACACTGATAAACTAATCAACTTTAAGCCTTATTTTATTACCCATTACCAAACCAAATTTGTGTAATGAATTTGTCCTACTTTTGCTTTGGCACAGTCCATGTTTAGTTCAAGGGATTTCAATATTTCAAATGCAAAATGTACAAAGCTGTGAAGCCAACAGTATAGTATAGTCAGATTTAATACATGTAGGTTTGCCTGATTCTGTACAGGTGGCATGTATAATATTCATAAGGAATTGTGATTTTTTGTTTATTCATTTCATAATGTGGTCTGGTCTGTGTATATGTATTTATAGTTGATGATCGTTTGTAAATGTTGTGTATAATGCATGCTGCTCTCCTTTAATGGAGGTAATAAAGAATATATAATATCCAATTAATGTTTATTTAACAAATATTCCATAACTTAAAAAGAGCAAATTATAATGATTATAAGCCTTTATAAAACTAGTACATCATTCCACCTTTTAAATACCTCTAAAACATAGTAAGATACAAAATACATTTAAACTAAAGAAAACTGTAGATTTCGACCAAAAGGAATCTAAAGTAGAACTGTATACTAACACTTCTTTGAGTCTTTTTCTCTCCTCTTTAAACAGTATATCTGACCACATGTATGCTCTCAGACTCCCAGGTAACTGTCTCGCGTGTAAACGCTCGGCTACATGTTCAAACTTGCGAGGATCTTTCTGTAGAATAGCCAGTATAGATTTACCAATCTCATCACTTTGAGCACCCCATAAAGGTGGTGGATCACCGTCCACTTTCTGTACCTCCACTATAATATAATGTTGATCAATGACTTTCACAAATTTCCATAACACATACATGTACATAATATGAACATAATATGATATATTATATCTAAACTCAGCTGCAGCTTACAAGTTAAGTTATTTTTACCCCTTCATGTTCACTATACTAACATACTTGTTTTCTTCAAGCAAATATTGAAGCTTCACAGTCATGACACTCCCATCAATTTCCTTATTAAACTTATCAAATTAACATAGCAGTTTGTAAATGACATGGTTACTGATTTCATGACATTCTTAAATAACAAAATAACACACAACATCCTTGCAAACTGTCTTAGCAACGTCAAAAAGCAAGAATGTATTGCTCACTTTACAAAGGAGACATTAGGCTAAATTGGTTGACAACATTAATCACTAATGTATATACACATTTTATTTTGAATTACTATCAGAAACATTCATCCTAAATACACAATACATCCGGCCTACCACATATTGAGAAAGTTAATTTCTTAATGCCACAGTATAGAACTGTTCACTCAATTGGGGAGAAATCTGAAAGCTGCCAGAAAGCTCAGACTGTAGAGCCGCAGTATGGTATTCCGAAATTCTTAGGTTCAAGTCCCGGTCAGGATGCACATTTTTTTTCACACTGTGACATTGATACATGTAACACAGTAATATAAGAAAAGTTCTTACTTCTCATAACTCCACTATTTGGTTTAGTGGACGTCCCACTCGATACTGAACTAATTCCGGTACTAACCGGTTTCAGTCGGCTAGGAGCAGGTATCTTCTGTAAATACTTCCTCTCCATGTTCATCTGATGCTTCCTCTGTTTCTATTCAATAAAATCAACAAATATTATATTTTATCATGCAACTACTATGGTAACTGCCCGATAACACTTGCCTGATAATTATTTTTGATATCAGGTCAGTAACCTGATATCAAAAATAAGCCCCGCCCATTTTAACGGACTTTTTTCAATTGCTTATATTCTCATTTTTACCAGCATGTGAATTCTACAATGTAATCTCATACCCTTACAAGTCTTGAATCAAGGTGCGATATTTAGGCCTATTATTTCGATTTCAATTACGAATAAATTAGATAGCGAATAGTTTTAGCTCCAACTAAATGAAGTGACGTCATAATTTACATTGCAAATGACATCATCGATGTTCACGTCATACTATAAATGTAATCATAACAAACAGGCTAGACGATTTTCATTGAGATCTTGTAAATGTTTACTTTATTTCGCCGGATTATTATTCAATAAGTGAACAAATTGTTTCGTTTAAAAAATAAGACGCATGTTTGTGTAGCTTGTGTTTGATTGCCGATTTGACTTTTCTTTGATTGAAATTATCGTGAACTTTTGAATTTGACAATTTAAGACAAAAATTGCAGTAAAGTTTAGTTTATGTGATTCTAAGTGGATTTTTGGATCGATGTTTAAATTAAAGGTAAGAATTTTATCGTATTAGGCCTACAATCTGTTGTATCTTTTATCCGAGTCGAAAGAAAAAATGGCCGCCAATAACAAATTCTAAGTTTCAGAGGCGGAGGAATTTTTTTCAAGAATTATTTCTTTGAACAAAAATCCCCCTTTTTAACGAAATTCGCTATTTAAAAGTAGATTATTCTTTTATTTTGACAGTTGTTATGTGTTACATGATAAATAGAAAAACATGCTACTGTCTTTTGATATCAATTTTATCAGGCGAGGCTGATATGGGCAGAAAGGGCTCGGCAAGCCTCGCCCTTTCTAGCCCATATCAGCCTCGCCTGATAAAATTGATATCAAAAGACAGTAGCATGTTATTCTTTATATATCGTGTCTCGTCTTTTATTTCAAGGAGTAATCACTCTAAATACATATTTTATTTTTATGGTTTTCTGTCTAACAGGCATTGAGCAATCTCCTCTCTTTTCTCAGTCAAAAATATTCAAACTTTGTAATTGCATTTTATCACAATTTTTTTTAAAGGTAGGAAACTGTAATGATGCACTGTAATATTCAATTCCTTAGGTAAAAACAATACAGATGGGTGGCTTTATCTTGTATGTGAAATGGAATTATTCACTTGCAATATAACAATATAGTATATAGAACTATGCTTAATTTTGATGTATAAACCTCTAAAAATATTTTGAAAACTTAAAATTTAATCATCATTTAAAATGTAATCATCTTACAGACAGACACTAATATACTGGTAAACAATACATTAAATGTACACATACTGTTAATTCCTGCTCATGTCTGTATAGCTCCCTGTCTAGACCAATCTTAAATATGTTAAATGTATGCTGTAGAAATGCTGAATAATCTGGGGGAGGATTTCCACTGAAAAAAATATATACATATATACATTGTATATTAAATTCAAAATTTCAAACTATACTATTCATAACAGGATATGCAAAAAAATATTGAACTGTATCTAGCTCTAAAAGGTGATACATTAGTGATTCTGAGAGTTGAAAAGTTAATGTACTTAGATTGATGAATACAACCAATCACGAACAGGAACAGCCAAATAAATTTAGAAATTCCTAATTTTAAAAGAATGCATGTTAATTGATTCACAATCATATAATCAAGACCAATAACTTGAATACTTCCAAGTAAGAACAGTACAGAAAATCAATGTTAATGTAAGTAAAACTATAGAATACCTTGGATTTGGTTTTGTCATGTGTTCATAGCCGACATCACTGGCAGCTTTATACATCTGACTATTAAGGTAAGACTGGGCCTCCCGTAACATTTTCTGTTTCTCCTCTGGTGTCATAGCTGGCAACTCCTATAACAGAATAAGCTGGATTTTTGTTGGGATTTAAGACAATACTAACACTGTTAATGGAGACATTCCTGCCTTAATGGTGAATATAGATCTCCAGAGCACTTCTTCTATAAATAACATGTATTTCAGGCACAAGCAGATACTTCAGTAGAATACCACTATTTTGTGGGCTAGTTGATTATCTTCCTAACATTAAAGATTAAAAAAAAAAATGGAAGAATTCAAACCTACAGTGTTCAAAGTTAGTGACTTGAACTACTAGTAAATCAATACATTTATAAGTTAAATATGAAAATTTCAAATGAGTGTGAAAAAATAAGTTAGAAAAATATCTTGCTGAACAAATCAGGCACTTCTTTATAGCAAATATGAAAATATTACATGTATGAACTTGTAGTAATGGTACAATATGACAAGAGGAGGTGCAAACACTATCTCTTACACTTCACATGGAAAATTTTGGTAAATATACTGGCATTACAAGTACTTGTGTTCCACAACAGATATTTACATCAAAAATCATTTGTGTATTATAAAGTTACAAAACATAAGTTGACTCTTACCAGAACCCATGGATTACGTTTAGCAGTAGACAGATATTTATCAGTGAAATCTTGCCCCAGTATTTGTAGCAGGGCCTCTTTACGCTCTGGTTTCAGGAACTGTTTCTCAACACGCTGAGCCAACACCTGGGATATCCTATCCTCTATCTGTAATCAATCAAATTATATATGATTAACATACCTCTAAAATCTAGAATAAAAAATCTTTAGTTCACTACACCCTTTATCCTTCAATTGGCCTGCTCACCTTCATTTTTAACACTTTTCATTTCAGGAACATCAAGTTAAAAATTGAAAGTTACTCAACTAACAGCATACAGCTTGGTCAAACTGCCAGATAGTGCAGGCTGGTTTGGCTCTATACTGGTGGAAAAGATTAATCCCTTTCAGTTACAACGTGATAAAGGCTGGCTGAACAAATTTAGAATAAACTGACATAATTTTGGTAAAAACAATGTTTAAATGCAATTAAAATTTTAAGACCACATTGTTATTTACATAATCTGTAAGATATACATACTCCTAATAAATGCCTTACCAAGTGCCATGGTGCATTCGGCAGTAGAGTTTGCTGGTATGCTGAATCTAACCAATGAACTTTGAATGGTTCCCTGTCTGTTGCATTATCTCCCCTTTCCTTGCCAATCCCAATATTTGCCATTTTTACAGAATTTTATTATAATATGAGACTTATACTAATTCATTCCAAATCAATAATACAAAATAGTTTATGTTGGCACAATGCTAAGATTACAGAAGTTATATCCACTATGTTGTTTATATTTTATACATACACAAAAAGCCTTAAATATCTTTAAATTATGACACAACTTAAAACAAATTTATCACAGACGTTTTAAAAAGGATTTCTAGATTCCTTTTTACAATTACAAAATAATACATATACAAAGCATGTTACAAATTTTATAGAAAAATTTAGGAATATATACAACTTGAATAAAAATTACACAAAAACAACAAAAATTTACATTCACATAATACAATTATGGAAATTTACAACAAGGTTTTTAACATTTACAAATATTTACAACAATATTCAAAGAGTTTATGCTAAGATAAATATTTCTCCATTATTTTTATCATAAACTTGAGATCATGTGACAAGTCATGTGACAATCATGTGACCACCATTTGCAAATCAGGTAGGTCCTCCCCATAACAATATTTGGCTCTAGGATCTCGATAGGAGTTCTCATGTTGTACACTCTGAAATTAACAAACAAAAATATCATTAAAATTCAGAAGCAATGAAAAACAAGACACAAAGTCGTAGACTTGATTTGTTCGAGACTGTACATGAATTTTCAGAGACAATAGTTAGTGCAAAATCTCTATTGCCTTCTGACCCTAGCTAAAGCAGCATTCAATCATTAATACATGTACTGCATATTTATAGGAATCAATTATTCTACATGACCAATAAACTATAACAAATCTGAAATGAAGTTAAGTATCGGGCAACTTTTTATAACGATCATACACAACAGTAAGTACTGCCATTATTGAAGATGGGTAGAATGAAATTGATTATGTCACAATAATTTTGAAGTTACCTATAGCCAACAGTAAAATAAAATTTTTACACTTATGTAAATCACTTCAACACTTTAATCTGGAAGGTTTCAAGAGCATGTGGATTAGAAAAGAGCCCTTTATTCTTATCAAAATACCAAATTGTTCAACAAGAAATTAAGTAGTGGCACTGTGGCAACCTTCCTATGATATGACTCAAAATAAAACCTGCAACCTTCCATACAAAAAGCAAAAAAAGTTCAAAAATTGCTAATGACCAGGTTCTGCAGTTCATGATATACTCCTGACCAAACGAAAATATTTGAGATAAAATTTTTCTTTCTTTTTTTTATTTACATTTAAACATTTACATAGATAGATTTCACTAAACATTGAAGACATCCTACATTCAGCTAGCCAAGAAGTACTACATTTAATTGGCAGGGTTATCTTTTCTTTGAAGAAGTTCTACATTTTTCTAGACGAAGTTATCTTGCATTTGAAGATGTCTTACATTAAGCCACACGATTTATCTTTTCTTTGAAGAAGATCTACATTTAGCTGGAAAGAGTTATCTTACCTTTGAAGAAGTTCTACATTTAGCTAGACAGAGTTCAAACTGGTCCGAGACAGCTACAAACAATTTATCAACACTGTTGCGGGCTTGTTGTAAAATCCGTTGTAACACTGGTTGCTAAATATTGGTAAGTTACAAAAATAACAGTTAATAAAAGCAAGCAAAGATGGTGATAGATAAAATAGGTATTAATAAAAAAAAAAATTTAATGACCAGATCTGTATTTTTGTTTAAAGAAAAGATAAATATACAATAAAAATCAACATATTTCTTTAAATCTCATTATATTAGAAAGAAGATGGGCTATATTGTTACTGTTCCCTTTATATGACATATCAAAAAGATCAACACCTATCTATTTTTCATAATTTAATCATAAAAAGTTGCTTCACTAAAATAAAGCAATTAAAGCACTCTTAAAAGTGAATTACTCATCAGAGAATGTCACAACAATGAGCCCTTGCATGAAATAGAAAGACCTATACACATGTAAAAAATGTTTCATGTGTTTTATATATGTTTTACATGTGGTGTGTTTTTACATGCATGCCACACATGAAGTAAGACACAGGATATCAATCACATCTGTGGTGTCTTATAATGACCTGAAACTATTCTTATGGCTGATCAATTCTATTAATTATATTGAAATCCCTTCACTACAAATGGTTTATTCCAAATTCAAAATAGTTCAAGTTCATTACAAAAACATAGGGATACATTAATGAATACCTTATCTGGCTGGAGACAACAGGATACACAATGTTCATATAGTGTACAGCAACTGTTGGTTTTACATGTGGTACAATTATATCTTGTTGTATGTATTGATGTTTTGTCACAACAACCTCCACTTGTCAAATAGCCTCTCTCACAAACATAACCTTAATGTAAATGTATCACCAACATTGTTTTATCATGGACTGTCAAATTAGTGATAGTCAATTAAATTTTTGAGAAAAATAATAATTTTATATTAAAAATACAACCTTTTTACTGGCTAATTTTATTCACTACATGCAACATGTATAGTAGTATAGTATGACTTTTTTTCTTACAAATACAAATGTACATGTACATAACTTGAACTATACAATAGATACAATAATAAATGCAATTGATAAATCCACAGTACTTAAGTTAACATGTAGAATAATGCATCAAAATCGTCACTTCTTTCTTAGACCCCCTAATTCTTTTTCTACAAGGATTAGGGTAGAAGCTACATCTACCAAAATATCTGTCTTGTCTGATGATTTTCATTTAATAAATGAAACATAAAGTTTGTATTCATTCAGACACTGTATAAAGCAACAAATTTTTACTGCAACAAAAAAGAGCAAGGATATCTTTTCCATTTGAATTTGCACAGGATTGATGCATCACTGTCTTAACTGGTTAGTTAAATTCAGTGAGTTACTGCAATCTAACACTAAAGCATCTTACTACATTTAATGTTTTAAGTTAATTTTTCTCACCTCTCTCATCTACTAAATACTGACGACCTTGGACGGAATTTCTGCAGCGGAAAACTTTAGTAACGTTACTGTCTACATCTTGTGTTTTAGGCTGCCACTGAAAAGGTTGTCTAAGTAAAGTATGTTTCACCTCATAAATGCTGGAAGAATCTGTTCGAGTCTGAAATACATAAACATTTTATCATTTACAGAATAATTAGTTTAAGTACTAACATAAATTTACTTCACAGTGATTTTTTTTGGTTGATTTTGACCCCGAAATAAGGCCTCTTCACAATGCCAAAAACACATAAAAAATTCACAAAAATGTGTAAAAAATTCACAATTGGCAGGATTGCTTTTCAGTACCAAACAAAATAAAGAACTGACAAATGACAATCTTGAGAATTTGATTGATATATTTGAGGGAATAAAAATATATTAAAATTTATGAATAAAGTGACTACAGGTGATGATTTATTCTTATTTATTTTTTCACAATTTGACAGATTATCGCCCTAAAAATTCACAATTTCAGGGGTATCACTATGGGTTGTTGCGAAAAAAGTAAAAAAAATCACTGCTTCAGTGTTGTAATATTTTTCTGGTCCTTTGACGTTTGTGATCATTGATGCCAGCACTATTGAGTGTTGAGAATTGAGTACCGCTCAAGCCGGTGCTAGGGGGCATGGGTGATGTTGCATATATGCAATTCTCTTGTAATTTTGTTGTGATTAATGCTTCCGAGGGATCACTTGTTTCCAGATTTTTAAGACAAAAGCAAATAAAACAAAGTAAACATTCAATGTCATACAAGCCACCCAGATAGAGGGATTTGGCTTTAAAAAGAATTGGTTAAAAAAAGATGGAGATTATTTTTAAATTTGTGTAGTCAAGAGATGTTAATGAAAAGTTATAAATGCTTATTGCTCTCTCAGAGATTTATTATTCACACGTATAAATGTAACTCCATGTTGCCCTGAAGACCAAGAGAGATGAACTTGTTTATATTGACATCTATATGACATAGTTCAGAACTGTTCACTACTTATTTATTACTCTGAATCAAATCAATTTAATTTTTTATCTGACATAAAAACTGTATAAATTATATGCACTTTTTGAAAAGTTCTTCAAGTACTTTGATACACAAGAACAGTAGTTAACACATCGATTATCTGGTAAATTGCGTACATATGAGATATAAAATATACATAAAATTAAAAGAAAATCATAGATACATTGTCTAGATTGTTATAACCGACATATAGAAGAAAACAGGCTGCAAAAACAGCTAGAAACCATCGCCTACGAAAGGCTCTGATTCTCAACATTGGTATTTTAGCAACTAAAGAATTAGCGTAAGTCTCGAATTTATTTTGATATACCAAATAAAATAATTCGGAAAGTATCTAGCATAGATAATAATATTTGTATTTATTATAATTAATTTTGATGATACATTATAATTTACATTGCCATAAAATATCTATGAATATTCTAGCCGTGTTTTCGTAGCTTTCGTGACCTGGCTGCCGTGTCGCTTATGTATTTAAAAAACGAAAATTGAAAGTTTTTACTTTTCATTTTGCAAATCATCAGTATTTATTATATATATTTATGACGTAAACGTGAACCATAAGGGGTGCACAAATTTTAAGGTTTCTGTTAGAAATTATTTACTTTTTTGTAATCTGTATCCTCATAATCCTGTTTTGTCAAGAATTTATTGCATGTCTTGATATTTTGCAGTTTTGTGCTTGGTAAATTATGCAACTTGCAACTTATACCATAGTATGTCAGCATAATGAAATAAGAAAATTTTTTTTTTAAAGCAAATTGTCTTAAAGTTAAAATCAGTTTTGATAACATTTTGATAATCAGTGATAATGTCCTAATCAGAATTGATTGTTTAAAAGCAGTACAGTATTCAGTAATGTAGATGTTTTTTAAAAAATAAAATAAAAAATTATTTTCTCCATATTATTCATAATAATCATTACAAAAAAAATTGGCTTATATTTCAGTATTTAAATCCCTGTTTCAGTAGAGAAAAAATCCAAAATGGGAAGGGCTTCAGCTACAGATCATCACTGCAGTACACGTACAATGCATATGCAGTTTAATATGTTCATATAAAACATCAGGCTCTGTAAAATTTGAAAGACCATGTACATGTAAACATCATAATAAATTTCAATATTTTTCCTTTACTTTGAATGTAGTCAGCTAACTAACGGAAGAATATTATTTGCTCTGGATGGAAAGTAATACAGATGGTAATGAGAGAGGTGTGTTTTGGGACCTACATGTACCTTCCAATATGAATAGTTTACCAAGAACACTTGGCAATCAGAGGATGCAGCAACAGCTGGGACAGGTTAATTGTTTCTTTGTTTACAAAATGTATTGAAGACAAAATAATAGTTTAATATAATAAGACTGGATTCCTCCTTGATTTTTTTATATCTATGTAAAAATTTGCTGCATTTAAAATACATAAATTATATTGTCTTTGTATGTTAAATTAACTTAAATATATCTCTAAATTTTCTGAAATTCTTGTTTTTAAATTTGACATGGTTACGTGTAGGTGTTCAACAATTTAACATGTCTCTACAATCAGCATAAGTTATACATGTATGTAGGGATGAAGCTTACCTGGTCCATATTTAAATTCTGTAGCCTATGGTAGAGTATACTATGTGGTTAGATCTGTAACAAATGTAGCATAAATAATAAAAGGCAATTTATAAATCTATTGATTATCATAGACTTTGTTTGATAAACAGTATTTAACCATTACCTTAATATTGATATTGCAGGTTGTACGGGGGGTTATACCTGGGGCTGGTCCTCAGGCAGAGTACCATCCAAATCCATACCTGCAGCATCTTTATGCCAGAAATGCTGGGGAAAATACAAATCAAGTAAGAGGAGAAAACCCCGAGGAAGTTAACAATGCCCTAAGAGACCTAGAGGAACTACAGGAAGTTATTTCTCAAAATGATACTGCTGAAGGTGAACTGCAATATTATTATTTTAATGCTATATTGGCTAATGATAACTTAATTTGTTTATTTCAATAATAGTGATTAGTTAATTATCCCCCGCTGATGGAATGGGGAGGGGGATATACATGTAGTTTTGGCGTTGTCCGTCCGAATTTCGTTTCCGGAGTAGTTCTCTGCAACTACTTGCTGTAATTCAACGAAACTTTATGGGAATCATCAATATCAAGAGGAGATGTGCATATCTTCGGCTTGTTCCGGTCCAACCCTTTAACTCAGAGTTATGGCCCTTGATTAGTTATATAGTATGCATATGAATAAATCGATACGATATAGAGTAAAAATCGTTTCCGGAGTAGTTCTCTGCAACTACTGGCTGGAATTCAACGAAACTTTATGGGAATCATCAATATCAAGAGGAGATGCGCATATCGTCGGCTTGTTCCAGTCAGACACTTTAACTAAGAGTTATGGCCCTTGATTAGTCATGCAGTATGCATATGGAGTCAAAATTGTTTCCGCGCTACTTCTCTGCAACTACTTGCTGGAATTCAACGAAACTTTATGGGAACCTTCAATACCAAGAGGAGATGTGCATATTGTCGGCTTGTTAGGGTCAGACACTTTAACTCAGAGTTATGGCCCTGAATTAGTTATGCAATATACATATGGAGTAAAAATCGTTTCCGGAGTAGTTCTCTACAACTACTGGCTGGAATTCAACAAAACTTTATGGGAATCATCAATATCAAAAGGAGATGCGCATATCGTCGGCTTATTCCAGTCAGACCCTTTAACTCAGAGTTATGGCCCTTGATTAGTTATGTAGTATGCATATAGAGTAAAAATCATTTCCGCACTACTTCTCTGCAACTACTGGCTGGAATTCAACGAATTTTTATGGGAACTTTCAGTACCAAGAGGAGATGTGCATGTCTTCGGCTTGTTTGGGTCAGACACTTTAAGTCAGAGTTATGGCCCTTAATTAGTTATGCAGTATCCATATAGAAAAATATTTGTTTCCTCGCTACTTCTCTGCTACTACTGACAGGAATTCAATGAAACTTTATGGGATACTAAGAGGAGATGTGCATATAGTCGCCTTGTTCCAGTCAGATACTTATAACTCAGATTTATGGCCCTTGATTAGTTATATAGTATGCATACATCTCATTGGCATTTCCAGATTTTACTATTTAACACAAAGTTATGGCTCTGTTATTGCCCTGAATATTTATCAAGTTCAAAGAATATTACTGTTTATGCCATGATTAATATATAAATAAAGCCTTATGTCTTCAGTTGTTGTGTTAATAATAACCAATACTCAGCAGGGGATATAAATTCAACGAATTTGCTTGTTTTTAACATTGTTTATTCTTGAAACTATTCTTACAATTATGGTGAAGGTATTTGTTTCTGATCAGTTATATTGTTATTCATTAATTTTGCTAAAATCATTCATTTTCTCTACATTTTTAAACTTTAATTTTAAATTGTCAGTGTTCAAATGGAGTGAAATTGTCATTGAAGAAGAACACATACCCTGATTACCTATTTTTACCAGTATATAGCCTTGCTAGTCTCCACTTCCACAAGTTGTTATGTTGGTCGCTCAATTTTTATTATGCCCCCGAAGGGTGGCATAATATAATAGCACAATCTGTCAGTTTGTGCGTTCACACTTAATTTGTGTCCGGTCTGTAACTTTGTCATAAATTGATGGATTTTGAAATAACGTGGCACAAATGTCTACTACATCAAGACAATGTGTTGCGTCCAAGAACCACATCCCTACCTCAAAGGTCAAGGTCACACTATCATTTTGAAGTTTTACATTATCGCAATTAGAGGAAATAGGTACACACATTCTTGTCCGGACTGTAACTTTGTCATGTATTGAATGATTTTAAAATAACTAGGCATAAATGTCTTACACATCAAGACGATGTGTCGTGTCCAAGAATTACATCTCTACCTCAAAGGTCAAGGTCACACTAGCATTTTGAATTTTCACATTATCACAATTAGAATTAATAGGTACACACAATCGTGTCCGGGCTGTAACTTTGTCATGCATGGAAGGATTTTACAATAACTTGGCATAAATGTCTACAACATCAAGACGATGTGTCGCGTCCAATAATCAGGTCTCTACCTCAAAGGTAAAGGTCACACTAACATTTTGAATTTTGAAATTATTTTCACATCACAATTAGATTTTATAGGTACACACATTCTTGTCCGGGCAGTAACTTTGTCATGCATCGAAGGATTTTAAAATAACTAGGCATAAATGTCCACCACATCAAGACGATGTGTCGCTACAGAAGACCCATGTCCCTACCTTCAAGGTCAAGGTCACACTGATAGTTTGAAGGTACTCATTCTCTCAAGGAGAGTTTGAAGATACACATTCATGTCCAGTCTGTAACTTTGTCATGCATGGAAGGATTTTAAAACAACTTGGCACAAATGTCTACCACATCAAGACAATGTGTCACAGCTAAGGGTCATATCCTTCTGTCCGTGTGTCCCCACTTACACAACAATCATATCTAGACTGTAACTTTGTCATGCATTGAGGGATTTTGAAATAATTTGGCACAAATGTCTATCTTATAACAACAGTTTGTCACGTCTAGGAACCACACCCCTTCTTCAAAGGTCAAGGTCACACTTATATTTTGAAGGTTCATGCTATCACAATTAGAGATTACAGGTATAATAATACAAAGAACAATATTCAGCAATTAGTTACTTTCATTCTCTTTTCTTTTCATAATACCTGCATGCTTAAAAAACCTTTTCAGGGGCATTCGTCACTTGGGTGACAGCTCTTGTTAATTCTACATTCCAAGAAAAACAGTGGAGGTATTGTAGTGACCCATTTAGCATCAGTTTTGGTGATGGTGAACCTGTTTGTTTCAGTTTTTTGTTCATGGTTATTAGCTTCAATACGATTAAAGACATGATATTGAAACTTCATCTGATGATACACTTTAATAAGTTCTACCTGTCACACACTGATTTTGAGGTCAAAAGGTCAAACTTATTTTACTTGTTCACTATTATGTTATGCAATATCAAAAGGGCAAAAATTTCTGGCATAATTTTTTTTTCCGAATTATACCCACTTTTCTACTTTGCTTTCCTCATACCATCAAGTACTGATAAATTGGAGTGCACTGCTCCTCGGACAGCTCTTGTTGCATTTTGATATTGAAATCCCTTATACTTTGGATGGACTATAGATGCCAAATTCAAAGGAATAGAAAAAAACCAAAAACATTCTACCAATTAAGCAGGAGATGGGTCAATATAATAAGTAAAGACAAATATTTCTCATTGTTTCTAAGATGATAGGGAACATACACATGCTCATGGACACACTCACCGACAAGGGAGGCAACAACAGCCTTTGGACTGGAAGATGGTGTTTGGCTCTGCAGCATTTGTTGTCATACTTTTTCTCAGATTGATGGCTGACCATATTTTAGGTAAATAGTTTGTAATTATCTTTAAATACATTGAATTCAATTCTTAAAACTGACAAGAAAAATTGTAAAACATGAATATTTTCTCTTGAATTACACATGCAAAGTTTTATCTGCCACCATAATAAGGGACACAGCTCTGACTTTAAGTTTGATTTAAGTCCAATGGTAAAAAACTTCAAATTTTGAAGAAAGAGAACATTGAATGGAGGGAGATACTTTTACCTACTTGAATAATGATTATTTTTCATGATGAGTGATGAATTTTACAGTATCTTTTTGTTAAGAAAGTTTGGGGGAAAAAATAAATCTACAAGAGATATGATAAAGTTGTTTGAAAAAAAAGTACTTGCATTTTCTGTTTTCAGGAATTCTTGTGTTTATTGGCCTATCATTGGTATTTTACTATGCCAATTTAAGAATGATTGAGATAGTTCATGTAACATCACTCCGGGTAAGTTTGATATTTCCAGCTTATTGGACAATAATCCAGCTGTTGTCTTTTTTAAAGTCTGATACGTAATATATCACACAGCCTTAAACCTGCTAAGTTTCTGTTTATTAATGAGTTAGTCAAACTTCTGTTTTATAAAAAAAAAGCCTATTATCTATGTATTATCAGTATAGGTTATGTCTATAAAAGTTTGCAAGTTTTGTCTGTTAACAAATATATGCAGAATTGCTTCTGATTTAACAAAATTATTGAACATATGAACTGGTCATGTACATATTTTGAGATTTGACAAGAAACTTTCCATTCTTTGTCCTTTCACACAGTCTTGCATTAACCCTTACCTCACTAAATATTTTAAATGGACTTGAAAATTCCAAAATATGTACTGACTGAATGGGAAAAACTGCAGACCCTGATCAGACTGCTAATCTTGGTCTGCACTGCTCGCATGGGTACAGTCTGTAGGCTAGCAGGGTAAAGGTTAAACTTTTCCCTGAGATTTTACAATACAATGTTAACCTGGTTTGTTTTATAATTTTTAATAGTTAAATATAAGTGACAATTCATGTAAGATACTATAGACATTGTACATGTATATATGTTTATTTTAGGGATCACATGACAGTGTTTTTTCTCTCTTAATTTGGGAAGAGGCCTTAGCTTTTTAATTTTTTTTTTGAAGATTCTTTGATAAAATTGCTTTAAAAAAACTACGTGTAGTTTAAGTTCACATTTTTGGGAATACTGCATGACTTTAAAGAAAGTTTCTATTGGAAAAAATCCTTTTATATGTCTATATTATACCTTGGTAATAAATAACTGCATGGTATTATTTGACAATATCATTATTGATGCATTAACTATGTAAAATATCATATATATTGTTTAACAGGACAGTCATGGTCATGGAAAGGTGTTAATATCATGTCTCTGGTTGATAGTTTTCCTGTCTGCTCAAATATTTGGTATTTATTGGTTCTTCGAGGATCAACATTTATGGAAAGTGTAAGAAAATTTATGACATTCATCAATATTCTAAATTTTAAACCTATTTATTTGAACTCTATGATATTGATTTATATGAGTTCCACTGTTAGTTTTATATTAAGTGTATGTTCTATATTAAGTGTATAAAGCTAAATATCTGCTGCCTGTAGTTTACAAAATTATGTTTTTTGAATTTTGAAAAAGAATAATTCAAAAATGCCTGTATGAAATGAATATGTTGTATATTTACTCAGTGGTAGGGATTTATCAGAACTGTATGGTAGTGATTTATCAGAACTCTGTGGTAGTGGTAGCTTAATAGTGATGATTTAGTGGAGCTTGATTGTAATGACATATTTTTAGCTTTGTTGAAAACTTTGAGCTTATGATTACCGCATCAAGTTGGATTTTTTGATCACCTCTATTAGTGTCATATAAAGAACTGGTCATTTAGGCTTAAATGCATCATCTCCTAGTAATAAGGCAGACATCCTATTCATAGGACATCCAACACTAGTCCTCAACAGATACAAGTATAAACCACAGAGTTCTAACTAGTTTCAACACATTCTGCTTGTAAATGTAAAACTGAAAACTCATTTAACAACATGCATATATACTTTAAAGAAATTATTTTCTTGCTTTTATATGTTTTACTAATGTTAACATTTTCACATTCTGAATGACAGACAGTACATGTATTGTGAAATTGCTGTCCATTTAATGATGCTTTGGACAAATCAGATCAGGAGATGAATTACTCCTATTTTGTAAGCCTTCGAAAATAAAAGAATAATTCAGCTTCAAACATGATGATGAGGATGATGCATTCAATTACATATCATGTCAATCTGATCTTTTCAGGTTTGTTTGGCAGTTACCTAGCAACTGGCAAGGGGATTTGTTTGATTTATTCTGGGTGACCATGATTACAGATCATGTAGTTAGATATGCAGCAGTCATTATAAAATGCCTTATTGCAATAACGCCGTCATTATTCCTACGCCAGAAGAAAAAGGTTCATACAATATTTCTTATTGTTACTCTTCAATGAAGTACATATTTGTATTTTATTTTATACAATACATATTTGTATTTTATATTATACAATTAAACATAATTTTATTTTAGTTAAAATATCCTTTATATTAAGCTATAAAGTAAATTAAGCCAGCAGCTCTCAAGTCTGCTTTCTGGAACAAACCAGTACAGTATTGTTATAACAGAAAATAAAGTTTTGAACCTGGCTCGAACTTAAAAAAAAAACACCTGGAATGAGGGAGAAATGGTTGAACCACTAGGCCACCGCTCCTATTATTTTATTTGAAAGTTAGGACTTCTATCTATGATGTTGATTCATTAATGCCATATATCTAAGAGCTTTTAATGTACCTGTATTGGCACAATTCTTCTATAATATGATAATAACATTTAAGACACCTGTGACTGTCTGATATTAGAAGTTGGAGGCTTCTTGTAAGTATAGTAAGACTGTTTAGAATTCATACAAAGATACAATCAATGTATGGCTGATACTATGCTATAGAATTACACCACATCAAGTTGACAAAACTTACAAATGAAAAGTGTACTTCTACATGTAAGTTTAATTTTTTTAAACAAATACTAGCTTTATATATTGAATATCAAGCAGTTTAAATTTGTGTTACAGGGTAGATTTTACATGTTTATAGAGATTGTGATACAGGCATTTAGGATGACGTTACCTATACTACCGTGGGTCCATTTCTTGTACGATCAACCAAAGTCAGGGAAGCTGATCTTCTCTGCAATATTAGCTGTGATATATTTAATTCTAAAGGTAAACTCATCTCTTTCTGTGCTTGAAGAATGTAATTTCATTTTAGAACTGTTATAAATTATAATACTAATTAGGACACCTAGTGTTGATTACTACTCCAAATAAAATCATACTTTTTTGATAAGATTGTTAGATTATTTTATTATTGGTGCTTTATTTATAATTTGTTATGCTTAAGAATCGGTGGTTCTGTTTTGAGCAGGAAATAAATAACCCTTTCAAAACATATTAGGACTGATGCTCTTGGAAAAGAGTTACCAATATCTAGAGTTTTCTTACTGATAGCAATTATAGAATAACAATATTTATATAAAAGATTTATATTCCAGCTCGAACAGTTACTGAAATTTGTTTTAATTAAAGTTTATACAAATCTGTTTTAGTTCAGTTATGTTGGAAGCTATAAGCTTATTGAAACACTTTTGAATCTGTTCTTGGAACCAACCAGTACTAAGCAATGAGTGTATAGTTTCTTGCTCATGGAAACAACAGTTTCCCAAGATGGGGTTTGAGCCCATAAAGCAAGCAATCCTTAAGTTACAGGTCCGAAACCTTAACACCGTGGCCATGCCACCTCTATTTAACTTAACTTTGATGTTTTTCAGGGATGGAGTTTCTTCCTGGAATATTTTAAAATAGTGAAGGCATTTAAAATGCTTTTAGTTGATACAGTAAGTATAGTAATTTATTTAATTTACATGTAAAGATTGTTCTTGAATTTGTTATTGTCAGATATTAATTTGAATTTTTTCCCCACCAGAAACTTTGGGTTATGAGATTGGTTGCAGGGAGGTGGCTAAATGCAAATAATTTCTTCTGTACACGACTCTTTCTTCAATTTCCAAGATTTTAGGATTCACAGAAAGATTTTCATTAAGTGCCTTGTTCACAACGTCAAAAGTTTTGTATTTTGATCATTTGGACCTTTGTTTTGTTTTGAAATCTGTAGTATTGCTTAAATATCATTTGCTCTAGATTGTAAGTCGCATTTAGATATTTTCTTCAAAGTATTTTAGAGTTGTTCCACCTTTCCCCCCCCCCCCCCACCTTAGAAAAATCTAACCTCTGACAGGAAAATTACATTTCATAATATGATACGTGTATCAAATTGTCAATAAATGTAGAACTAGTATCAATCAAATGACCTGTAAACAAGACAAATTACATCTATTCATTGTTATTTCAGAAATTTGGTGTGCAGCCTTCAGCTGAGGAAATAAAATCTCGAGGAGAAAATTGTCCAATATGTCAGGATGACTACCAAGATCCAGTTATGTTGTCTTGTAAAGTAAGTATACAACAAGGGTATAAATTTACCAATTATTAGCCGCAGTGATTGTTTAGTTATAGTTAAGGTCTCTGACCTCAAGTCACTTTAGAATTAGCACTGCAGTTTTGATTTCTGCCCAGTGGGATAAGGCTGCAAGGCTTAATTAGGAGCTAAGTGGTCTCACACATGGTGCCTGCTTATGTTCCTGACAGAACAATTTTGTGTGAATTGACTTATTTTTTAAATTGTGTTGACTAAATAAAGTTCTTTCCCTACTGTTTATAAATGACACAATTATGTGGAATATATCAATTTTAGAAATATCTCGATCTTCAAGGTCAATGAGAGGTGAAGGTCATGCTGTAATATGTCAGAAAGAAGCATATTTCCAAAGATGCTATGTTATGCTTAAAAGTATGAGGATGTTTAGGCCTGTTAAAATTGTACACATGTTGACTTGATCTGTTTGCCCTGTCTAAGATTTTAAGGGCTATCGCATGTATTACTGGTACTCTCATAGGAAACGTACTACAGTGATGACTCACTATACATATGTTCAGAAAGTTAAGAAGTGTTTTATACATGAGCCGCATCACGACAAAACCAACATAATGGGTTTGCGACCAGCATGGATCTTGACCAGCCTGCGCATCCGCCCAGTCTAATCAGGATCCATGCTGTTCGCTATCAGTTTCTCTACTTGTAATAGGGTTTGTAAGCGAACAGCATGGATCCTGATCAGACTGCGCGGATGCTGGTCGCAAACCCGTTATGTTGGTTTTGTCGTGACACGGCTCACATTATCAAACATATTTATGAACAGTATAGATAATAGAAACATAATTTATTTCTCGTTTCAGCATATATTTTGTGAGAACTGTGTATCTGTATGGTTTGATAGAGAGAAAACCTGCCCAATGTGCCGAGCAGAAATACAGTCTGATAGTCCTGTATGGCAGGATGGTTCAACTAGTGCACATCTACAGTGGTATTGACACCAAGGTCATGGGACTTTAAACGAGATAGATGACTTTTATGTCAGTAATCAAGAGATGTGTTGTAAATGAGAATTGTTTATGAACAGAAATAAGTTTTGACTGGTAAATACAAGGAAAGAGCTCTACTGTATAGAAATGAAGCATTTATCCTAGCCTTTATTCCGCTATGGGCTTGCCTTCTTTTGAACTTGGAGCTTTATTGTTAAGGCTAATGTTTAATGTATTTAAGTATCAAAGTGGTTAAAACAAAGCAGCTTATAGTAGAGTTTATTCAGTCTGAGCTGATGTGTAGGCCACCCTGACTTGACATCTATACTGGTGGCATCTAGCAAGTCATAACTGCTAATTGATCTGGCATCAAGGTTATAAAAAAAATTCTAGTTCTGTCTCAAATCTCATGATTTCAATTGGTCAGTGTACATTCTGCGGCAGTTTCTGACCAATCAAATGCCAGAATTATTTTTATAACCTTGGACCCATGGTGTTAAAAAAGTAGTCTGTGATGTAAATTTGTCCTAGCCTGAAGAAAATTTAGCAACTGCTGTGTAGTTGAAGAATGTACATACTGATTTTGAAAAGGTACAGTTTTTTTTTATGGGACTAAAAATTAGGGTTCCAATATTTAAACTTGTAATCTCTTCTTCATTGTAAATAAAACATTCCATTCATGACCAGAAATAAAAGTTGACAAATCATATGACTGTTTAAGATAATCATTATGTAAGACAATACATGTATGTCTGTATTGAATAATTATCCCCCGCCGATGGAATCGGGAGGGGGATATAGTTTTGGCGTTGTCCGTCCGTCCGTCCGTCCATTAAGGCTCCCACGTTTACAATTTTTTGTAAACGTTTACACGATTGCTAAGAACCGAAACGATACCGTTTAAACGGTGGTACCTCTATGTACTATACACACCATGTATTTGAGTCGCCAAATGATGTCTTTCTTTCTATTTTTTATACATGTACAAATTGAGAATGTGCAGGGCTCATCACGATTGAGTCAGTACACATTTTCTGTATTGTATCTTCATTTTTTACCAAAAATCTATTATGTCATGAGCAATTTTGCACGGTAATGCTGTGTGGAGGGTTGTAAACAACTATTTTCCGTTTGTTTACTTTGGAATAAACCACTGAAATTGATAAAATCCTTGATTACAGGCAATGATTAAGAAATTTTGTAAGACAATATGGTCATTTCGATTAAACTGTAAACAATATCGTAAAGGTTCATGAATGAAAATCGAAACGAATCCGTTTAAACGTGTAATCGTGGGGGCCTTACCGTCCATCCGTCCGTGCGAATTTCGTTTCCGGAGTAGTTCTCTACAACTACTGGCTGGAATTCAACCAAACTTTATGGGAATCATCAATATCAAGAGGAGATGCGCATATCGTCAGCTTGTTCCGGTCCGACCCTTTAACTCAGAGTTATGGCCCTTTATTAATTATGTAGTATGCATATAGAGTAAAAATCGTTTTCGCACTACTTCTCTGCAACTACTGGCTGGAATTCAACGAAACTTTATGGGAATCATCAATATCAAGAGGAGATGCGCATATCGTCGGCTTGTTCCGGTCAGACCCTTTAACTCAGAGTTATGGCCCTTTATTAGTTATGTAGTATGCATATATAGTAAAAATCATTTCCGCACTACTTCTCTGCAACTACTGGCTGGAATTCAACGAAACTTTATGGGAACCTTCAATACCAAGAGGAGATGCGCATATCGTCGGCTTATTTGGGTCAGACACTTGAAATCAGAGTTATGGCCCTTGATTAGTTATGCAATATGCATATGGAGTAAAAATCGTTTCCGGAGTAGTTCTCTGCAACTATTGGCTGGAATTCAACGAAACTTTATGGGAATCATCAATATCAAGAGGAGATGCGCATATCGTCGGCTTGTTCCGGTCAGACCCTTTAACTCAGAGTTATGACCCTTGATTAGTTATGAAGTATGCATATAGAGTAAAAATCGTTTTCGCACTACTTCTCTGCAACTACTGGCTGGAATTCAACGAAACTTTATGGAACCTTCAATACGAAGAGGAGATGCGCATATCCTCGGCTTGTTCGGGTCAGACACTTTAACTGAGAGTTATGGCCCTTGATTACTTATGCAGTATCCATATAGAAAAATATTTGTTTCCTCGCTACTTCTCTGCTACTACTGGCTGGAATTCAATGAAACTTTATGGGATACTAAGAGGAGATGTGCATATAGTCGCCTTGTTCCAGTCAGATACTTATAACTCAGATTTATGGCCCTTGATTAGTTATGTAGTTTGCATACATCTCATTGGCATTTCCAGATTTTACTATTTAACACAAAGTTATGGCTCTGTTATTGCCCTGAATATTTATCAAGTTCAAAGAATATTACTGTTTATGCCATGATTAATATATAAATAAAGCCTTTTGTCTTCAGTTGTTGTGTTAATAATAACCAGTACTCGGCGGGGGATATAAATTCAACGAATTTGCTTGTTGTAGATTTTTTTTTTTGGTGTTATAAACTTTAATTTTGTTTTCTTTGCTACTGGACAGTTTTAATTTTCTTCTATTTTTGTTTACAAAATGCTTGTTTTAAAGCAGCATGCCTCCAGATTCATGCTAATTTTCATGAATTTTTTGAAAATGTATTTAAAAGTAAGTTATTGTGAATTGAACAAAGAAAGTAATTTACACATTGCAAACAGCATGTTCATTCCTCAGAAATTACTTAAGAAGTCGAAATATGCAAAATTAACTCTTACTGCATTAGTTATGCAGTAAAAAGATGACAATAAATACTGCAAAATCTGTTATTTATTGCATATAATGTGTAAATTATTACTTGAATTTTTTACTTTTCTCAAAATTTAGTACATTTTGCTTAAGTTTGTTGTGAAATATTTTGGCTCATCAGGAGGGGTGCATCAAAAAGACAAAAAAAAGCCTTAGCCACAAACTGAAATTTATGAGCATGCTGCTGTAAATGGTAAGAAAATTAATATTTTATACTGACTTCAGTAGTTATTTTTGTCTATAACATGCTATAAAGAGACATGTGTATTGTATATATTCATCCTGTGGATATGATTTTGATAAGTCCGCATAGCAATTTGTGTAAATGGGGGGGGGGATGTTCCTTGAGAGTAGTATTAAAATGATTTTATTAACCCTTTGTGAAAAATGGCCGTTTTCAGTGAAAAGCCTCCTGTTACAAGTTCAAACTGCTATGAAAAATGCTTCAATACTAATCAAACTTGGCACAAATGTTGACTGGACCATTGCCTTTGTAAGGACATGCTCGGTCTTAAATTTCCTGTTACCATGGCAACGATGGAAAATCTCAAAATTGCCCAAAATCATTATTTTGCCTCGATTTTTTCCATCAAAATTTATTTCAAAGTGCTTCAACTTCTCAAGGGATTGAGATAGAGTCAAAGGCTTTTCAGCGTTGGTTACATGTTACCTTATGATCGATCTGGGGTCATTTTCAGCCTCTCACAAGTCCAAAATTTTCTTGTCGATAAGGGGGACTCTGCCCCCTTCAAACCCCAGAAACAGAATGGGGCACATCCCCCTTCTGGCATCCCCCTGATGTATCTTTTGGATGGGGGGCAGGGCCGAAAAAAGTGCTCACTTTTTTTAGCAACATTTCTCGAACGAAAACATGTGTTTGGGGCCCATTTTTGTGTCGCCTCTACAGAGTAGTGGCGACATATAGGGATCACTTCTCCGTCGTCTGTCTGTCCGTCCGTCCGTCCGTCACAAAACTTGTCCGGACTACTCCTCATAAACTACTGGTGCAATTTCATCCAAACTTTACAGGAATGATCAGTACCAAGTCTAGTTGTGCATATTGTCAGCATTTTCCGGTTCAATGATTTTTGTCAAAGTTATGGCCCTTTAATAATTTTTAATTTTAAAATTTGTCCGGACTTCTTCTCTTATACCACTAATGCAATTTCAATGAAACTTTACAGGATTGATCTGTAGCTCAAGTCCTTGCGCATATTGCACGGGTTTTCCGGTTGAATGATTTTTGGCGGAGTTATGGCCCTTTAATAAAAAGGTATCTTTTTCTGTGTGTTGCCAGATACACAAAAGCTTGTCCGGACTACTCCTCATAAACTACTGGTGCAATTTCATCCAAACTTTACAGGAATGATCAGTACCAAGTCTAGTTGTGCATATTGTCAGCATTTTCCGGTTCAATTATTTTTGTTTGAGTTACGGCCCTTTAATAATTTTTATTTTTAAAGTTTGTCCGGACTACTTCTCTTATACCACTTATGCAATTTCAATGAAACTTTACAGGATTGATCTGTAGCTCAAGTCCTTGGGCATGTTGCACGGGTTTTCCGGTTGAATGATATTTGGCCGAGTTATGGCCCTTTGATAAAAAGGTGTTTTTTTCTGTGTGTTGCCAGATACACAAAAGCTTTTCCGGACTACTCCTCATAAACTACTGGTGCAATTTTATCCAAACTTTACAGGAATGATCAGTACCAAGTCTAGTTGTGCACTGTCCGTCTGTCTGTCTGTCTGTCACAAAATTTGTCCCAACATGAAATTGGCCATCATGAGGCGACACATGTGATTACTGATCGCTCTTGTTTCACTATTTCAGGCCTAAAAAGGGGGGGGTCGAAAGTGCGTTGTTTCGCGTATATATGAGGTAAAGGGTTAAAGTTGATGTTTAAATTAACCAAGCATCAGTGTAAAGAGTACTGTCATTTAGCAAGATATTAGTGCTAACCTTACCCTTACCTGATAACATTGTACAAGTCAAATAGGCCTATATTACTGTAAATGCTCCGAAAGTGTAAATTTTTATCAGAAACTATACATTTCTTTGTAACATAATTTGTAATATTTTTTTTCTATTTTATAATCTTAAGCTTTTTCCTTTTTATTGAATCGAAGAAAGTTGACTGCTCAGAAGTCAGCATTACGTACATCTTATACAAAGGTTATTTTTGAACGAGTATATGTAGAGGCTGGAACTTGATTTATAATATTATAATTAATATATACTTTTATATGGAATTATCTTACATTGAGAAGTGAACATTTTTTTCACCCAGAAGTATATGAATATTAGTGCATAATAGCTTTGTTCATTGCTACGTAACATAATATTCTATTTTCATGAAAAAAATCTTAATCTCATTTGTCATTCATTTTGACGATTTTAGCCAAAACATTATTAACCAGGTTTTCCGAAGGAAAAAACTGGTTATTAGATTGAGGTATGTCGGCGGGCGGGCGGCGGGCGGACGGGCGGGCGGGCGGGCGTAAACAATTTCTTCTGTGCGCAACTCCTCCTACATTTTTCAACGGATTTTGACCAAACTTTCACAGAAGCTTTGTCATCAAGTGCCCTGGCGCATATTGTCGGGGTTTTGCGATTAGATAATATTTGACCTAATTATGGCCCTTTGTTTTTTTTCCTTATATAAAATATATAGTGAACAATTTCTTCTGTGCGCAACTCCTCCTACATTTCTCAACGGATTTTGACCAAACTTTCTCAGAAGCTTTGTCATCAAGTGCCCTGACACATATTGCCAGGGTTTTGCAATTGGTATATATTTGACCTAATTATGGCCCTTTGTTTTTTTTCCTTATATAGAATATATAGTTTCTGTGCGCAACTCCTCCTACATTTCTCAACGGATTTTGACCAAACTTTCACAGAAGCTTTGTCATCAAGTGCCCTGGCGCATATTGTCGGGGTTTTGCGATTAGATAATATTTGACCTAAATTATGGCCCTTTGTTTTTTTCCCTTATATAAAATATATAGTGAACAATTTCTTCTGTGCTCAACTCCTCCTACATTTCTCAACGGATTTTGACCAAACTTTCTCAGAAGCTTTGTCATCAAGTGCCCTGACACATATTGCCAGGGTTTTTGCAATTGGTATATATTTGACCTAATTATAGCCCTTTGTTTTTTTTTCCTTATATAGAATATATAGTGAACAATTTCTTCTGTGCTCAACTCCTCCTACATTTCTCAACGGATTTTGACCAAACTTTCTTAGAAGCTTTGTTTTTCAAGTGCCTGGCACATATTGTCGGGGTTTTGTGATTGGATAATATTTGACCGAATTATGGCCCTTTGTATATTTTTTCCTTATACAGAATATATAGAGAACAATTTCTTCTGTGCTCAACTCCTCCTACATTTCTCAACGGATTTTTGACCAAACTTTCTTAGAAGCTTTGTTTTCAAGTGCCTGGCACATATTGTCGGGGTTTTGTGATTGGATAATATTTGACTGAATTATGGCCCTTTGTATATTTTTTCCTTGTACAGAAATATATAGTGAACAATTTCTACAGTGCGCAACTTCTCCTACATTTCTCAATGGATTTTGACCAAACTTTCACAGAAGCTTTGTCATCAAGTGCCCTGGCGCTCACTAAATTCCCATGTTTCTTCCAAGACATCATTCAAGTATTTTTTTAAAATTGTGAACATACTTTTCTTGATATCGCACAAAACACCACACGCCAATATTGTTGACAAAAGAAAATGACAAGAGACGCAAAAATGCAAAAATTAAGCAAAAATAAAGTACTGTTTACCTTTCTAAAACATTTGGGGAAAAAAGGCGAATAGACAACATAAAATTTCTCAAGCCATAATTCCTCCTAAAAGTTCAATTAAAAACAAATGCCCCTTCATGACAAAGCTTCTGTGAAATATTTTGCTGAAAACCTGGTTGCATCGCATTGCGATGTTCCTTGTTGGTTTTTTTTTATAACAAGGGTATATATACGAATTATGAAGGTTTATTTATCCAGTTTTTTGTGTGTTTTTTCATTGATGATAATTTATAGATAACAAATGTTTACTACTGCTGTTTCTGTATTTATATTTTATGATGTTATTTTGTTAAACTGAAGATGTTTTATGACACATTATGATGAAACTAATAAAAATTCTCAAAAAATGCAATTTTCTTTACCTTTTTACTATGATTAAAGACAAAAGAGAGTAGACCTCAATATTTTAAAGTTAAAATTAGTTAGATTTTATGTTACTTGTTAAGTTGTTATGTTACTTGTTGTCTTCATAATGGTCTGTGTGATGGAATTTTCTTATAGTTGTCACTTGGAACCGATGTGGTTGACTAACTTTAGGTAAATGTTTTAATGGAAGGCATTACCACTAACAGTATCACAAATACATGTGTTCTTTTGCGTTAACTAGGTCAATCAGCGACTAGGTCATATCCAAGTTTAGTTTGGACAGCCAGTCAGTTAATTTACATATAACTGTTTTCACTGGAAAGATCCATTATGCTGGTAACACTCAGTGATCTTAAATTTGCACATGATCCTCCGCCTCACAATAATGAATATTTGTGCCAAGTTAAACTGAAATCCCTTAATGCATATAGAAGTTGTGCTCCTGACAAGCATTTTAATATGACCTCAAAGTGAGACTGTAACCTTTAACTTCATGTGCGCGACACTCTTGTCTCATGTTGTATCAAGAAATACACAAAATGTACTCCAATCCTTCTCTACATGTAGAAGAAATGCAAACTGGACATCAATGGCCCATCATATGACGTTTTTCATATGGGCATATATAAATGGTAAAAGTACTGGTTCTTAACTAAGAAGGTTAACACTGCTGAAGAAGTATCCGTCCTACCCTTATTTTCAATATAAATAGTTTTGTTATTGAAGAAAAAAAAGTTCAACAAAATCTCATTTCTTCCACTTTTATTATTATTGTTGTTGAATAAATAATTTCATGTTGTAAAAAAGTCTATTTCACTCTTTGTTTTAGGAAACTCATTTCTTCACCTCACCAATATCGTCAATATCATCTTCATTTATCTGGAAATACAAATATATTAAGAGGATATGTTTTCGTTTTTCGTGAAATATGGAATATATTTTCACGAAACATGATAAAATGCCACATATTTTCACTATCCCAATGGAGGTTCTTCAAAATGATGGTTCGATTTCGTCTAGGGTTGATGATGTATTGGCTAGATGGAAGACAGATTTTAGCTCTCTGTTCCATTCTATCACTCCTACGGATAGTGAATTATATACTTTTGTTGAGACTTCACACTCAGAAAATATTTCCTTTAATTATCATATTTCCGTCATAGAGGTTCAAAAAGCATTGGCTAATGCCAAGAAAGGTAAATCTTGTGAATTGATAACATTCCGGTTGAGGTGCTTGCCAATGATTCTGCTCTTTCTTTGGTGCATGTTTTATTTAACATTTGCTTTGATAATGGTATAGTTCCTACTTTATGGAGTAAATCTGTAATTTGCCCAATACCAAAATCATCTACCTTTGATAAACGAGACCCTTTATCATATAGAGGCATATCACTTGCACCTTCAATGTATAAACTGTATTGTTATGTTTTAAATAATCGACTGAATCTTTGGACGGAATCAAATGTAAAATTGTCTAATGAACAGAATGTATTCAGAAAAGGTCGTAGTACCATATAGATCATATTTTGTCTCTTAATAACATTATTGATATAAGAAAGAAAAATAAATTGTCAACATTCTGTGCCTTCATCGATTTTAAGAAAGCTTATGATACTATAAATAGAAATATACTTTGGAAGAGATTTATGATATTGGTGTATGTGGTTAGATGTTATCTTTATATGTATCCTGTGATGTCATGTGTTCGAGTTAATTCATTTAAAACAGAGTGGTTTGACGTGAAATGTGGTTTACGTCAAGGATGCATATTATCTCCATTGCTTTTTAATTTATTCATCAATGATTTAACATTATTTATTAAATCTTTTGATCTGGGTATAAATATTGGTACTGAAAAACTTTGTTATCATGTTATACGCTGATGATATCGTTATATTAGCTGATAATGCTCAAGATCTACAGATATTGTTAAATGCCTTAAATGAATGGTGTTCGTTGAATGATATGACCGTTAACCCGATAAAAAGTAAAGTAATTCACTTCCACCCGAAAGCTTTTCAACGTACGAGTGTTGTCTTTAAATGTGGTGATAATGTATTAAACATAGTTGATAGGTACATTGTATACTTATTTAGGTGTCCTCGATTATTCAATAACTGTTAAAGCTGTTGCTCAGAGTGCTACTCGCGCATTGGGTCTTTTAAATGCAAAGGCTTAGGTGGTGTCCCATTTGAAGTTTATTCTAAATTGTATGATTCTGTTGTTTGGCCTGTAATAAGTTACAGTGCACCTCTATGGGGTTCTCGGTCTTATTCGTGTATTAATGCGGTTCACATCAGAGCGCAACGCATTTTTTTCTTGGTGTAGGAAAGTACACTCCTAATGATGGTGTTTCAGGTGACATGGGTTGGATTCCTCCGTCAGTTAGGCAGTGGAAATCAGTTTCTCTGTATTGGTTTCATATGAACACAGATAGTCAATAAACGAATAACACTCTGGGTAGCGTCAAAGTCCAATTGTTTGCGTAAAAATTTGCCAGTTTTAATAAAGCAATTTTTCGATGACAATCATTTGAACATGTATGATAATATCTTATAGCCCTTGTCAACATCTTTTGTACAGAAAGTCAGTAGTATTGTCTAAAATAAGTACATTACCAACTGGAAAGACATAATTAATCGTAATACGGGTCCATCTAGACGAGGCGGTAATAAACTCCGGTTGTATAAATGCGTTAAATATGAATATGTCACTGAGCAATATTGCAAATTGTTTCTTCCAGCTAGACACAGGTCCGCATTTTGTAAGTTCCGGTGTGGGGTTGCTCCCATTAGAATTGAAACTTGCAGATACGAAGGTTTGCCAATTGATGAAAGAATTTGTCCATTTTGTGAAACTACAGAAAATGAATATCATGTATTGTTTCATTGTCCAGTGTATTGTGGTAATCACTCATATAAAAAAATCTTTTTAGGCTATATAGTTGTGTACAGAAACGGGTTGCACTCTTAAATTGAATCAAATCAAAGTATTTATATGTGCAAAAACGGGTAACACTCTTATGTAGAGTCTATGTTGGCCATGAACGTGTGTACAAAAACGGGTTGCACTCTTTAATTGTATGTATCAAGTGTATATAGATGTGTACAAAAACAGGTTGCACTCTTTTGAATCTCTTTACGGTATAAAGGTGTGTGCCAAAACGGGTTGCACTCTTAAATGGAATCAATTCAAAGCATTTATATGTGCAAACACGAATTACACTCTTGAATTGAATTTCTTTACGGTATATAGATGTGTACAAAAACGGGTTACACTCTTATAAACAATCTTTTTGGCTATATAGTTGTGTACAGAAACGGGTTGCACTCTTAAATTGAATCTATTTAATGTATTTATACGTCGTATGTGCAAAAACGGGTTTCACTCTTATGAAGTGTCTATGTTGGCCACGAAGGTGTGTACAAAAACGGGATGCACTCTTAAATTGTATGTATCAAGTGTATATAGATGTGTACAAAAACAGCTTGCACTCTTTTATTGAATCTCTTTACGGTATAAAGGTGTGTGCAAAGGTGTGTGCAAAAACGGGTTTTTTAGGGTATGTAGGTGTGTAGCAGTCTTATAAAGAATCTATTGTGGCCATATGAATACGAACGAAAACGGGTTGCACCCTTAAAATGAAGCCATTTAAGGTATAAATGTGTATGCAAAAACGGGTTACACTCCTTAATTTTTTCTAATTAACCTGTTTATGTACGAAAACAAGTTGCATTCTTAAATCTAATCTATATATGGTATTAATAAGTGTGCAAAAACGGGTTGCACTCTTGAATTGGATCTCTTTACTGTACTAAGGTGAGAGCAAAAACGGATTACTCTCTTACATACAATGTTTTTGGCTATATAGGTGTGTACATAAACAGGTTGCGATCTTAAATTGAATCAATGCAATGAATTTGTGTGTGTGCGAAAACGGGTTACACTCTCCTCTTACGTAGACCCTTTTCTGGCCATGTAGATGTGTACAAAAACGGGTTGCACTCTGAAATTGAATCTATTTAACGTGTGCATGTTTGTGCAAAAACGGGTTACACACTTAATTGAATCTCCTTCGGGTAAATAGGTGTGTGCAAAAACGGGTTACAGTCCTATGTCTGATATGCAATCTTTTTTGGCTATATAGGTGTGTACAAAAACGGGTTGCGCTATTAAATTGAACCGATTCAATGTATTTATGTGTGCAAAAACAGGTTACACTCTTACGTAGAGTCTATTTTGGCCATGTAGGTGTGTACAATAACGGGTTACAGTCTTATGTCTTATATATAATCTTTTTTTGGCTATAAAGGTGGGTAAAAAACGGGTTGCATTCTTAATTTAATCTATATAATGTATTTGTACGTGTGCAAAAATGGGTTGCATTCTTAAAGTGCATATATCAAGTGAATATAGATGTGTACAAAAACGGGTTACACTGTTAAATTATTTATTTTTAGAGTATACAGTTGTTTGCAAAAACGGGTAACAATCTTATAAAGAATCTAATCAGAATATATAGATGCGTACAAAAAAGGGTTGCACTCTTAAAATGAAGCCATTCAAGGTACGTATATATGGTTGTGCAAAAACGGGTTACACTGTTGAATTTATTCTAATTTAACGTGTTTATGTATGTACACAAACAGGTTGCATTCTTAAACTTAATCTATATACGGTATTTATACGTTTGCACTCTTAAATTGTATGTATCGTACTGTATGTATCAAGTGTATATAGATGTGTACAGAAACGAGTTGCACTCTTGAAGTGAATTTCTTTACGGTATAAAGGTGTGTGCAAAAACAGGTTGCACTCTTAAATTTAATCCATATAAGGTATTTATACGTGTGTAAAAACGGGTTGCACTCTTAAATTGCTTGCATCAAGTATATATAGATGTGTACATAAACGGGTTACACTGTTAAATTCAATGTTTTAGGGTATATAGGTGTGTGACAGTCTTATAAAGAATCTATTGTGGCCATATGGATACGTACGAAAACGGGTTGCACTCTTAAAATAAAGCCATTCAAGGTATATAAATGTGTATGCAAAAACGGGTTACACTCTTATTTTTTTCTAATTAACGTGTTTATGTATGTACAAAAACAGGTTGCATTCTTAAATCTAATCTATATATGGTATTTATAAGTGTGCAAAAACGGATTGCACTCTTGAATTGAATCTCTTTACGGTACAAAGCTGTGAGCAAAAACGGATTACTCTCTTACATACAATTTTTTTGGCTATATGGGTGTGTACAAAAATATGTTGCACCCTTAAATTGAATCAATGAAATGAATTTGTGTGTGTGCGAAAACGGTTAACACTCTTACGTAGACCCTTTTCTGGCCATGTAGATGTGTACAAAAACGGGTTGCACTCTGAAATTGAATCTATTTAACGTGTGCATGTTTGTGCAAAAACAGGTTACACTCTTAATTGAATCTCTTTCGGGTAAATCGGTGTGTGCAAAAACGGGTTACAGTCCTATGTCTGATATGCAATCTTTTTGGCTTTATAGGTGTGTACAAAAACGGGTTGCACTCTTAAATTGAATCGATTCAATGTATTTATGTGTGCAAAAACGGGTTACACTCTTACGTAGAGTCTATTTTGGCCATGTAGGTGTGTACAATAACGAGTTGCACTTTGAAATTGAATCCATTCAACGTATGTGTGTATGTACAAAAACGGGTTACACTCTTAATAGAATATCTTTAGGGTATACTAGTATATGTGTGTGTGCAAAAACGGGTTAAGTCTTAAGTCTTATATTATAATCTTTTTTTGGCTATATAGGTGGGTACAAAAACGGGTTGCATTCTTAAATTTAATCTATATAAGGTATTTGTACGTGTGCAAAAATGGGTTGCATTCTTAAAGTGCATATATCAAGTGAGTAAAGATGTGTACAAAACGGGTTACACTGTTAAATTATTTGTTTTAGAGTATATAGTTGTTTGCAAAAACGGGTAACACTGTTATAAAGAATCTAATCAGGCTATATAGATGCGTACAAGGGTTTCACTCTTAAAATGAAACCATTCAAGGTATATATGTATGTGCAAAAACGGGTTACACTGTTGAATTTATTCTAATTAACGTGTTTATGTATGTACAAAAGCAGGTTGCATTCTTAAACTTAATCTGTACGAGTGCAATATGGGGGTTGCAGTCTTAAATTGTATGTATCAAGTGTATTAAAGATGTGTAAAAAACGGGTTGCACTCTTGAAGTGAATTTCTTTACGGTAAAAAGGTGTGTGCAAAAACAGGTTGCACTCTTAAATACAATCTTTTTTGGCTATATTGGTGTGTACAAAAACGGGTTTGCACTCTTATGCGGAGTCTATTTTGTCTTTGTAAATGTGTACTCTTAAATTTGATATATACAAGGTACGTATCTATCAATACGTGTTCAAAAACGGGTCACACTCTACAAATTTATTTTGTTTAAAAATCTGGAAACAAAGTGATCCCTCGGAAGTATTAATCACAACAAAATTACATGAAAATTACAGACTCGGTTTGATTGAATCTGTACATGAGGGATAATGATAAGTGCAGCATCCCTCATCACGCCCCCTAGCACCGGCATGAGCGGTATTCAATTCTCAGTACTTAATAGTGCCCGAAGGTCCAGAAAAATATGACAACACTGAAGTGAAGTACATGTACGGCAACTGCTGCCACACACATACAGTATTTATGCCTGTGCAAAAAACAGGTTGCCCTTTATATTGTATTTATCAAGTATATAAAGTTGTGTACAAAATGGGTAACACCTTTCAACTGGATCTAATTAAGGTATTTATGAATGTACACAATTGGGTTTCACTCTTATATAGAATCTATTTTCGGTATATATATAGGTGTGTTCAAAAACGGGTTGGACTCTTAAATGAAATCATATTACGGAGTGCAAAAATGGATTTCACTCCTCAATTGTATACCATATTTGCTATAAAATTATTTACCCAATAAATATCTATATTACTAAAATGAAACTCTTTTTTCTTTCCAAAACAGATGTGAGAGATACATAAGTAATGTTTAAAAAAAAAGAAAAAGAAAAAAAATATAGACGCTTCTAGGTTTTGAACTCACGCCCCTAAATGTTCAATTTCAGAACTCTTCATAGCGGAGGTAATAAAATAAAGATTTGTCTAAATAGCAAAGATATGGTCAGACACTCACATTGATATTTCCATAGACTTACATTATAAGAAATGGTCCCTTATCCTACCTTAAAATTCAGTTTTCATGCTAAAGAGGTATTTTTTCTAGCAGAATGAAATGCCTGACACATAAAAATGTTTCTGTTATATAGGGGTAGCCGACCAAATTTTTTGCAAATTGACTTCAAAGAGGATTACCCCCCATTTCATTGAAATTTTCTGCTGATCACAGGACTGACATACACTTTTTATAAATGCAAATATCCAAGTCAAAATTATCACAGAGACTCATGAAATATTTCATTTTCTTCAGAAAACATTGTAGTGTTACTTTTTAAATTAGTTTTTATACTTAAAAACACCCCACTTTCATCCAATCGCCTCATGTATAAACTGAATCATACGGTTTTCCCTGCACTTTTTTTCAGCCAATCACTGGCCGTGTTACAATACGATACCCTGACCATATTTTGTTTGAAAATAGTTCACAAATTTATTGTTTTAAACAATCCTAAAATGCAAACAAATTTGTGATTGATCCAAATTTTCAAGTACATGTATTAGGTTATCTTAACTAACAAGAATAACAATGTGCTTCGATTTTTCTACACTGTGAGAATATAGTTTATTCTATCATTTTCTTTCGCGCTTCATTACCGTTTGGGTGGAGTTTGCAAAAACGCTCTATTAAGCAAAAACGGGTCGCAAAACAGCCGTCCCCAAATGGATTCAGCGTACCTGAATTATGTAAAAACGATTGACTACCTGCTGGTACTAAAAATGTCGTTAGACTCTTTTCTGAAAATCAAACCCGTCTATTACTGTGTAGCATCCTTGTAACTTAAAGAAATCTCCACGTGAATGCATCCTCTAATATCTTCAAGATTATTTTGATAAAAATAATAATAATAAAATCATTTTCTCTCTCTCTCGAGAAGTACATATAAGAGTACAAAGTTAAATGTTTAAACTATTGATGTTTAACATAAGCTGTACAAAGCTTGATGAATCAGAAATAAAACATTGGTGATTAATCAGAAGATATTGATCATCAAAACATACAACGCAATTTCCACAAGTCTGTTGATTATAGTGCACATCAAACTGCGTTTGCATAATAAAGGAATATAATTGCAATAGCGAAAATGCCTTTTTGTCAAGTTTTCCTGCAGCAAAACAAATCTTGCTGGGGAGTGTCCTTTTGACATAAGCAAACTAACAATTTTTTTCTATATATACAGTGTACAAAGAAATAAAAACAGAAAAAAACTTGCGTAGCAGGAACGGTCAAAGGAGTCATAAAATTGATAAATGTTAAAAAAAAAATCAAGTCACAATTCAGGTGTTCTATCTTGACCGCAATAGAAAACAGATTTAAGTGATTGATATAGATACTGTATTTTAATAATTATTTGCTTTTTATTTTTCATTAAGCACCGTGAACTTGCAAAAAGTTGTAACCGGGTTTTTTAAAATCCAAATAAAGATTTTTTCCCGCAAAAAAAGTCTGGGTTTACTACATAGACAGAACCCCTAATTTTTGGAAAAAATTTTTTAAATTTTCCCCGCAATAATTTTCAAGATGAAAAATTTTTAAGGCTACCTTTTATTTTATCAGATGGATATTATCAGGGGTTTATTTTCCTATATGTCTATCGTTTTGTTTAAAATTAACAAATGTTTTTAAATATGAACTTTTATGATTTTTATCAAACGGGAAAAAGATTCAAAAATTAATAAAGTGCAACAATTTTTTTTTTTACATAAAAAACCAAGTATCTGTCAGTTTAAAACAAACAGCTGGTAAAAACTTTTTTTCGTAGTAGGGCCGGGCTTTTCCCAAAAAAAAGCTGGGGATGTTTTCTTTTAAAATAAAGCAAACCAAATTTTCCCCTTTTACTTTATCTTGTGATTTGCTTTATACCAAGGTAAGATTTTGTATTTTAACTTTTCATAAATTTTCTAGAAGCATGTTTAATTTTTAGCTCGATTGCGGCGACTGAATCTGCCAATGCGACTAATGCAGAACAAGATCATCCTGCACGCTTGTCGTCAGATCATCTGGTATGTTTTGCTCGCTATTCAGTCAATGTTGATTTTGAAAAAATACCTTAAACTGATGAATTGTTGTGTCCAGCTTGAAAAATAGACAACCGTTTAATATATTTAGTGTGGAAAATGTTAATGTTATGATTCCTTCTACTTTTAAAATAATTTTTAAAATTCAAGTGCATTGATAATGTTTTCACGAGAGTATTTAGATATTTAGTTAACAAAGTTAATTTTATGTTCTTTTAAATTACCTCTAAAACGATAAAATAATACCTAAATAACTCTAAGCTGAACATTAGAGTATCAAAGCTTTAGGCCGACTGTTTATCATGAGGAAATTGTTTATCATGACAGAAAAAATTGAAAATACATGTATGTTTCTAGTCAGATCTCACGAGACATTGTACCAACTTGAATTAATTTTTGTATTTGTTGTTTATTGTTATATTCTTTTTTTCCAAGACAGTTATCCGGGATGTATTTCTTTACCTATATTCAAACAGAATCAGGATAAAATAATGCTACGTTTTCTTTTCGTTCGGAGTCTTGTACCGAATTTATATTCAACAATAAAAAAAAGGAACGCCGAAATATTCGTTGTTTTACTGCACTCCGCAAAGTTAATTGTAACTTAGAGTACATATGTATGAAAGTAAATGGAAAACAAATCCTATCAGTATAAATTCCTTTCAGGGCATCTTTCTGTTGGCTATTTAATACACTTACTGCAGTGACAAAATAACAATGGGGAAGTTTCTGATAACTTTTTTGGTGAGTGTTTCCTACTTATTTTTTACTTTACTTAGATGTAAATTATATTTTATTTCTTTGGTTTCCTGAAAAAACTTATTTTTTAAATCACACAGGTTTAGGTTCGTGGATATTTCTTAAGGGTACTTAAACATGGATACATGGTTTTTTCCAGCTGTTTGTATTGATAATAGTGTTTATAAAAGCATCGAAATCGAAGCCGAAGAGTGGTGAAACAAATGAAAATAAATCTGTAAGTTCAAAATCAAGAAGTTTCTCGGATGGGAAAGGAAACAGAAATGAATCTGCAAGTTCAGAATCAAGAAATTTCTCGAAAAAGAAAGGAAAGGGAAACGGCAGATGTAATGACCACGATCAGGTAAATTAATTTAAATCACCTTATAATGTTTCCGCCTCAATTTAATTGCCGTTTTGGCTTCAAACAAAATTATGAAAATAAAAACATTGCTGATATATCTTTCGTTATGTTTGGACTACTTGTATATCAAGATTATATTAATTTGGGATGAATGCACAGATTGTAATGTGTACTAAGCAACCTCCTTTAAAATGTACCCCCGATGTTTCAAGAAGATAACTCTGCAATTATACTATTTTAGATGCACCTGATAAATGTCTTAAATCAACGCGTACTTTGCCATTTTGTTTGCAAATGACGATAAAACAATGTTTTATATATTTATTGTTTCAAATATCAAATTATTTCTAAAATCCTTATGTGTACATCTATATACTCTAGTGCCCAGATGACTATGCATGCTTATTGGCAGAGGGAAAAAAAGTGAAGAAATGCGTTCAGTGTGAGTAAAGATGTTACATACTTACATATACATTAAAAGCATTAGCATTGCATTATGTACAGCTTTATTAAAATTATGTCAGTTTCTCTGCATAATTGTGCAATATCATTTGTTTTCTTGCACATATTGTGTATTAATTACTATAGACTCGTATAATATCTCCGCTAACACTTCGCATTATTTCTATTATTGTACCGAAAAATAGCTTATTACTGAAACATGGAATACTTAAACAGTCAAAAGAACATTTTCGTTCCAGTCTGCCCGCTTAAGGATTACGGACCTAAATGGTCACCAAATGGAAACAGCGTATCAAAACATTTTTTTCCTTTTCTATATACATGTAGTGTAAGACAATCGGTATTCAAATATAAGCAAAAAACCATATCCATCCATTTTTATTTTGTATTCATTCTTTTTAGTGCCACTATACGTAGAGCAATAACAATGGTCAAAATTTTTAATGAAAGTATTGTAGAATTGTTGTCAAAGTGTTTTGCATGTACATGCCCGAGAGCCAAATCAACCTTAATTTTTTTTCATTACCACCCTATTTATTAAAAAAATGAATAATTATTATTTTAGGTAATTGTTCGGAGACAAGCCAATGTTATCTTGAAAGGGAAACGACGTTCTGCAATTGCTCAGGAACTGGGTTCACAGGACAATATTGTGAAACATGTGAATGTGATATAATTTACTTAGAATTTAATTTTTTTTATAAAGAAAAACTTCACCCATTCTATTTGTTTTAGCCTTTGTTTTCCATAACAACCACCTTATGTATTGATTGTATATTAAACTGACATGCTAACTTACTGTTAAGATATTATTTATTTTTCAACCGAAAATATTTTTTAAATGACTTACAAATAATTGTGCTGCATCTTCCTACATTTTAGTGCTACCGCAATGTCCAATGGGATGGTATCAAAACAGAAACAGCTGTTACATCTATGACTGCACGGCGCGTGATTGGCTGTCCGCTGTTGTAACACGACAATCTTCTTTTTAAAATATTCTCAAATTTAATATACCGCTAATACCTCGATGCAATTTATAAAATGACCTTTTCAAAAAATAAAGTTCTGTAAAGAACTAGCAAGGTTTTGGCTTTTTGCCGATTAAATTTTAAAACATTAATAACAGTGTTTTAACAAAACGTTGAGAATCCATCATTGAGAATCATAAGAGTAATTTGAAGTCGCCATATACTCTGCTTTATCAAGAAAACGAATAATACTTCTTACTGTCGCTGTTTCGATATTACACATAGAGTCATGTATTACTTTTTCGAAAATACAGATAAGTAAGTGTTCATAATTTCCACCATTTATTTTTTATTTCTAGTGCTATTCGAATAATATTTTCATTATCTCAACAGTCGCACTGCCAGTCCCTTAGTCCGAACGGATATCCGAACTCTTATCTTATTGAGATAACAGATGAAGAGGAAAGCCAAGTTGCATTTGCCATTTCAAGCATTACGGGTGTTTCAAGTAATTCATACCATCTTGTATACTTGCAGTTTTATATATGAGCCGTGTCACGACAAAACCAACATAATGGGTTTGGGACCAGCATGGATCCAGACCAGCCTGCGCATCCGCGCAGTCTGATCAGGATCCATGCTGTTCGCTATCAGTTTCTCTACTTGAAATGGGGTTTTGTAAGCCAAAACAATGGACCTGATCAGCCCTGCGGGGAATCCCCGGGAACACTATGTTTTTTTTGGGTTCTTGACGCGGTTTTTGTATCAATATAACCGGTAAAACAAGTTTTATAACACCCCTTTAAATTTTCATTCATTTTTTTTTCTTTTCCCAAAAAGCTTTTCTTTTGTTAAACTAAAAAAAAGGGTTAGAAAAACCCAAAATGTGTTTTTTTTTTTTTTAAATTTTGACAGACGTTTAAATTGGTTTATAAAGATACGGAGACGGAAGGCTTTTTTAAATGGTTTAAATTCCGGAAAACATTTTAAAACATCCCAAACCTGAAGATATGAAAATATCGATCCCTTTTTACGATTTTTGACTATTACAAATAATATTCTAAAAACTATAAAACCGGGGAAAATTCCCTGGCCCGTTTTTCATCTGCATTATGAACACTGGGATGCAGAGAAGTGTTCTGAGTACAAGTCTGTAGTGTGCGAGATGCCAGCTTTAATACAGGTAAGTTTATTCATGAATATATAACAATTTATCCCCGATATGAATGGTACATTCGGCATTATCACCATGATTAACAAATAAAGAAACCCCTACACTGGCCCATACACATATAAAGTACGAATATTATATAGATATATAATAATACATTGCAAAATGAGAGCTTTTATAATAGAAATAATGCAGAGTTTCATTTGATAATATAAAATGTACTTATCAACCAATTATTTACAAAATCTGATCTCGTTCTTTTTAGACAGAGACATATTGTTCTATCCTGAAAGAATGTTGTATGCTGTCAATACAATTCAAAATATATTAGAAATTGTATGGATATTATATGTTATAAGCAGAATACAAGTTTCAATTTTAATCGTTGAAACCAAAATTGCGATAAACTTATCAAAGAATTACTATACAACTGTTCTATTGCAGTAAAATGGACAGAAGATGGGACGAAGTCTATGGACATGACATTTTGTTTTATTTAGGTCGTTATAGTGCATACTGTTAACTGGTTAATCAATGAATAATGATATTGTTGATAAGTGGGATTTTGTTTACTTTTGTTGCTTAAACTGTTCAGTTAATGAGAGATAATCTTGCTTGTCAAAGAGTGATTGTTCCATTCGATGTTCATATGTATTTTGTTCTTTAATTCGTTATTATACATTTTCTTTATACTTTAAATTGTTTAGTCAATGAATAATGATATTATGTTTACGACAATGTTAGTGTAAATAGAGGTAGTTATTTAAATTTGTTTTGTCATCTTGTATCACGTGGGTTATAATAATAAAATTGATGGGACAACAAATTGCGTTGGTTTTTTAATGATATAATTATATTGTTACTTCGGTCTAAACGCTATAGACACTGTTCAGTTTTATTAACTTATATCTGTTAATGTTCCTTATAGTTGTAAATTTGGCTAAGAAACATAAACACATAGTATATTTTCAGATGAGCCGTGTCATGACAAAACCAACATAATGGGTTTGCGACCAGCATGGATCCAGACCAGCCTGCGCTTCCGCGCAGTCTGATCAGGATCCATTCTGTTCGCCTACAAAACCTATAACAAGTAGAGAAACTGATAGCGAACAGCATGGATCCTGATCAGACTGAGCGGATGCGCAGGCTGGTCTTGATCCATGCTGGTCGCAAACGCACTATGTGGATTTTGTCGTGACGCGACTCAGATTATGTTCATTTCACAAGCAATATAAATAGATGTTTATGATGAAGTAATCTTACACCATTAAACTGGTGGTGGTGTCAGGCTTAATGCAAGCAACCAGTGCCAACCAAATCAGCCGGTGTAACAAAGTAAAGTGACCGCATAAAATTTTGATCCCCGATCTATATTTTTTAATGAAAATAAACTCCCGGTCAAAGTATTATGACCTTCACACACGGGAAGAAAATGACCTTCGCGAAGAATTGTGACCCCCACGCCCTTAAATAATGACACCCTGTCGTTTGTTGTCATGTTTTTAAAAAAATATTACCCCTTTCATAATATACGAGAAGTTTATAACGGTTTTTAATAAGAAATGAAGAAACTTGAAACTTTTCAAGTTAATTCATGATTAAATTTCAAGACTGATGACATTCTATCTCGAAGCTCTTTTCTCTTTGGTTTGTGTATAGCGTTTGATTAATTACTAGAGAAGCAAGGAAACATATACTTTTTAGTTATATTTTTTATAGATAATGAATTTGGGGTTTAATGTTTTTTTACTGGGCAGAAGGACTGCTAGCTGTCATTCTGTATCCAATTGAGCGGTGAGCAAGTTGTTAAGGTGTCTGTCTTTCCACCCTGGGATCATGGGTTCGAACCTTACTGAAGGTCTTACCCGGTATGTATAAAGACACCATTTCAGGTTAGTTCCAAGAAATTAACTCTGAACATATTAATTCATTCTTGTATCAGCTTCAAGTTTTCATCATGATCGAGCGAAGATTTATATGTTTTACCTCAGTCAGTATTTTGTAAGTTTGGGATACTTTCAGGTTGGAGAGAAGGTAGTGACACATTGAGTCTTAAATCGAACCAACATTTATAAAAAGGGGGAATCATTTAAAATATTGCTTTAAAATGATAACTGGGGGAGAATATTTTACAAGTTACAGTTAACTGGTATTTATTTTCAGAGAGATTTATTATGTATTCATAGAAAAGGGGTCACCTTTTTGTGTGGAATAATGACTAGGTGTCAGTATTCTTTTTCTATACACCAAACACGATTTTGGATGAACGGACAGACGGACAAAGCGATAAAGTTAAGCACACCTCAAGGACGTAATAACCAATGCTTTTGTAATAGTTCCATAGTGTTTAAGTTTCTGCTAGATGTGATCAACATTTTGTACTGTATACTTTTCTCACAATGTTTTACTTAAATTGGATCACTTTTAGTTTAGAATTATGACCGGTGAACCATTATTTAAAAATGACATTATTTCCTTTTAAAATATCCAGTACGGGCAGTATATTAATTATGAGCCATATAATCGAAGTAAAGGAGTCCGCTCTTGGAAATGTAACCATCTCCTAAAAAGTAATCTGAGTATGATTATAGCATGAACTTGCAAAAGCAAAACATCTCTATCAACGTGAATTTTTTTTTACAAAACTTATATTTCAACAATTATTGATTACTTTTCAAATCAATTGGGAACATGAAGCATGTTAGAGGGTATATTTTGTGTCCCATCTATAACTTCTTCATAGTTCAAGGGATTTTGAAAATACTTGGTACAAATAGTTACAATAATAAGACAATATGTCATGCACAACACCTGGACCCCTACCTCCAAGGTCAATGTCACACTAAGAGGTCAAAGCTTAACATTCATTTTATTTCTTTAATAAATTTATTGTTGCATTTGCAGATCTAGCATTTATCATAATTTTGGACTGAAAATCCATACCTCAATCTTTTGAAATAGCACAATTTCATGCTTCATATAAAACTTCGCCGAGGCGGGGGACGTTGGTAACTCTGTTACAAATTCTTGTTCAACTTTGAATTTCTTGGATAACCTTTTTGTGATGGTTCAATCTATAAAAACTATCAAGGATATACAATTTAAACTTTTCTTACTTATTCACTTAGAAAATTAGAATTTATTTTTAAAGGGAAGGTAAACAATCCTGAAAGTCCTTTTTGTTTAACTATCTCCCTTTTTGACTGAGAAAATAATATCCTAATTTTCTCTAAAACCATCACAGATATTCAATCTAAACTTGAAAGACTTGTGTACTATCAAGAGTCAATAATTCTGCCACACTTTTGCAGAAATATGCCTCCTTTTCTACTTGTCAGACTAATCACTGAAATAATTATAGGCTATATGATAAAGAATATTGTCGAAGGATATACAGGTACTTTCAATACTTTATTATTTATTAATTTATGCAGGTCGTGGAGTTAGGACAGTTGTAGACAGGTGCAAGGGAGACTTCCTGCTCACTTATGGTGGATAGTTGATAAGTGGGGAAGAAGGAAGAAAACGAGAGGAAGAATGTGAATCAACCTTTCGTTTTTTCTTTGTTTTCAATGGAAAAGACTGGTGGTAAGTTGACCTTTTTCTTGTAAAATGAGATCGTAAAAACATGAATTGACTCTTCCATATGTTTTACAAGAAAAGCATTGATGCAAAGCATCAAAGGGCGACGCCAAAATAATTTGGTCCAGTTTTGCACATACATACTTAACAAAAGATGTGTACTTTATAGCAGCACCATTACTTGTGACCTGAAAGCTAGGCCCAGTTTAAGTTGAAACTAAAACCAAAAATAAAAGACTCTGTCTTGCCAAGATGCAAAGACAATTTATAGTCAATTAACCAATCTTATAAGACTCTTTCTATAAGAAAGAATTTCTTCAGATTTATTTTACCAGATACAAAGATACCTGAGTCATCAGCATATAATCACAGGCACGAGTATCGGACCTGGGAAGAAAAAATATAAAAATATGACCAGATTGATAAACAAGAGCGATCAGTAACCACATGTGTCGCCTCATGATGGCCAATTTCATGTTGGGACAAATTTTGTGACAGACGGACAGACAGACGGACAGTGCACAACTAGACTTGGTACTGATCATTCCTGTAAAGTTTGGATAAAATTGCACCAGTAGTTTATGAGGAGTAGTCCGGACAAGCTTTTGCGTATCTGGCAACACACAGAAAAAAACATCTTTTTATCAAAGGGCCATAACTCAACCAAAAATCATACAACCGGAAAACCCGTGCCATATGCGTAAGGACTTGAGCTACAGATCAATCCTGTTAAGTTTCATTGAAATTACATTAGTGGTATAAGAGAAGTAGTCCGGACAAACTTTAAAAATAAAAATTATTGAAGGGCCATAACTCTGACAAAAATCATTGAACCAGAAAATGCTGACAATATGCACAACTAGACTTGGTAGTGATCATTCCTGTAAAGTTTGGATGAAATTGCACCAGTAGTTTATGAGGAGTAGTCCGGACAAGTTTTGTGACGGACGGACAGACAGACGGACGGACAGACCACGGATTTACATTACATAAATCCGTGTTGGAAACAAAAGATTCAGATGTCACTCACTCACTGATCTTTTTCTACCGTCAATCAGAAATAATTCTAGGAATTTCTGAGGGTCATGTTTTGTGTTGGGTAGAGTAATTTATTTTTTTTTCTTGAGTTAATTAATAAATCTCCAATGTTAAGCCTTGTTTCGAAATTTCGTTCGGTTCTGAGCATTTGTATTTCTTAAGTTGTTGGCCCCGGAAAAATAAAACGCATACGTGAAACATTCGTCATCTTAATGTCTCCAAATCCATGGGCAATGACGGTCTTCATCCTTATTTATTACGAGAATCTGCAGCTGTTTTATGTGATCCTTTATGTAGGATAATGAATAAAACCTTTAAGAATGGTGATTTACCAGATGCTTGGAAAGAAGCTAATGTTAAAGCTTTGTATAAAAACAAGGGTGATAAATGTGATCCTTCAAATTATCGCCCTATCTCTCTAACTTCAATAACATGTAAAATATGTGAAAAAAAACTGTTCGTGACACCCTAATGCAACACATGAATATAAACAACCTTTTCTCGGATGATAAATTTGGCTTCAGAAACAAAAGGAATTGTATTCTTCAACTTCTGACTGTTTTAGAAGATTGGACTAAAGCTTTTTATGAAAGTTGTCAAGTAGACTCAATTTATTTGGACATTAAAAAAGCTTTTGATACTATACCTCACAATCGTTTACTTTTGAAGTTAAAGAACTATGGTATTGACAATCTCATACTGAATTGGATTCACAATTTTCTGACTAATAGGAGACAAAGGGTTTGTGTTGAAGATAGTTCTTCTACTTGGTCTAATATCACGTCAGGAGTTCCCCCAAGGTTCAGTCCTTGGTCCAGTTTTATTTATCATTTACATAAATGATTTACCTGAAGTTGTTCAGTCTACATGTAAGTTATTTGCTGATGATAGCAAATTATACAGGAAGATTGATCAGTTGTTACTTCAACAAGACTTACTACGTTTATGTGACTGGTCAGCGGACTGGCTGCTTCAATTTTCCATTCCAAAATGTAAATCAATGCAGATTGGTAACATCAAGCTTCCATATATCTACGAAATGAAAGACTCTAATAGTCAAAATATCTCTTTACCTAAAGTTGATAGTGAGAAGGATCTCGGCATCACATTCCAAGATAATCTTAAATTTGATCAACATGTCTTAAATACTGTAAATCGTACAAAGAAATTAACGGGTTTAATAAAGAGAAGTTTTTCCTGCATGACAATACCTATGTTCTTGACTGTCTACAAAAGTCTGATAAGATCAATTGTTGACTATGAATCTTCTGTTTATTTTCCATCTACAAAGAAAAACATTCAATTGATTGAAAATATTCAAAGAAGGGCAACTAGAATTATTCCATCATTGAAAGGTTTATCCTATGAACAAAGACTTGAAAGGCTTAATTTGCCAACATTTTTATATCGTAGACAACGATTTGACCTCATTCAAATTATAAAATAATTAATGTGTTTGATAATGTTGACCCGGATATTTTTTTGTGTTCAATGATAACTGTACACGTGGACATATATTCCAGCTATTTAAACCAAGTGTGAATAAAACACTAAGGAAAAATTCATTTCCTATTAGATGCATTGACCAGTGGAATAATTTAGATGAAAACATTGTTCTCAGTGAAAGTGTTTTGATATTTAAAACTTTACTCGACCGGAGCTGGCAGTCAAAGATTTAATACAAGTGACATTTACTGAAGTTATCTTGATAATACTGTATAGGAGGAGCTTACTAGCCATCTTGGCTTAAATGCTCAGAAGAAGGAGAAGGTAAAGGTAATGTAGAATTGGATAAATACCGTCCAAACACAAGGATTTAATGTATGTGTTTTGTATTGAATAAACATCATGAATCTGTTTTAAAATTTTATGCTATGATAGCGTCAAAGCACGTTTATTTCGTATTATAACGTCTGCAGAGTCCCTCGGAACTGTTGGAGCCCTCGCCACCAACCATTCCTCGGGACTCTGCAGACGTTATAACACGGAAAAACGTGCGTTAACCCTATATTAAAGACGAGAGAGAGTGGACTTCAATATTTTAGAGTTAAAATTAGTTAGATTTTATGTTACTCGTTATGTTACTTGTTGTCTTCATAATGGTCTGTGTGATGGAATTTTCTTATAGTTGTCACTTGGAACCGATGTGGTTGACTAACTTTAGATAAATGTTTAAATGAAAGGCAGTACCACTAACAGTATCACAAATGCATGTGTTCTTTTGTGTAAACTAGGTCAATCAGCGACTAGGTCATATCCAAGTTTAGTTTGGACAGCCATTCTGTAAATTGGCGTATAAATATAACTGTTTCCACTGGAAAGATCCATTATGCTGGTAACTCTCGATGGCCTGAAATTTGCACATGACCCTCTGCCTCACAATAGTGAACATTTGTGCCAAGTTAAAATGAAATCCCATTTTAATCTGACCTCAAAGTGTGACCGTGACCTTTGACTTAGTTCATGTGCGCGACACTCTCGTCTCTGGTGTATCAAGAAATACTGCAATCCTTCCATGCATGTAGAAGAAATGCTCCCAGCAAACTTGATATCGCTTGCCCATAATATGATGTTTTTCATATGTGCATATATATATATATATACTGAACCAAAAAAGAAACTTTCGCAAAGTATGTGCCAGTTGTTCAAGGGTACCACTTAAATGTACACACATATATGCATGTAGTAGCTTGTAAAACTCGTTTTGTTTGTAAAATCAGTCAGCTAATCACCGTATAAAAGCCAGATATGTTTATTCAACGTAAAAATCGAGTTTCAAAAGGATTGAAAAACTGTACTAACATAATTATCTACATTCAAACTTGGAGAAAGTTTCTTTTTTGTTTCAGTATATATGGTAAAAGTACTTTTTTCTGAAGTGGTTCTTGTTAACTAAAAAGGTTAACACTGTTGAAGAAGTATCCATCCTACCCTTACTTTCAATATAAATAGTTTTGTTACTGAAGAAAAAAAAGTTCAACAAAATCTCATTTCTTCCACTTTTATTATTATTGTTGTTGAATAAATAATTTCATGTTGTTAAAAGTCTATTTCACTCTTTGTTTTAGGACACTCATTTCTTCACCTCGCCAATATCGTCAATATCATCTTCATTTATCTGGAAATACAAATATAATACTAGTATTTTGTATGACATTATTTTGTATATAAAAAACAACTTTAGCTAAAATCATCAGTCCACCATGTATCAATCACTTTATGCTAAACTCTGTCAATCACTAATTTAAAGTAACTCCACTGAGATTCAAAAGCCTAAGAGATAAATTCAGAAATTTTCAAAGATCTAGGGCAGGGGACTTAAAATGAAAAATATGCAAAAAATAAAAAAGAAATATACTTGGAATTACATTGAAAAATGTTTTTGTGTGATTCTTTGCCAGATTTGAGAAAAATGTGTTAAAACACCTTTTTTTGCGGTGGGGTCATTCTGAACAATTAAAATGATAAAAAATTGCTTGGAACATAACTCAGCGTGTGAATGATATAAAACTGTGTACACAAAGTATTAGTCCAGGCCTTCATTGAATGGTTCACAAATACTGAAAAATTATTTCCAGTTCGGTCATGTCAAAAATCTCGGTGGAGTCCCTTTAAACTATGTTACATTAATCAGTAACCAATCACTGCATACTTGGAATTCATCAATCAAGTACATGTATCTATCACCACTAATACTAGTATCCTTCAATCATCAAACAATAGTGAACTATAAATGAGCCGCGTCGCGACATAACCAACATAGTGCGTTTGCAACCAGCATGGATCCAGACCAGCCTGCCCATCTACGCAGTCTGATCAGGATCTATGCTGTTCGCTTACAAGCCCTATAACAAGTAGAGTAACTGATAGCGAACAGCATGGATCCTGATCAGACTGCGCGGATGCGCAGGCTGGTCTGGATCCATGCTGGTTGCAAACGCATTATGTTGGTTTTGTCGTGACGCGGCTCAAATAGTCTTCATCAGTCAACAGGCATTATGTACAGACTATTCTATTCCATATATTAGGTTTAGCTATTCAGTTCCATATAAAGGATGTAGGTATTCAGTTCCATATATTGGTACAACAGAAAAGTCTTTCAATAGTCAGGTGTCCTAAGGTACATTATAGAAAGGAGCATACTGAATTTAATTGCACAGTAATGATAAAGGTCATGTCTTCAAAGTTTAATTGAGACAATTTTTCCCATTCAGCAAAGGAGCACAAGAGCTGTTGGAGAAGCACCTAACTCCCCTTTCCCAATACTGAATAGTAATATCATCAATAAGGAGATAATTTATAAGGAGATAATTCAAATTGACCTTCGATCCTACAAACATAAGGGCCATGATGGCCCTGAGGTCGCTCACCTGTATATAGGCCTCCCCCTCCCCCTGAGAGGGCCAATTTTAACCCAAGGGCTTTTATTTGAACAAACTGGGTAGACACCCATAAGAAGATGTTTCATGCTAAACATCTAAGCTCTAGCTCATTGGGTTTTTTCAAAGAAGATTTTTTAAGTTTTTACTATACACATATAGTTATAAACAATGACACCCCTGGGGCGGGCCAGTTTTGACCCCAGGGCTTTTATTTGAACAAACTTTGTAGACACTTACTAGAAGATGTTTCATGCTTAATATCTAAACTCTAGCTATTCAGGTTTTTTCACAGAAGAGTTTTAAGTTTTTGCAATACACATATAAGGAAAATCAATGACCCCCGGGGCGGGGCCAATTTTAACCCCAAGGCTTTTATTTGAACAAACTTGGTAGACACCCATTAGAACATGTTTCATGCTAAATATCTAAGCTCTAGCTCTTGGAGTTCTTTAAAAGAAGATTTTTTAAGTTTTTACTATATGCATATTGGGAAAATCAATGACCCTCTGGGGCAGGGCCAGTTTTGACCCCAGGGCTTTTGTTTGAACAAACTTGGTAGACACTCACTAGAAAATGTTTCATGCCAAATATCTAAGCTCTAGCTCTTAGGGTTTTTTAAAAGAAGATATTTAAAGTTTTTTAAGGTAACCACCAAAGGAACATTCCTGTGAAGTTTGGATGAAATTGGCTTAGTGGTTTAAGAGGAGATGTTATTTAAAGTAAAAGTTTACGGACGGACAGACGCCGGACGGAAGCCGGACGAAAAGCAATCACAAAAGCATGGCAAGCAGAACACATCAATATACATCCACATATAAATAAGTTTCTTGTCAGAACTGAATTTACTGACCATAAACAAAAACATAATCAAAAAAGTTTACAAAGGTCATTGAGAATCTGCTTTTTCTGAAACAAATGGAGCTCAAAACGAACTTTTATTGCATAATTACATAATTGTTACTTACAGATTTCCATTTTTCAGGTAGAATATCAAAAAGATCATCTTTCACATCACCTTGAATCACTATCTCATCCTCTGCCTGTATGTTTGAACCACATGCAAACTTGTTGGCAAAATATTTGCTTGCCTCTTTCAAGTCTATATCTGTGAATATAATCACAATATTAAATTCCAGAAATTTATAAATCCTGTGTGAGAGAAGTCGCCAAAAGGAAATAGGCAATAAAACATAAAAGAAAATGGAAAGTGCACATATCCTAGCTTCTGCTTCAGCAGTATTTAATAAATGTTACATAGTAAAATCTATTATTTGAAGCAAAAAATATAACAACATTGAGATGAAAAGACTTTACAACTGCCACACAGCACCTGTGTGTATGTATCAAAAATATTTTCTTTTAAAACATTGATTCATCCAGATAAAAAAAGTGTAAATTGTAAATTCCAATATCATTTTTTATTTCATTTTTTTTTTTTTTTTTTTTTTGAAAAAGTAATTTAGTAGAACTATACGGTTATAAAGAATGAGACCAACAGCAAGTTTTCACATGTATGGAAACAAATCAGTAAAAACTTTAGAATTCTTATTTCAAGTCTTGTTGCAATATACATATATGATATAGTATAAAAACAAAATCGGGCTTGGAACTTTGTTAATGCTCAATATTGTCTTATAAAAAATCAATTTTAAGATACTAAAAGATATGTCAGTTATTTAAATTTGGGGCTTAAATTTTCCCTTTGATAACATTTTCTTCCATACCATAATGTTTTAACTCCCCTTTATTAATTTAAATACGATAATAATTTGTCAAAGACATACAATCATACTGATATTTAAAATTGACAATTTGGTGTAGATGGACAATTTATTGCTGATACAGCTGTTATATTGTTATTTATAATGCTGCATGTTTGTAACGTTCATTTTCATTGGATAATCTTGGCATTTTTATTTTTTTATATACAAACAGTTGCTGCAAAATTTATTATATATATTTTAACAAGAACTGTCGGAGGACAGTAACACTCCACTATTCGAAAAGTTGTCACAAGTGTGTTTCATGGAGTATAATAATGCTTACCTATATGAATACATAAAATTGTCCGAAAAGGTACAATTTAAGGCTTGTTATTAAGATGTTTTATCAAGTTAATCACTGCTTTATTATTATGAATGCATAAAATTGTACCAAAAAAGGCACAAACCCTTCAGTAGTTATGGAAAAACCAGCTTACAAGCAAAAACTTTACCAAGAATTTCTAAGGCGAAAAGGTGCATAATTATGAAAAAAAATCAGAATTATGGGACTTGTGCCAATCATGTTTAATAATCACAGAGAACAAGTGTGTGAAGTTTAAATCCATTCCCTTTAGTAGTTATGTAGATACCAGCTTAAACGCAAAAACTTAACCAAAAATTTCAAAGTCGAAAAAGGGGCATAATTATGCAAAAAAAGCAAATCAGACTTATGGGACTTGTGCCAATTATGTAAGATAATCACATAGAACAAGTGTGTGAAGTTTTAATCCATTCCCTTCAGTAGTTATGGAGATACCAGCTTACACGCAAAAACTTAACCACAGGGACGCCGACACCGACAAATGGATGACTGCATTAGCTCGATTATTCTGCGAATAGTCAAGCTAAAAAGGAGAAAACAATAGTGTTGAATCATAATTTCACTATAAAATCTTTGACAGTTATATGGCTGTGTATAAACAGTTGTGTGCTATATACATGTTTATTATACTGCACGTTTGTAATGACGCTTTTCATTGGATAATTGTGACGTTTATATACCAACTGCTCTCAAATCATGAAGAAATCTTACTTGTAGATATAAAGACTTTTGAAAGGTTATATGGCAGTATATAAACGGTTGTTTGCAATATACATTGTATTTACAAGCAACCATTTATACAGGGCAATATAACGTGCCAAAAATCTTTATAACTAATAATATAACCGTTGTTTAACAGGCTGGGTTATACAATATATGAGCTTAATAGTTTATAATGACATAAACAAAAGAATCAATGTCAAACAAACCATAAGAAGCCAGTCCCATGACAATTGTCACCATTTTCTTCTTGCCACGTTTTGCAGTGCCAAGTTTAATGCCCTGGGGTTCAGACTTTTTCTTTGCCTTCACAGTCCCTTTACCACCTCTGGTCTGTCTCTTCTTTTTCTCTCCGTCATCTCCCTCACCACCTGCTTCCCCATCACCTGTAGGTAATTATATCTCATATCTCAAACAAGAACAATTATAACAAAGGAAGTACAGTTTTGTTTATCAACAAAATAAGAATACCAGTAACCAGTAACAATGTAAACTGTACCATGCTTAAAACATTGTCTTACACTTACGAAAAAAGTAGGGAACCTTATATCTACATGTACGATTAGTGACCTTATTCTTATCAGATCATAATTGTAGAGTTCAGTTGAACCAAATAATCATCATTCCCGAAGATACTTATTACAATTGATATAAACTTTATTATAAAGTGATTTCAAAGTTCTATCATACTTTCCTCATTCATACTGACTCCTACAAGTAAAACTTAAATGAAAATTATTGTCAGTCTTTTCAGGAGGAGCCATCATACCAGTATAGTAAAGTAAATATAAGTAAATATCCTATACATGTACATATAATATTAATTTTATGATAATTACTAAACTAAATAAAATGTATCTACCTTTACATGATACCAGTCTTTCAAATTCACCAGGTAGATGAGATTCCAACCATTTCTTACACTTTTCGTAATTTGGATAGAACTCACAATACTGAAAATAAATGTATCATTGAAAAACAACTTTGATATAAATGCCTACCTGTTTGAAGACTATAATCATTCTTTATTGCTTAAACCATCTATAAATATTGTAACAAATGTGAATTTATTCAGTTGATAACATAAATATATGGTCTGTTGAGTCATACAGATAACACTACACAAATCTGTCTGCTTAGGGAGATCATTGGATTTTGCTGGTACAATCCTTGATCAAGGTAAAAGTTCTCTGTGACAATTGATCTCTGACATTTAGTCTTATGGTTATTTGTATCTCACTGCTGATTGTGAAATCACATGGTATTTGTAGCCTGTACATGCAGTTAGCCTGTACATGCAGTTATCCAAGGAAACTGCTTAGGTGGACCCATTGCCAAATATTACAAAACATGTTGATTTTAGAAGTACTATAAAACCTGTTCGCTGAAGTATCTTTAGCTAGAAAAAAGGCAGTTAAAGTTTCAACAAGATATTAAATATCTTTTCCATGGAATGCTAATTGACTTTCTTATTTATTCCACTTGCACAAAATTAATTTATTATTTCCCTTTAGAATTACGATAATGACAACTGTTATATTGATAAAGGAAAGTTTCAAATGAAAAGTAGGATAAGTCAACATTCCTTAAAAAAAAAAACTTCCTGACTTCCACATACCAGTATTGTTTATGTACTTACTTCAATTGGCATACTGCATTCTGAAAAAAATGAAAAAGCAATGTTATTCAAGTTCATGGACATAATATTACATGAAGTGACATGTCTCATTTTTAAACGGCCTATAAATATACAGTGTATATCAAGTACCCACCTCTAAAGTATAAAAGTTCCATGGTTTGAGTACAAAATACTTACCTCTAAAGTACAATGTATACAAACATTGATTTGTTTCATTACTTTCTTTATATGCCAATTGATGAGTACCCAGTAAAATTTGCAAATAATATATTAAAGTATGGATATAGGAATAAAATAAACAAGAGCTGTCCGTAAGACAGCGCGCTCGACTTTTTTATTGCTTGCCAATAAAAAAAGTTTTTGCAGTAAAAGGCAATACAAGAATCTCTGTATTTTTAAAGTGAACAATGGCCATGAGCATTAAGATATTTAGTGAAGAATTATTTTACTGAATTGTGTGATACCCTTGAACACTGCAGCAAAGTTTGAAATGTTTAAGTCAAAAGAGGGCTGGTAAGAAAGAAAAAAAAACTTTTTTAGTGCTTGCCTATAATACAAAACATTGACAGTTAAGGGCCATAATTCAAATAAAATCTTTGACAGAATTACCTTCTCCTGGACATGTTTGGGAATCATGATTGTAAACAAGTATTCCAACTTTCAAATTAATATCTCAAACAGTTCAGTCAAAAAAGTGGACTGGTACTAAAACTTAACCAAGATTCTAAGTCGATAAAAGGCCTTAATTTTTAAAACAAATCCTTGACAGAGTTACCTTCTCTTGCGTACAGATGGGGGTAATGATGTGAAATAGCATTAAAAGTTTTCAAAGCAATATCTCAAAGGGTTAAGGCAATAAGTGGATTTTACCCATATTCAATGTATTTTCTAAGTCAAAAAGGGGCATAATTCTGTCAAAAACCTTGACAGAGTTATGTCCTCTTGTCTGTTGATGAAGGTCGTGATGGTAAACAAGTATGGTCAGTTTCAAAGCAATACTCAATGGTTTTGAAATAAAGTGAGGTGGTACAAAAAACTTAACCAAGCTCAATACACTTTCTAAGTCAAAAAAGGGCCATAATTCTGTCAAAAACCTTGACAGAGTTATGTACTCTTGTCTGTAGATGGAGGTTATGATGGTGAACAAGTATGGTAAGTTTCAAAGCCATACTTGTAATACTTCTGAAATAAAGTGGGGTGGTACGAAAAACTTAACCAAGGTGTGACGCCGACGCCGACGCCGACGCCGGGGCGAGTAGGATAGCTCCCCTTTTCATAGAAAAGTCGAGCTAATAAAAACTGTAGATAAGAATAGAAAAAATGTGTTATGAATTAAATAATTCTTTCAATTCAAAACCGATTTAAAAAGCCCTATGAGGGTCCTGGCTATGTTTCCTCATAGAACACCATTACTAGTTCATTCCAGGAAGTGGAACAGTGCTTCAAATAAACTTAAAGCTGTCATCACTATAGAGCTTTATTTTATATTAAGTTTATTAAACTAAACTAATTGTACAAAGTATTATAGCTAAAAGGATAAATACCTCCACAATACTGAACTTTGAAAGGGTAGTTAACACCAGCAGTAGGTCCAGAATAACTAAAGAACTCCCTTTGTGCTGCAGCAAGAGGTTGAGTTGCTTCAGCCATTATATGTGCTGGTCTGAAAATAGTTAACATAAATGTACTTTTTTTCACATTTACTTTTTTATTTCAGCTGAGTTTAGATAATACAAAGTAAGTGGCTAGCCGTACATGAGTCACATACAGCTAGCCAGGAAACACTGTATTAAAATACTCATTTAAAGACATAAAATTGCATATGCCATTTCGACTTTCATACGGGGAAGCCCAGCTATTGACTACACATGTATATTTTAAAGAAAATCAAATAAAAAACAATTAAAAATATATAGAATTCTTTACCTATCAATGAAAATTTCAGTGCCAGTTCTAATTATTTACAATGTACTTCAATGATAATAGGCGGGGTATTCCAATAACAGAAGTTGAGAACAAATCTCAACTTTAAGGATAATACGGGGAAGTCAAAGACCAGGCCCGCGAAGCTATAGACTACACGTGTATATTTAAAAGAAAATCAAATAAAAAGAAATTAAAAAATATATAGAATTCTATACCTATCAATGAAATTTTCAGTGTCAGTTCTAGTCGGGCGCCGCCATTTACAATGCAACTCAATGATAATAGGCGAGGTATTCCGATAACGGAACAAATCTCAACTTTTGGATAAATAATAAACGTCGAATGTTCCGAGTGAAAACGGAAGCGTTGCATGTAATACCAAATGACACCTTTAAAACGGAAAGAATGAAAGGAATTTTTAACAACTTCCCCGTGCATAGGCTTTGTCTAATTTCATATTAATAATCGTCAAGTGTTCCTAGTGAAAATTGAAGCAGTGCTTGAAATACAGGATGACACCTTTAAAACAGAAAAATGAAAGGAATTTTTAACAAGTTTCCCGCTCATAGGCTTTGCTTAATTTCATATTATAATTTTAAAAAGTGCCATATGGCTAGGCAAAATTATACAGTGTGTCCCGGCTAGCCGTCCATGACTTTTTCTATGTGACTCATGAGGGGCCTGTACAGCTAACCACTTCCTAAATCAAAATAGAGTGAACTTATTAGCCTTGTCAAAGAGACATCAAGATATATTTTTTTTGAACAGGTGATGTCATTTGCCAAGCCCTACCACAAACTGATTTTTTCTACATTGACATGGACACTGCCCAATTAGAAGTTGTTGGGAGTAATAACTGGCAATGAAAATTGAAAGGAAGATAGGGGCCCGTTGTACCTGATTTTCTTATTTTTACCATTTAAATCAATTTAAACTAGCAACAGTGTTGCCGATAACTTTTCAATGTCGCGAAAAATGGTGTCAAACAGGAAAAACAAATAAAATTATTATTTAAAAATACAATTCTCTAAAATTATTGGAAAAAAAAGACTATTTGACAAAGGATAAAAACAAAAAAAAATTACCTTTGTGATGTTAATTGATTAGTAGAATGGAAATTATATATTCTGTCAACATTAAAACTAGTTTTTACAAGATATTTTTTCTCCCGACACCGTATTCAGCGAGCTACTAATAGACGGCCACCGGTCTCCGGTCGCCAAATCCGTCGAAGACGGTTTTATTCCGTACGAATAGGTGTTTTTTATTTTATATAATTTTGAAGTGACAAATTGTCACTCCTTTTTTGTTGGTCATATTGTAATATAAATATTTATTTATTTATTTAGATATTTATTTATTTATTTATTTAATAAATATTTATTTATTTATTTATTTATTTATTTATTTATTTTATTTATTTATTTATTTATTTATTTATTTATTTATTTATTTATTTATTTATTTATTTATTTATTTATTTTATTTATTTATTTATTTATTTATTCATTTATTTATTTTATTTATTTTATTTATTTATTTATTTATTTATTTTATTTATTTATTTATTTATTTATTTATTTATTTTATTTATTTATTTATTTTATTTTATTTTATTTATTTATTTATTTATTTATTTATTTATTTATTTATTTATTTATTTTTATTTATTTATTTATTTATTTATTTATTTATTTATTTATTTATTTGTTTATTTATTTATTTATTTACGTGATAAAAATAAGATATCAAACATGAGCCATGTATCTTTAATTTTCAACTATCTATATGGTAGACATCAAACAGTAGGTGTATAGATACAGCTAGCCTCGTTGTTATCATACTAAAAGTATTATCATCGTTATCATCATATACTCCTATTATATTACTGTACTGTATTAGTCAGCCAAGGTCTTACACATGTATCGCATGTAAAGCTATATCGCTATTTCACTTGTGCTCGCTTTTTAATGCACGAATTTTGAAAGCACGTGCAACGAAACCGTTAGTGAATGTATTATACATTAGTAAACGCGCGGACATATCCGATGCATTGAGTGAAGTCATTGTAAAATCTTGGATAACTTAATGAGCAGCTCTTACAAGAAATAATGGAATAAGTGAGGTTTTTATATAAAATTTGTATCACCATGGTAACACTAAGTGCGATTCTTCAAGCTCCGATTCAGGCGGTGTTGAGGCCGTCAATGTGGTTACCGTTTATCCGTTCGTTGCACAGTCACACTGAAACGTACGTTGCTTCTTTTCTATTTAATTTTTTTGAATAATCATCAACAATCTTATACCATCATCATCATTATCCTTAATATGGTAACCATTGTCTGCTTCATCATCATCTACTTCTTCATCACCACCATTACCAACATGATCTTCATTATCATCATCATTAGGTTCAGCATTATCTTCATTCACTCGTTCATACATACTTTATATACTCACTGATATGCCCTGCCAGTGTATTTTATTTATTCTAAAGCTATTTATGTTTAAAACGACTTAACCAAAGTACAGAAGTACATATGGACTGGCTATCTGTTGCTTTATGTTTCGCTCACCAAGTTTCGGAACTTTGCATTAAATGACATTATTGCTGACGAACCAAGGGACTTCCGTTGACTTCAAACCACTAAGACTTGCCTCTCACCGGCGTGGGTTCGAGTCCTGCAAGATTCGTTGGATCATTTCGCGGGGGGGGGGGCGGTTTCCAGCTAGCTTACGGAACGTCGTAGGTTCTACTCAGATGCCCGTCCGCACTGAGGGGCACCAAAGTTCTAAGATCTTCATCCACCAGTAAAAGTGAATAGCCAGTCGCCTTATACTATGTCGGTGTACGCCAGTTTAAATGTTGAAACAATTAAATTATTTTTTTGCAAAATAAAATGTGCATTGATTGATTGATTAATTGATTAATTAATTGGTTTATTTATTTATTTATTTATTTATTTATTTATTTATTTATTTATTTATTTTACTTTCCACATGGAGAAAACCCTCTTTTTGTATGCATATGTATTTAAGTTTGCGTTTTTTTTTCTTCAGCTGGAGTATAGATTGTACAAAGACAGAGTTCATTTCTTCAATATTGACGGCGGTACATACTGTCATGGAGCAGGAAGATAATAAGGAATTCTGGGATATCCACAAGGTAGTCTAACTTTTTTTCTGGGTTGGAAATTACAGGCACCAACTTTGCTTTTTATAAATCTCTACATATCTTTGCAATAAATTAGTTAGACTTACATGTATTTATATTAGCCCGATTTGGATGAAGGCTTGAAGCTTATATCCTCGATTTCCGCTCCCCAGACGCAACTGGTACTTGTTTCATATGAGAAAACAATGTTTCCTTGTGGTTAGAATACCCAGGGTATAATTTGGGTGGATCTGTATCTACTGTCCCTATGAAGACGTCTTCCCAGATTGTTTTTCCTCTTTCTTTTCTTAAATTTCTTCGACTGTTTTCACAGTAGCGAAAATCTTTGAGATACATTACTGCAATACACACACCAATTTGGAAGAGACGATGTAATTTTTTTAAAGCTTGATCTTTTTTATTTTAGGTTGAGAAAGATGGAACGTTTATCCGAATATTCGCGTTTACTCGTGCAGAATGGCTTGATGTCATGGAGATATCTTACAAAGATGGTCATTATGAAGTAAATATAACATTATAAAATGTTGTATAAATATTTGAATGTATTAACATTTTCAAAATGCTTCATAAACCAAGTTTCCAAAGTTTACCAATGTTAAAGTCGTTGTAAAGCGGCGTCGAGGAGCATGCACGCATCCGTGTCATTGTCATTCAGATTTTAATCCTTTTTTAACGCATATGCTACATTGTAGATATAACATACACAATGAAGGATAAGAGCTGTAGCTATATTCTATACGCTTATCCTCCACAAAATAACTAAGCCTAAGACAAACACTTTGAAAATACACGACAAAGATACACTTCATTAAAAAAACACAATGATCAAAACCTTCGAGATTTAAATTAAATACATGTAAATGATTTAATATGCAATCCTTTATATTACAGGCGCATTCGTTTTCATCAGGTGTTGTTCCTCTTATTGTTCCCTTCGCTTTTATTTGTAACCTGGTAAGTAAATTTCATATTCTGTAACAGTTTGTAGATATCGATGAAGTTCATGGCAAATTGCTGATGATTTGTCAGTTTAATTCAATAAAAAATCGGCATATTCTGTAAAGTTACCATTTCATCTATTAGGTGTTTTGTCCTGAATTTATAAAGCACAAGAGATACATTAAGTGATATTTGCCGTTCAAAATTACACCATGTGTATTTAAAGTTGCTATTCTGCACTTGCAATATAAGAAGCGTCAGCCTCTACTATAAATTGAGATTTGTTGCAAGTCATAAATAGCCAAAGCTAGCCAAACAAAAATGCTTCAAGAGAACCATTTAACACTTAACTAACTGAAAGAGAAGGTGATTAGTAATTTCTACCAGTTTAGTTCAAGTTTGAGTGAATAAAAAGATATGTTGTTGTTAGACTCTAATGATAGCTGATGAAGAAGATCTGAAACTTTCGTCAATTTGATCAACTTTTGAATTGTAACAAATATTTACCATTTCAGGCATTATTTTATACACCCTTCCTGGACACAGGTTTGAACAAGGAACGATTAAAACGTTTAAGAGATGCGTTGTCAGTAAATGTGACAGTTGTTTAGTGAAATGTTTCTTTTAGTAAAAACTTAACCTTTGATTTTTGTTATAATTCTGATATACATGTATTTGTTTGATAACTGTATAAATTTAACCGTTTAATGTGTTACGTTTTTGTATGAATGAATCATGAGCATTGCAAGGCCATAGACTTTAGTGGTATGACCAGAACTATACTAGCGACGGGAGACATGACGTGTCCCTTAATAAATTGAGGCAGATAATTCTGCGAACATTTAACTATGTTTGGAACTACATTTCAACGCTTGGCTTTTGGTTTATATCTACTGGCAATTGGAAGCAGGAACATTCTCACTTCTTATATATTTTCTAAACTTCTCTGAGAAATAATTATGGTCCTTACTGTGTTGGAAGTGCGGACGGACCCTTTTTGTATATGACGGATTTAAATTACTATCAGAGCAGGCAAATATGCAAAAGGCAGAACAATTTATAGAAAACCTTAACTAGGAATATAAGAAAATGTAATTGTTTCTTCATTCTAACGTCTAGGTTTTTTGTTTGTTTGTTTCATTTTACGCCTTTTCCCAACAGTATTTCAGTCATATACCTAACCATCGTTCCTGGATCCTCCGTGCTAAACTACCAAAGCATCTCCCGGGGATCGAACCCACGCCAGAGAGGTAACTGGATTAAAAGTCATCGACTCTAACCCCTCGACCACAGAGGCGGTCGACTTCTAAGAATAGATTCAGGAAAAAATAGATTCAGGAAAACCATAAGGCTAATAAAATGTTTTATAAATATTTTTATTATTATGTATTTAAGTCATAATTTATTGAAATACACATAATGAATCATGCGTGAAGCTATATACAGTGCATGGTCATTAAACAATTCACATATCCACCGACTGACCAAAATTATTTATATAATTGAAAAAAATATAACTCCTTGTACATGCAATTAGTTATCTATAATTGAACTCTCTTCCATAACCAATTATAAAATACTTTAATTAAATAACCCTGGCAAAACAACGAGAAATTGTCTTCATTAAGACTAGTCCTGTCTAACTGGACTGATGTAATTTGCATATTCGCGCAAGACTTGTATATAAAGTTAAATTATGAATCTTTGTGAATCTTCATATAGCAAATAATATTTCCAAACAAGGACTTGGTAGCGCTTGGCTATTCTTAAATCTTGACAGTAATAAAGAATTCCAGCGGAGATAATTCAATTAAAATACATGCTTTTAATAGACAGTAAAACATACAATTATGTTCCCAATGACATCTGTAAGGTTTCAAGTACGGTTTCTGAAGTTTTTTAAAGCAAATCCAAGCTACAATTATGAGTCTTGAATAGTCACGATTCAAAGACAAGTAAGTGTGGAGACATACCATGTTTGCAGGAATTTTATCAGGATTTTTTTAAGTTTACAAATGGCCATAATTCAATCAAGATCCACGATAGATCTGAGTTGTGAGTCTTTTATATATAGTGACCATATAGTGACCTACAACTATGATTTATAGCTTCCAAGTGAATAACTACATTTGTTGTGAAAATAAGTAAATTCACGCTAGAGTTGTACCCAAATATTCGTCGAATAGCCCTAAATCAAAATTATTAAAACATCATTCAATATGGAAACTGAAAAAGAAAATAATTTGTTTTTAATGTTTGGGCTTTCCCTTTCTCTTTTATTTCAATGAAGTAAAAAAAATAATAATAAAGTTCAATGAAGCAATAAAATGGTGTTGTGTAATTATGGCGCACATGTAAGTATAAGTGAAAAAATTTGAATCAAAAGATTTTTAATCATCTCTTAAAACAAAAGAAGCGTTTGAAATTTAAATAATCTACATAACAAAAATAGGCTACATTAATCAAGCCGAATCTAAATAATGGTTAAAATAACAAAATGAGACAAAAAAATTTAAGCAAGCACTGGCAACTTGAACACAATCGTAACAGGGTATTCATCCATGCTTCATGTTTCCAAGTTCGAGCGGACAATGGCCAATGACAGTACAATGTATAATCATAGACAATTATACGTGTTGATCGTAATAGTTTAAAATATCACAACGCAAGATAATATATTTAATTGTCAAATACCAGGTTTCATACAAATTTAATATTTATATGACAAGATATACCCACTGTAGTCACACAGAATAACAAAAACGACCGATATAATTTCAAATATTGGTTAACCATTCGCGTTGCAATAATGATGAAACATAGTATCTATACTCCATTCTTTATGACCGTATGCCTCTAAATAGGTGTATTAAATTAAATCTAAAATGAGTTATCTTAAACGAACTGCTTACTATCCCTTAATCACTAAAGTGTCTATACCACGTCACTATATGTGCTCTGCGTGGGGCAGAAGACGTTTCAAGTAGCGTACATTCTTCTATAACTTTGTAAAAATTTCATTGTGTTTATGGCCACTCATTTTACAAAACAAAAGACTGCCCCCTCCCACCCACACCATGAAATATTCTATGTATTGGTTACTAACTAGAATTTGTTCTATATAAATAATTAAATATTTATAGAAGAAAATACACTGCTACTTATTTGTTTTCTGCATATTTTCTTTGCATCTTTTTAAATATCAGAATAAGCATACCCAAAACACATGTTAACCAACATTTAAAATGATATCGGTCTATTGTGAACATAGAATTAGACAAAATAAGTAAATATACATCATTAATAAGTATGTACAACCAGATTGATAATAAATAACCTTGACTAGTAACATATATTTCAAGAGATAGTGCAATTTTCCGCAGCTTGATCCGATTCAGATTTATCTTCTTTTTCTGGAGCATTTTTGTCGTCGTTTTCCGGTTTAAAGACTTCACCAGTATCGACCGAGGTTTCCATATCAGGTGTACCTGAATCGACAGGGGAATCAGAATCGAGACTTTCCTTTCCGGATTGATATTCGCTGTCTGACACCGACGTCAAACTAACGGGTGACGTCAAACCAACAGGTGTCTTAACAATGGACGCCTTGTTGGTGGAAGTATCAGTAAGTCCGTGTCCAGTTTCCAGTGAATTTGGTCTCTCTTTGCCATCATCGACAACATCCGTCTTCATTGTTAAACCTTTAGTTTTAGTTTCATTTGTAATTAGCAAGTCTTTATTAGCAGCCTTATACTCCTCATTGATGTACTGTTCACATTTGGTTGCTTCTTTCTTTAATTTATCCCAAAGCTTTGCTTTGTCTTTGTCAGACAATTCAGTGATAGAGGAAAACATACCAGGCTTGACATCAAATGGAGATTTCAAGTTTGAGTCTACTATACCATCATAATATCCGCTGTCTCTAAATCCAGGAACATCTTGTATGTCTTGATGTACGTGGAAAAACTCGCCGTCATTGCCGAATACCTTTTCTGACTCACTGACCAATTCTGTAATATAGTTAAAATCATGTAGTTTATCCGACTAGACAGCAACAGAAAAGAAAACAATGAAAAACGCTATTCAGTTTGTCAACTGTACATATATAGGCCTATTTTCATCAAGTTCCGTATGACCGGCGTGTGAACCAAATCTGTGTTTCTGAAGCATTTAATTAATATATTAAACTGTTTTTAGCTGCCCAGCAGTCCTTTTTAAAAGCTGGAGCAGAAGGGTAGTCAAGTCACGAGTTGACAAGAAACTCGCCAGGTCCACTTCCATTCATTTTTTTTCCATTCAATACTAAACTTTACTCTTCTTTTTTTTGCGATAAATTTCAAAGAATACCTGAAGTGACTGTGTCTACAGTTTTCACCCAGTCTTCAACTTTGGCTTTAGGATCAATGGGCTCGGCACCAGAGGCAGCGACTTTCTGTACAGAAAGACCAGGGCATGGCGGGTGGAACTCTACAATTCATGGAAATTTATTTGTCAATGTACATACTCCTGTTACTGCTATATAGTTTGCAAGCCCATTCATATACGATCTAATGCAGTTTGTAGCAATAATTAGGTTGAAGCGGATCTATCAGTACCTAAAGATACATTGCAATTTAAATATTTAAAATCCAAGCCTTATCATCACTGAACAAGTTTATTTATGTTATTTACCATTTACATTTTGAAATACATGTACAACATAATTATAATAATCGTACATTCGTTAATGAAAGATCTATATCACTTGTTTGCATTCTTAATTAACTTCGCGTATCGAAAACATAAATGAAAGTCATTTACAACAAAAATGTGAGTAATATTAAGAATATAGATATAAGATTATTAATATGAAATTTCTCTCCTAAACCTTTTTTCCTTTTAGATCTAAGCGCTGCATCCACGGCTTTTATTGCAATCTATGCCAAGCTTTCTCCTACAGAATTCATGTGTTGGAATTTCCATTGCTTTGGTTTTTTTACTGCATGTTTATAGTTTGAAAGTTTATATCATATCAAACTATTATATTTTAACAGCAAACAGTATATACATGAAGCCTAGTCAGAATGTACGGGCTGTCCACTGGAACCTTTATTCACCGGGTGGCATAGCTGGTCTTATTAATACATTTGTGGAGTCTTGCAGGGCAAAAAGTTAATATTCTCGGAAGATACGAAAATTCTGTAGCCTTTTTATCTAGTGAAATGTTAAATGAGATGATTTGAAATAATATCGTGCAAAGTAAACAATTTAAAGCACATACAAAAATACACAGAAAATAATATACAACAAACATTCGGGAAACAACAAAATGGCTCTGAAAGTTCATGGAACTGCAGAAACATTATCAGAAAATGTTATTCGTGGATTGGACACACATTATCGTGCATTTCAATGTTAAATATATTCCGGGAGTATATTTCTGGATCATTAGAATCATGACATGGACCATAAAATCAAATCAAAACATTATTTACACACATTATCCATTATGGGTATGACCTATTCAAAATGTTGCAAACTTTGTCCTTTTTTGTAAAAAATAATCTTGAAGATTTAACTACGTATTTATTATTTCTCATGCTAATTAAAAAGGATCACCATTAATATGAAGCGAGGACTTTCATTATCAGGCCAGATTTTATCATTAATATTATATGGAAGCCTTTTGTATGTTTGTAGGGTTGACAGTAACATATTTTGCTGTATATCATCAATGGTGTCACACCAAACTCACATGACCATTGTCTTCCATAGCTTTTTTTTCAAAATATGCAAATATATCTTATGCTGGGACATGTTATATTATGTTCCATCTTAATGTCACAAAGCATTTCAATGACTGATTCCAAAGAAGCAGCTTCAGTTTGTGACTGGTTCCAGTCAATATAGCTACAATAACATAATTCAAGACAGATCCTTCTATCATTCATTTGTAGCTATAGTAAAACACAATAAAAACATTGCATTGATGATTCTGTAATACTCGAGGTGCAAGTAAAATCTATAGGTCAAAGGAAGAATAAGAAGAAAATGATCTATGTTACTGGAAGCTTTTAATATTATATAACAATGATTTAACAAAATGAAATATACACCACTTAATTAATAACATTATACTATCTTTACATGCTGTATTACTGTTTTATAATGAACAAGGAACATCGCAATGCGATGCAACCAGGTTTTCAGCAAAATATTTCACAGAAGCTTTGTCATGAAGGGGCATTTGTTTTTAATTGAACTTTTAGGAGGAATTATGGCTTTTTTAATATTCCTCAAACAAAAATGATTGAGAAATTTTATGTTGTCTATTCGCCTTTTTTCCCCAAATGTTTTAGAAAGGTAAACAGTACTTTATTTTTGCTTAATTTTTGCATTTTTGCGTCTCTTGTCATTTTCTTTTGTCAACAATATTGGCGTGTGGTGTTTTGTGCGATATCAAGAAAAGTATGTTCACAATTTTAAAAAAATACTTGAATGATGTCTTGGAAGAAACATGGGAATTTAGTGAGCGCCAGGGCACTTGATGACAAAGCTTCTGTGAAAGTTTGGTCAAAATCCATTGAGAAATGTAGGAGAAGTTGCGCACTGTAGAAATTGTTCACTATATATTCTGTATAAGGAAAAAATATACAAAGGGCCATAATTCGGTCAAATAATATCCAATCACAAAACCCCGACAATATGTGCCAGGCACTTGATAACAAAGCTTCTAAGAAAGTTTGGTCAAAATCCGTTGAGAAATGTAGGAGGAGTTGAGCACAGAAGAAATTGTTCTCTATATATTCTGTATAAGGAAAAAATTTACAAAGGGCCATAATTCGGTCAAATATTATCCAATCACAAAACCCCAACAATATGTGCCAGGCACTAGATAACAAAGCTTCTGTGAAAGTTTGGTCAAAATCCGTTGAGAAATGTAGGAGGAGTTGCGCACAGAAGAAATTGTTCACTATATATTCTATTATAAGGAAAAAAAACAAAGGGCCATAATTAGGTCAAATATATACCAATTGCAAAACCCTGGCAATATGTGTCAGGGCACTTGATGACAAAGCTTCTGAGAAAGTTTTGGTCAAAATCCGTTGAGATATGTAGGAGGAGTTGCGCACAGAAGAAATTGTTCACTATATATTTTATATAAGGAAAAAAAACAAAGGGCCATAATTAGGTCAAATATTATCTAATCGCAAAACCCCGACAATATGCGCCAGGGCACTTGATGACAAAGCTTCTGTGAAAGTTTGGTCAAAATCCGTTGAGAAATGTAGGAGGAGTTGCGCACAGAAGAAATTTTTACGCCCGCCATAAGGAAAAAAAACAAAGGGCCATAATTAGGTCAAATATATACCAATTGCAAAACCCTGGCAATATGTGTCAGGGCAACTTGATGACAAAGCTTTCTGAGAAGTTTGGTCAAAATCCGTTGAGAAATGTAGGAGGAGTTGCGCACAGAAGAAAATGTTCACTATATATTTTATATAAGGAAAAAAAACAAAGGGCCATAATTAGGTCAAATATTATCTAATCGCAAAACCCCGACAATATGCGCCAGGGCACTTTGATGACAAAGCTTCTGTGAAAGTTTGGTCAAAATCCGTTGAGAAATGTAGGAGGAGTTGCGCACAGAAGAAATTGTTTACGCCCGCCCGCCCGTCCGCCCGCCCGCCGCCGACATACCTCAATCTAATAACCAGTTTTTTCCTTCGGAAAACCTGGTTAATAAATGTTGTAGTTACTAAATCTTTTATAACAATGATCTGTATTCCCATATATACAGGATTCACAACCTCAAGTATATTACAATACAAGATGAATCCACATTGAAACAGTCTAATACATTTATACTGGTACCCAGTCTAATATCCTGATACCCAATCTAATCAGTTTAATATTCTGGTACCATGTCTAGTATCTCAGTACCACGTCTAATAATTTGAATAATATTCAAGCACCCAGACTAATATTTTAATAACCAGTCCAACATTTATACCCTGGTACCTAGTCTAACATTTTGGTACCCAATCTAATATCTCAGTAAGTAGAGTTACATATTGGTTCCCAGACTAATATTTTGGTCCCCAGACTAATGCTCTGCGAAAAAACTAAATTTTGTTAATAAGCACAATATCAAAATATATTGCAGTATCCATGGCTTTGTTTGTTTGGTTTTACGGCGCAACAACACATATAGATCATATGGCACCAAAACAGAAAAAAAAGTTCATTTACAAACTTCAATGCATCATCAGGGGTCAAAACAACCTCACCTCCCAGAGCTAAAAGATGCATAGGCTCCAGTTATTGGAACCCATTTAGTTGCTTCTTACATTCACACAGGGATAAATGGTGACTGCAATTCATATGCTTTAACCATTGAAGGCAACCCCTCAGCCACAAGGGGCAATATCCATGGCAATACTAATATTACTGTTAAATAGTTAAAGAAATAGCAGTCATATCTGTTTATCATATAGCAAAGAAGCTAAACTTGTTGCTGCTTAACTCAAAAGTACACAAACAAGCCTTTAAAATGGAGCAATAAGTCCTTCAATTAACATTTTAAAAAGAATTTCAACACATAGCTAAATAAATCTTTACTCTCATATCATCCATCTAGATTATCAAAAACACAAATCACATAACGTATGTTAGCACTGTCGACTAAGCTTTTACTGTTTAAAATAATTTGCAAATAGTTTTTTCTCCCATATGACCCTAAGTATCATTCTTTCATTTATCAACAAGAGCCATGTCAACATGGCCATATCCCCCGCCGAATGTGTTTGCTCATTGGAAAAATGTATATGTAGTAGAGCAGAATAATTCCATTTTAAGAGGTCTTTTGATAATGAAAACTGATGGCTATAGTGATTACAGATTTGAAACCTATGTGAATACTGATGGCTGAAAATAACAAAGGGCAATAACTGAAAAATAATGCAGGGTAGGTTATCATTCTTGTGTGCTGCATCCCTCCACAGTAAAATCTATCCACCTATGAAGTTTCAAGTTGATACCGAGCAAATACTTTTTGAGAAAAAAATTGAATTGAAAAATTAAGTATGAAAAAATAACAAGGGCAATAACTCAAAAATTATAAAAGGTAGAGTTATCATTCTTGTGCACTGCACACCTCCTGAAATTAGATCTATGCACCTATGAAGTTTCATAATGATATCTCAAAGGCCTTTTGAGTATGCTCTGGACAAAATTAATTTTGAAAAAATAACAAAGGGCAATAACTCAAAAATTATGCAGGGTAAAGTTATCATTCTTTGTGCTCTGCACTCCTCCTCAATTGAGATCCATCCACCTATGAAGTTTCCAGTTGATACCTCAAATACTTTTTGAGATAAGCTCTGGACAAAATAGCATGAAAAAGAACAAAGGGCAATAACTCAAAAATTGTATAGGGAAGAGTTATCATTCTTGCGCACAACATTTCTCCTCAATAAGATCTATCCACCTATGACATTTCATGTTGATATCTCAAACACTTTTTGAGTTATGCCTCACTTCAGGTGAAAAATTAAGTAAGAAAAATAACAAAGGGCAATAACTCAAAAAAATTATGAAGGTAGAGTTATCATTCTTGTGCACTGCACACCTCCTGAGTGAGATCTATGCACCTATGAAGTTTCATGTTGATATCTCATAGGCTTTTGGAGTTATGCTCTGGACAAAAATCAATTTTGAAAAATAACAAAGGGTAATAACTCAAAAATTATGCAGGGTAGAGTTATCATTCTTGTGCACTGCACTCCTCCTAAATGAGGTCTATCCACCTATGAAGTTTCAAGTTGATAACTCAAATACTTTTAGAGATATGCTCCGGACAAAAATGTTGGACGGAAGGACGGACGGAAGGTTGGACGGACGGAGACTATTTCTATATCCCCCGCCGCAAAGTTTTCGGTGGGGGATAATAATGAGATATCTAAGAGATCATATTTGATAACTGACAACTCTAAGGTGGGTCAATCAAGTGGTAGTACAATTTATTTCTCCTAATTTCTTCGTGTGTCCGTTAATTTACAGTAATCTATCTATATTCATGTATACCTATGTAAGTTGCTGTTAAACTGTGATAACACTTATAACAAGAACATCAGAAAATAACTGACCATTATGAACATTTTTTTTCATGAGTTAAAAATATATATACATATACTCATAGTTAAAATGTATTATATATATATTATGTGAACTATCATAAAGTTTCATCTCTAATTTAGCACTAGTTTTTGTTGTTTTTTTCCTATGCAGAAAAAATAACAAAAAATACCCGTTTACATTTACAATCAATATCAAACAAACCTTTTAAAAACATATTAATAAATTTCACATGCATATATATGTATCATCATATTGCATAGTTTTTAAGCACATTTCCATATGTTACAATATAAATAAATTAATATTTACAAAGTTCATTCTATCTAGATATGGAAACAAATATGACAGCTTTAAGAATCAGTTGCTAATATATTTTATTAAATTTGTTATTTCTTATAAACAATTTATGATAAAAATTCTTAAATTCTATGTTATAGCACAGTATAAGTATATATTTTAAGTAATGAACGGGCACCCAGTGGTGGTTTCTGTAGTTGACCAACTGTATCATGGCAGTGAGTAAGTTTGTATTCACCAGAGCACCTAGGCAGGCTGTCAAGAAGTTTATAAGAACTAGTGCCTTTACTTCTGCAAGGAATTGATTTACTTCTCAAGTTCTGTACTTGCCAAGACAGAGGTACAGTGCAAATGATCCATTACAACCAAAGTGACTGCACTGTCCGAAAATTGAACCCGGGTTGCCAGATTCACAGTCCAACACTCTACCAAATGAGCTAATGGGATAGTACAAAGGGCACCCAAGTAGAATCACTGACCTTTCATAAGTTAGCTTGTTAGTTTTCTTGTGTGAAACAATTCAAAGCCCCTAGTGGGATTTGAACTCAAAGCCATGAAGGGATAGTAGTTTAGAGTCAGTAACGTTAACCACTTGGTCTACAATAAATTGTTGGATGATGAATACCATTTAAAATTTAATAAAGATTTAAAATATATCTATAGCAAGCCGCTGATTCTTAAATAAAAAATTGAAATACAACAAAACAACCGAAAGCACAACAGTAATCTGACATTGTCTAAGTCTATCATTCATGCTTCTTTAATTCCTTCTTGTTACTATAACAAACATATACATATAGTCTATAAATAATAAACAAACATAGCACAATATAAGATCTTGTCACAAAAAAGAGAGAAATAGAAAAAATAACATATCCAGTCTTAAATACCAAGCCCAATTTCATTCTCCAGATGCTAGAATTCTATTCTTGATGATGTGCAATAAGTTTATAAACTTTACTGGTGAATTTGGAAGTGATCTTAAGATAAAGGTCAAAGTAAAATGTCTTTCGCATATAATACAGGTGTGTGGCCTTAAGACAGTTGCATATGTAAGGCACATAAAAACTTCAATGAAAAGAACTATAAATAATATCAATACAAGGCAAAATTTTCCCCCCAATTATATAAAAATGGGCCTCCCTTTTTAAAAGTTATCTAAATTATAATTAATTAAAAAATAAAAACTGAAGTCAGCCCAATTTTTAACCAATTACAGTGAAAAAAAAGAGAATTTTGGCAGTTAAAAGGTAACAAAAAATTTCAAAATGGCTATCTGAACGTAAACCAACCCCGGGCCCCCAACCAAAAACTAAAAAAATAAACTATCTTTTAACCCAATAGCGGTAAAAAAAATTTTTCAGGGTGGGATCTTTATCAAAAACCAAAACTTAAAAACTCAGAAAGGGGTTTTCTTCTCCACAGGGCAACAAATTTTGAGATGACTTTCTTAACAAAAACATGGGGTAACAAATTTTCAGGTGGTACTGAACATACCATGGGGGAGTCTCGGTCTTTCCTTTTTCATATCAAGGGTTTTTTTTTAAAAGCAGGAACGAATCTCAAAAACTCACCCAACTACATATAATTCCAAAGGCAGTCCCCCTTTTTTAATTTTATAAAGTATTGGGGTTTCATTCAACAATTTAACATTTTTCAAAAATTCCCTGGCAGTTTTTTTTCCCAATTTTAATATGTATTGTCTCATTCAAAAAAATTTTAAAATTAAAAATAAATGCCTTTTTTTTAAATCCAAAAGTTTTATTGGGCCCAGAGAGCATCCCGGAAAATTTTTTTATTACACAACATTTGGGAAAATTTTCATGGTAAAATTTTTTTCCATGGGGAACCTTTTAGAAAAGTCCCGTCATCAAACACACTGTTTTTTTTTTGAATGACCAAATGCTGTTAAAAAATGAAGAAATGAACACAGACAACATGGATTAGTATGAAAATAAATTGACTGGAATATACAATAATGGCATGCAATAAAAACAATGCTTGAAGAAAATAACTGCTTCCATTGAACTTGAACATTATAACTGTAAAATGGACTTCCCACGATTTTAATTGGGAAATGAATATCCGACAGATTTCAATTATAAAACTGATCATGGAAGAGTTAGGGGCTTGTTCAGATTGCACACATTGCAGGCTGACCTGGCTCTATACTAGTGGCATAGACAAGTCATTATTATAGTTAGGACTTTCAGGATTAAACTTTTTTTTCATAACCCAACTAAAGATACTGTTTTTCTCTTAAGATATCATTGCAATTACTGTTGATCTTGTGTAGAAGACAATTTCCTGTGTTTAATGACCAAGATCAACAAAAACTGTCCTTTTACGCATTGATATGGGTGAAAGGGAACAAATTGGTATTAAAAATGTATTCATCACAGTCATTTAAAATAAATATTTGCTCTTTTGACAATGGCACAAGATAAAAGACCACTTTATCAAGATTACAATTTTACCTTAACAGAAGGCAGTATTCTTTTGGCTTGTTTTACTTGAGAATTTGAACTTAACCATTTTAATGGAAGGATTTATGCACAAATTTCACAACCAGCAATGGAGCTTTGCCATGCTGCTCTTGAGACCTATACCTGTAATTTAACCTCCTAGCTCCAGAAACAAATAATATATTTTACCCGTTATTTGTATGAATAATTTCAAGAATAGTTCATGTAGATCAATATGTTATTTTCTTCAAGCATTTCAAAATTTCACTCATGTCAAAAATGCAAAATTATAAAAGAAATACTATAAATATATACATTGTACTATTGTAAAGTGCACAAAAATGGTCATGCATAAAACCAGCCTAATATAGAACTGTAAACAAAAAATGTTTCTGTCAAGCAAACCAGTACAACATCCACATTCCAGAGCATGATGGGAAATGAACGAACGGATATGTGGTGATTGTATAATGTGAATGATCGCATCAATTAATCAAACCTAGGTACATCTGAAACACTTTTTTTGTATCATTTTACAAATTACATGTAACAATAATTGTTACAGGAATTGTAGGCGCAACTTTTCTCACTGCTGTATGGTGAAACAAAACCAAGTACCGGATATGTATTCTATTTTTTATATCTAAATGGTGACTGATGTTGTTTAAATTGTTATTAAAACTTTGGTTAAAAATTTCATTCTTTTACAAGTCATTTATGGATATTGTTATGCACCCATCATGTATAAAAAAACTATCATAATAAACCTTTTTCCCTATTGAAGGGACTCCACTGAGGTTTTTTAGACATGATTCTACTTTAAATAATTTTCCATGTTCCATTTTACTAAGAATTTGCATGAAAAGTTTCAGATCATTTGTATGCTTTTCACTTAAATCTGGCTAAGAATAGTACAAAAATATGATTTTCAATTTATTTTTGAGATCATTTCTTTTTTTTTTTTGAATATCTTTGTTTTAAGTATCTCCAGCTGATTTATGTAAGAAATTCGTTTTGGACCTCAGTGGAGTTCCTTTAAGTAAATTTCTACTATCACTATGTGAATTATTAATAGTCAATTTATACCTCTCTCTTACCAAATACACTTTTCATTATCTACCATTTCAAGTTAAATTTAAGATTTACTTCCCTTGTATGAGAATATTACGTAGAGTTACCTACCTTCACATATATCACAGTATGGGCGGACCTGATGTCTCTCACCGTGGTATTGTGAGGGTGGCGGGCTGTCAGACATCTCCTGTAGAGGACAATCCTCCGTCTCGTGACGGTCAAACACATCACAGATATCACAAAACACACGTGGTGCTGCACGTTTTGTAGGTGTTCTGGTATATAAAATACAGTAAAACATTCCTTTTATATTGTAGGGTTACCTAACTTCTTAAGCAGGACAAGTGCACAAAGGTTAATGACATTATAATTTATACTTTTCACCTAGGAAATACCCTTTTTTGCAGCATGACGTGTAACACCTGAATTTTTTCCTTCTTTCAAATATCAATTAAATCTTACCATGCTGCTTTCAGGAGATCATATCCATGTAATCTGTGCAGACCAAGATCACCCTGCACATTTTCACTGTCTGATAATGGTTTGCACAGTTCCATATTAAGTCAGTTATTATTTTGAAATTTTTCCTAAAAATGATGAAATGGTTATATCCAGATTGAAAGACAGAACAGTCCATAGTGATGTACACTGTAAGGGATATAACCTATAAATGCTAGCCATGATTATATCTTGCCAATGTTAAGAGCATTTAAATTAGACAATCTGTAGTCTGCCAAGAAACTGTATTCGTAAGTCCTTAATTTTAGAAATTCGTTACAAACTTGCACACTTAGTTACAATGAGTAGATCGAAATTCAAAGTAAAACATACAATTTTGCATTATAAATTTAGAATTGTATTAGTGTTGAATACAAGAAAATGCAAATACCTCGCTTAATTTCACATGTCAGTAACTTGCAATTAGGAATCAATTTGTTTGTTTGTTTCATTTTACGCCTTTTCCCCCCGACAGTATTTCAGTCATATAGGCGGGTAGTTTCCTAACCATCGTTCCTGGAGAATTACACCAGTACTAGACTACCTTTCTCCGTGCTAAACTACCAAAGCATCTCTCGGGAATCGAACCCATGCCAGAGAGCAAACTGGATTAGAAGTCATCAAGTTCAACCCCTCGACCACAAAGGCAGTTAATTAGGAATCAAAGTCATATATATAATTGCTATTTAATATAATACTAACGCAGTTTCTAGTGAGTCATCAGCACCATTGGTTACACCAAGCTCCATAGCTTCAAGTCTTGTCTTTAACTCATCACACTTATGCTGGAGATCTACTATAACTGAGTTCAAAAATTCAACCTGTAACAAAAACATACAATAACCTTCACATCACATCACATGGTGGTTATAAAGTGAGGAGTACTTTGGCTTAAATTAGAATTTGCAGAAGCTACATATGCTGCTGAGGAGGTAGACTTAAAGTCTACAAATCTTGAAATAATATTAGACAAGTTTTAATTTCAATACTTAAAGGCCCATTGTGCCTCACCAATGCTATTATATTTAGTTCTCAAAAACTTTCTTTTTTTGGTATCTTTTTACAGTTTCCAAAAAATACTCATTTGTCATATAAATGAACTATCCTTGCTTCTTTTGCTTTGTTGGCAATTTGTATAATTAGAGTAAATTAGTTTTTTGTATGGAAGTCGAAACATTACTTTGTTTACATTTTGCTACTTTTACGACAATTACTGCACATTCAACGTTACTTTCTTCTAACATGCTCTGAATCAATTATTAAAACATTATTTAACACATGTTTGACCTTTCTAAAGAATTTAATGAATATGTATTTCTGAGGCATAATGTGCCTTTAAGTTAACTGATTGATATCTATTCTCGATCTTACAAAATACAGGTGTACATCAACTTCAAACCTTTATCAACAGATCTACAGACTTCATTTTTTTTTAAATATCTACAGCTTTCTAACTTTTCTGTTTGTAATATGAATTACAATCATATTGCGCCATGTTCTTGAAATGTCCTAATTATCATTTCTTCTATAGACAAATGTCAAAATTACTACAGATAAGTGAGAGAGAGAGCAAACATCCACTTCCACTGTCATATCTGTCTTAGTATTTACTCATTGTTTATCACTAGATATTAAAGCTAGTACTTTACCAAAGTGCCATTGATAAACCTCTGTTCAAATAACTAATACAAGTAAGATACCAAATATTGCCACATGTCATTAATTTGTCCCAATGTGACATAGGGGATTATGTTACACTGAAGTTATCCTTAAATGAGCAAAACCAAGTTATAATTCTACTGTGTTATCAAAAATGATGAAAAAACAACAACAACATTTGTGATTAAAAGTGATACAAACAAAATACCGTATTATTTCCTCATCCATCAATTCATCTCAAATACATCCCTTACAGTTAATCAATTAACAACCAATTATATATGGATGTCAAAAACATATGATATGAGACCCCGAAATAATGTGTGTCACAACAAACAATAATCACACATCAATCTTCCTAAATGACAATGTCTCTTGAAGTTAGGTGCCGTTTAACTACTCCATTATGTGAACAACAAGTGAATCTATAAACGCCCTAGCTTCGCACATATCACACCTTTACACACCACTCAAAACTTACAAACTTGTTAATTTCACGCTTTCGTATCTTCATATAGATATCCTTTCGCTATCAAAAAGTAAAACATCAACCTTGAGTTTTATAGATAACTATTGCTACATACATATACATACATGTACCTTGTTTAGCTAAATATTACTACAACTCCCTAATCAAAATCCACAATAATAGCTTATAGTTAGGGTTAAACATTTATAAATGTTGGTCATACTGAAAATGAACTATTGTCCCCTTCTCAGCCCCGCCTTTTTGTCAAAGCAGACATTTGCCCACACATGTTTTAAAAGGGTGGAGGCCCACCCTCCAATATACACATATGAAAGAGTATGAATTTACTACAGCAGAAATTGTATTATCAAATTGTTTGGTATCTAGGATAAAGCAAAGAAATGCTGAAATTGGCAAATGTCCTAAAATCTGGTCATACATAATATTTCATACAATTTTATTTATTTATTTTATTGGGTTTAATGCCAATTTAAACGGTCAAAATTTAGCCATCTTCCAACAGAATGAGCATTACTAGTACTAACCAGATAGAATACATGTAAATGTACACTTCTAGATATTAATCAATGAAACAACCAAAGGGAAAATGGAAGTTTATATTATCATTACTCCAATTGTTGAGAAAAATGTGTGCATTCTCATGAACCCAAAGGTTGAGGATCTAACTCTATCCCTAGAGAAATCAAAGTGAGTATCATACAATACAGACCCCTAGTTTACTCTGACCCTTCATGATTTCAAGAATAAATTCATAGATTCTGAACAACAAATATCACCAATTAAGACAATTAATAACCTGTCCAGTAACAGACCTAAAATTCTAAATTTTATTTTTAAACCTACCTGTCCTTGTGCAGTGATATTTTCTTCCTTCAACTGTTCTATAAGAGCACTATTTCCCCCAGTGTTTCCAGTGGTAGAATCTATATTATTTCCAGTGGTTGTGTCAATATTATTCATATTGTTTGTATTGGACTGGGCTTCTGTTAACTTGCTCTGTAACAGGTTGATTTTTCCTCGTAATTCTGTTGTTTCCTGTTCTAACTTTTCATTGGTTGATTTGTATCCCATCAGAGTACTGTTCTCATTTTCTAAATTTGAGATCTGAAAATAAATATATAAACAAATTTTTGTAGATATACCTTGAAATGACAGCAAAAAAAGACAGGACCACCACAGTAAGCTGCCAAAATGTAAATCAAAAGGTTATCTAAAATAAGCTTCAACTATTACATAATCTTTTAAATACTACCAATTTAATTGCTCCCCCCTACCCCTACAACATCAAGTACATCACCTTAAATTAGCAGCAATGACTATATTCAAAATCATTCCCTTTGTTTGTCTACACTTTGCTCTATTTCAAGAACCTTAGGTAGTTTCGAATGACACTATATATTACAAGACACCTGTGTAAAACCTTCACTCTCGTATAAGCCAGCTTGATGGCTTTCTTGAAAGTCTCACCTCCAGTAAGAACCATAAGCTGAGGGTCAAGTCAGTTTTAATTTAAAGCCAGTGATTTCTAACCATCTGCAATAAAATTTCCCAAGTATTCCTATCAAAAACCCAACTTTCACAAGAAATTTATTAAGAATAATTATGTTCATTCTTATATGGCATATATTTATGGAACTACCTGTAATATTTTAGCTTTAAGTTCCTCCTCTTGTTGGTCAAACAATGATGTAGTGTTGTCCACCTCTTCTTGAAGACTGTCCTTTGTTGCCTTCAACATTTGAACCTCAGTCCTGTGTCTGTTAAATTAAAAGAATATCAATGTAATGTAAGCAATTTGACATAACAAACAGATAATAAGTCCAATTACAACTGCTAGACTTTCAGATCGAATCGGACAGGTTACCAACTTCTTTCTTCAAAATTTACTGATTTATCTGATATTCAATGGAAATTCCAGAGATAATTTCTTCTCAATTTTGATTCTGAAGTTCTCTCTAAGGGCATGAATGCTGTTTTCACGCCAAAAAAAAAAAAAAAAAAAAAAAATAAATAAAAAAAAAAAAAAAAAAAAAAAAAAAAAAAAAAAAAAAATAAAAAAAATGACATGAATGCCTGTCATGCCTAGATTCCATACTGCTAGGAAGGGGACTTGTGATGAACAAATGTTGCAGTTGGTACCTCATACCTATTTTGATATGAAAAGCATTACTTTTATGCCATTCTGATATATTTATCATTGTTTATAAAGACTTTAGACAGAATATTGGCCATGTATATAAAGTAAATGGTTATAAGATATGACCCATGTCACTGGGCAACGCTTATAATGCAAACAACCATAAATACATGACCAAAGTAGTATAACAAATTATATAATACTGCACAATTACTTTAATTCAGTTTGCAATTAATTCAGAAATTTACATCAGACATATAGTCTATAGATGATATACACATCATTATAATCCAATGAAAATGGAGGTTACAAACATGCAGCATTATAAAATCTAACCTAGCCAATAAAAACAGGGGACATATATAAAATCTTTACAAGCTTGATGCTAAAATGTACCTGATGTTTTTGTACTTAAAAAGATAATATTATTTATCTTGATGAAAAATATATAAAATATTCCATTCAAAGCAAGCCTAAAGTAAAAGGAATCTATGATAATTAAACTATCTCTGGAAACTAAATAAGCATTGCATAACAATAAAATACAAATTGACAACATATATGAAGACATATAATATGGCATAAATTTAATGTTTAAGTTTTCTACATTTTACCTTGGTAAGAAGACAAACTTCAAAAAACATTAAACTGTACAGCTAAACATGTCAAACAGACTGTTTTAAATGTGATATATATAATAGATAGAGTCAAATATGAATCATGAAATATAAGCAATGAATAAATCAAATAAAAATATAATCAAATATATATGGTTTAAAATTTTTGTTTTTTAAGGGGGAAATAAAAGGAATCATGCCAAAAAATTTTATGCCCTGGTTTTTTTGGATCAAATTGTTTTTTCTATAAATTTTTTTCAAAGGGGAATAAAAAGTTTTTATCCAAGGGACAAAAACCTGTAAAAATCTGCATAAAAATTAAAAAACCCTAATGAAATTTTTTTTTTCCCTTTTCCCTTAAATTTGAGCGATAAAAAATACTTTATTGGAGACAGAAAAACAAATCCAGGGTAACCTATTTTTACCCATATTAAATTGAAAAACTAAAAATTCAGGGCTGCCAAAAAGCAAATGCAAAATCAGGGGAAAAAATACCCCGGGGGGTCAAGGGGCTCCCCCTTTTGTGGGTCCAGGGCAAAAAAAGGCCCGGGGGGTTGGGGGCCCAAGGGGCCCCCCAACCCCCTTGAAGCTCCTGGATATCTGTACTTAGATGATTTGCAGAGGTATCACACGGGGCCTGCAAAACCATCCAATGGGCTTCCCCACTCTCTGGAGGGACTCTTCGTCACCCTAACACTAAAATTGCTCAACCCCTCTCTACCCTTGGTGCGTTGCTTTAAAGCCATTAAGCCCCATAGAGAACACTTTAGTTGGACTTTCAGGTTTTCATCAGCCCTCAAAACCAAATATCCGACATTTTGACGCAAATTTTGACAACAGACAAGAGCGACAATGTTCTTAAAAAAAAAAAAAAAAAAAAAAAAAAACTGTAAACTGTTTGATTGGTTATTTCTAAAATAGAATGCCTGAAAAGACTCGATTTTACCAATGAGAAAAAGCGCCTTACAGACGTAACCATAGGCGGGCTAGGCGTAACGATAAAAGCCGAAAGCGTGCCCCGGTTTTTGGGTACCCCTGTATAAAAATATGAACGGAATTGAATTTTTATTGTTTTTGTAAAATTTTACTTTCATTTTTTCAAAATGACCCGGGAAACCCTCACGAAATCCCCCCGGAAAAATTTCTCACCCCTGATATTTTATTTCATCCTTTGGGAAAAAGTTTAACCCCAATTTAAGTTTAAAAATCGTTGCTTTTTAAAAAAACTTTGGGTTTAATCTAATTGTATTATATTAGAATATAGGCTTTCTATATTTAGAACAATCATGTGACTACACCTTTACATCAGGACATTGAATTTCTACATACAGGTTTTTTTTTTAATAGGACCCCTGTCTTATGAGTGATCTGTCCTATAGGTGAGTAAGTACAGTATCTGTTGATGAAGACTCAAAGGAGTCAAAACATCGTTTTACATCATTAAACATTAAAACTTATCCTCTGATGATTGCTTGTTCTAGAGATTCATTAAAATTTATGTATTGTAATAAATTATAAATATAATGAGAAAATTTCATGCAACATTTCATAACAATACAACATTGAATTTTGTATACTTTTTTAGCTTACCATTTAACAAAACATCCAAGGTTCATTTTTTTCAACAGGAATAAAAGGAAAGAAAAATATTATATACTTGTTGTCAAAAAATAATGCACTTACTTATTCCCTCTACACTTTTAATGAGAACGTTATTTTTGAACAAAAGGGAATAATTATATTTGTGTAGTACATTGTATTTTATACTTTAAACATCTACATATAGCGAAAAAAAAAAAGTTGTGTTTATTTTTTTTTCAAAAGGCTTTTCCCCCCAAATTTTTATTAACACAATTGGTAATCATTACCAGGTTGACACAAATAATTTCATATGGACATTATTCAAAGAAAAATAAAAAGATTTTAAAAAAATATATACATGTATCTATGTTCTATGCCATTTTAACAATATTTCTCCTTGGGCAATCATCTGGTATCAGATCAAATAAGTCTGAATTATTAAACATTGAAAACAAGATTGCATTTGAGAACTAGAAATGTGTCATCATGCCACGGATGCCCCCGCATGCAGCCAAAATTTCAGATGTTATAATATTTAGTTCCAAATTTGTTTGCACAAATTATTGTTTTCATTTTAAGTTCAAAGCCCTTAAAACTTTTCAACGTTTACACAAACCATTTTCATACAATGTTCAAGGCACTGAAATTATTCAGTCTTAACCTTTTGAAAATAGCATATTTTCATATTTGTAGCCAAAATAATGGCTTAACCATACATTTCCCCACCAAAAAAATATTGAGTGCTTGAAACTGAAAGTTCAAAAATTTTTCCAAAATTCAAACTTTTAAACTGCTTATTCCTAAGATGTTATCTATATTATTTTCAAAGGAAAGGGACATAAACTCTGCCCCAACAACATCGAAACCAATGACCAAATTCCCAACTTTTGAACCTGCCCATTCCTTTGACATATCCATTATGTCAAATTTTGAGTTGGAATTATGGTAACACTGTTTTGGGTAATAATGAACAGAAACTTGTAAAATTTCATATTTTTTCAAAGTTTGGAAGGGGGCATTACTCTCCAAAAATTCATTGAACCATGACCCAAAATTCGAACTTTGGCCTGGGCCATTCCAAAAACATATCCATATGTGGGAAATTTGAGTTGAATGTGTTGTACTGTATTGGGGAGATAATAAAACAGAAAACTGAAAATTTCCATATTATTTTTCAAAGTAAAAGGAGCAATAACTCTGCCCCCAAAAAATCAAATTCGAACCATGACCAAATTCAAACTTGACCTGTATTTTCTCATGACATATCCAGTTATGTTCAAATTTGAGTTGAATTGTTGTTTGTAAACCGTTGGGGAAGATAATTGAACGGAAACTGAAAATTTCATTAAAATATTTTCAAAGTAAAAGGGGCATTTAACTTCTACCCAAAAATCATCGAACCATGACCAAATTTTTCGAACTTGACCCTGTATTTTCTCATGACATATCCCATATGTCAATATTTTTTTTTGAATGTGTTTGTACCGTTGGGGAAGATAATGAACGGGGAAACTTTGAAAAATTTCATATTATTTTCAAAGTAAAAGGGGCATAACTCTGCCAAAAATCATCGAACCATGACCAAATTCAAAAACTTGACCTGTATTTTCTCATGACATATCCATATGTCAAATTTGATTTGAATGTTGTTGTACTGTGGGGAGATAATGAACGAAACTGAAAATTTCATATTATTTTCAAAGTAAAAGGGGCCATAACTCTCCAAAAAATCATCGAACCATGACCAAATTCAAACTTGACCTGTATTTTCTCATGACATATCCATATGTCAAATTTGATTTGAATGTGTTGTACCCGGTTGGGAGATAGATGAACGGGAAACTTGAAAATTTCATATTATTTTCAAAGTAAAAGGGGCATAACCCTCTGCCAAAAAATCAATCGAAACCATGACCAAAATTCAAACTTGGACCTGTATTTTCTCATGAAACATATCCATATGTCAAAATTTTGATTTGAAATGTGTTGTACCGTTGGGGAGATAATGAACGGAAACTGAAAAATTTCATATTATTTTCAAAGTAAAAAGGGGCATAACTCTGCCAAAAATCATCGAACCATGGACCAAATTTTCAAACTTGACCTGTATTTTCTCATGACATATCCATATGTCAATTTTGATTCGAATGTGTTGTACCGTTGGGGAGATAATGAACGGAAACTGAAAATTTCATATTATTTTCAAAGTAAAAGGGGCCAAACTCTGCCAAAAATCATCGAACCATGACCAAATTCAAACTTGACCTGTATTTTCTCATGACATATCCATATGCCAAATTTGAGTTGAATATGTGCAACCCCTTTACTTAAGATAAATGTTTAAACGGAAACTGATGATGACGGCAAATGAACAGAAATGACGGAAGGACGGGAAATGACCGGAAATGAACGGCATGAAAGGACGGGAATGACGGAAGGACGGAAGGACGGAACAGGGTAACACTATATGCCCCGGCCATTACATGGCGGGGGCATAAAAATGCTATGCCACCGCATGTTTCAAATTTCATAGCTGTACATCAAAGGACAAGAAAGTAGGTCACATCATCAAAATCTAGGTCAAAGTTCAATTTTACAACTAAAACTGTGCACATGGTCAAAATGTCATTGCTGTACATCAAAGGACAAGAAATTAGGTCACTGTCCTCTTGGGCAAGGCATAATTTTGACCCAAGGGTTTAATAACAATCTTGATACAGGTCCACCAAACAACATTCAAGTCAAATACATTGTATCTAAGCTATAGGGCTTTCTCCCATTCAGAAAACATTTGTTTTATTTTCTGTTTTTACTACGTGAACATAATGAGAATCACTGCCCCCGGCAGGGCCAATTTTTGACATTTGAACAACTTTGGTAGAGGACTTATAGATGATATTATATATCAAACATCAAAGCTCTATGCCTTGAACCTTCAGACAAAATTTTTTTTTTCACTATATGTACATAATGAAAATCAATGACCCCCGGGGCGGAAACCAATTTTGACCCCAGGGCTATAATTTGAACAATCTTGCTAAGAGGTCCACTACACAATGTTTCATGCAAAATATCTTAACTCTATCCTTTGTAAATTTAGAGAAGACAAGAGGCAACATTTGAACAACTTTGGTAGAGTACCTTTAGATGATATTATTTAACAAATATTAAAGCTCTAAGCCTTGTACCTTCAGACAATAAGATTTTTTTTATTTTTTTTACTATATGTATATATTGTAATCAACGACCCCCAGGGCGGGGGCAATTTTGACCCCAGGACTATAGTTTGAAACAATCTTGCTAGAGGTTTACAACACAATGTTTCATGCAAAATATCTAACCTGTAGCATTTGTCAATTGCTAGAAGAATTTTTTTTAAGTTTTTACTATATACATATAAGGAAAACCAATGACCCCTGGGGCATGGCTGATTTTGACCCCAGGGCTATAATTACACAATCTGGGTAGAGGTCTACCAGACAATGCCTTATGCAAAATATCTAAGCTCTAGACCTTTTGGGTCTTTACAAGAAGGTGTTTTTTAAGTTTTTACTAAATGTACATATAGCGAAAATCAATGACCCTGGGGCGGGGCCGATTTTGACCCAAGGGCTATAATTTGAACAATCTTGGTAAGGGTCTACCAGATGATGCCTTATGCAAAATATCTAAGCTCTAGGCCTTTTGGGTTTTTACAAGAAGGTTATTTTAAGTTTTTACTATATGTACATAGTGAAAATCAATGACCCCCCCGGGGGCGGCGCCAATTTTGACCCCAGGGGCTATAATTTGAACAATCTTGTTAGAGGTCTACTAGACAATGCCTTATGCAAAATATCTAAGCTCTAGGCCTTTTGGGTCTTTACAAGAAGATTTTTTTAATTCATTCTTATAATTCCTTTTGGTTGCCATGGCAACCAGATTTCTATATGGAATGAAATTCTTTGAACAACTTTGGAAGCCCTTCACCCAAGGAACAATCCTGCCAAGTTTGGTTGAAATTGGACTAGTGGTTTTTCAGAAGAAGATTTTTTAAGTTCACTATATAATCTATATAACACACACACAAACACACACACAAACACACACACACACAGGTGAATCGCTATATGCCACCGCATCGCAGATGCTGTGGTGGCATAAAAACAAACTGTACAATTAAAATCATTCACTTTTAGAAATAACAGTCAAGGTGGTACCTATTACCATTAAGATTATGTCAAAGATTTCTTAATGCAGCAGAAAAACTGTTACAATTACTCCTGTTGTATGGTATTATTTTAATTGGGAACAAAACCCATTTGTAACAAATGTTACAGAATTATAAAGGAAATTACTGAGTAAGGTCTTTTTTTATCATACAGACGTATAGGGATACGGACAAAAAGCCCCCTCGGACGAAAGCCCCCCCCCCCCGGTCTAAAAATGACAAGGTGGACAAAAGCCCCCCCCAAGAAATTTACACATAGGACAAAAGCCCCCCATAAAAACAAAAGCCCCCCCCCCCCCATAGTCAATCAAATTTACATATAGTGTAATAAAGTTGTGTTTTTTATGTGTTTTAAAGATATGTGTGGACATCACATGTAGGTGACATAGTGCTAAGGATATTAATTTGATCCCTTTACAAAACTGATTAAACATTACTACTCTTCTGACCCTTGTTGTGTATATGAAAAGCTATGAATTCAGTATCGCATGCATGCATTATTTCATCTGTTATCATATACTTTGTTATCACTTCAATATATACATTATAAATAAACATTAAAACAAATTCTTTTCATTTTTATTTAAAAATTTGTGTGAAATTTGATGAATTTGAGCACCTGTGCGTGTGAAAAAAGATGGGGGGGCTTTTGTCCTACCTGTATTTTTTTGATGGGGGGGGGGGGGGCTTTTGTCCTATGTGAAAATTTCATGGGGGGCTTTTGTCCACCTTGTCATTTTTTAGACGGGGAGGCTTTCGTCTGGGGGTCTTTTGTCCGTATCCCTTGTTACAGATATACTATGCTCAAATTTGATATTTTGAAATATTGATAATTGCTTCACAAACATAAAATAAACATGATTTGACTTCACACGAAGTAGATATGTTTTGCATTAAATCCAACACACTGTAAGTGGACACACTTTAAATATAAAGTGTCATTAAAAACTGGCATTTTTTTTTACAGTAAGGACCAGCATTACTTGACCAATAATAAGGAACACAGATTCCCATACATCGTTTGTAAGTTCTTTTACTTAAATAAGACATCTTCTGTAAGAATTCTATGAATTTCAATAAATTTCTGCAATACTAATTTACTCAAAGATGAGCATAGTATATCTTTATGCACTTTAACAAATTCCTTAACAAAAGCCTTGTGCATTACACTTACTGCAAACAATATAAATTCTACCCATCTGATTGGTAGGCATGTTTCAACCAGAAATCTTGCTTGCCTATACAGCAAATGCACAGGTAAAAATGTCATGTCAAACCAAATGTCACAAACATTACAAATATGGCTCTATATAAAGAACATAATCTCACCTTTCATGTATAGTTTCAATTTCCTCATTTAATTTCTTGTTCAACTCCAGCACCTGAAAATAAGATAAATAGTTGCAAAGCTCATTCTCTCATGGCACAAGATATTGTCATGTCAAAAAAATGTGTTTTTTTATGTTTTTTTTGGTGTGTTTTTTAATGCTTATTTTTAAGACATTTTTTGGTCATATCTTGGCACTGAGTCTAGTTATTACCAATTTCTCCACAAGTGACCAACTATTAGTCCAACATGTTTTCTGAAACAGGGGAGAAAGAGACAAATGCAAAAAGACTAAACAGGTAAGAGCAACTGTTGTGGAAATAATAACTAACCCTTACCTGGGGATCGAAAATCCACCCATGGATTATTAATCAGATGCTCACCCTATTGAGCTAAGCACAGTAAGTAGTTACATGTTGTAAATCTACAAAGGCATATGCTGGATGTTAGCTAAGTTCAACAATCCTGAGCATGCAAGATGGAAACTTTCTAACAATAATGAACTTGGCCTGAGGTGAGAAGTGAGCATCATGACCACACACATGTATGTGTCAAAAATATATTTCAGTACCCCTTTAATCAACTTGTCAACAAAATAGCTCTTAGTACCCCTTTAATCAACTTGTCAATATCATCTGTACCTTATCTTGCTCTTTCCTTGCTTCTAAAGAACCTTGTAGCTGTGATGTTAGAATATCTTTCTCTTTCTCCAAGTCTTTTACGTTCTCTTCAAGTAAGGTTACAGTCTCCTGAGATTCCTCTCTGTAACAAGAGATTTCATTGGTTAATGAGACTTATCTTAGCCCAATCACAGCTCATAACTCAAAGGTTATAGAAATGATATTCAATAATACAGTTGTGACCTTAGTAAAGTTTTCATATATGTGATAATGTAATAAAATAAATCTTAGGAAATAAAAACCTGTCAACTTAAGTTTCAACTTCAAAGAAAACAGGCTCTTTAAGTCAGCTTGTTTCTCTTTTTTCTCTATCAAAAGCAAAAATTACTTATTTCATCACATTAATATCTGCAAAGAATAAAAGAAAATTTTTGTCTACATTAAAAATTGTATGTATTTACTGAAAAATGAAATCTCAAAAATATTAAGAGGATAATTTTTTCTGTTTGAGTCAAATATGAAATATATTTTGAAGAAATATGAGAAAAAAATTAATTTTCCATATATTTTCATGAGCCAAAACAAATATTAAGCATATTTGACTGATAATGTGTCTTTTTTCATTTTCATGGATGAAATTAAATTTCATGGGTAAAATGAAATAAATGAACATAGTTCTTCCCAATAAAGCAACAAGAACATTATTTCACACAAATACAATACTCACAGTTCAATCTTCATAGATTTTATTTCACTGCCTTGTTCTTCTGATTTCTTTTTTGCCTCACTAGATGCTGCCTCAAGGTCTGTTACCTTCTTCTTCCATGTCTCTACCAGTGACATCTGTTCTGCCAATTTCTTCTGCATTGCACCTGAATCTTCCGTTGCCTGGGACAACTGGTTGATTGTCTCCTGTTGTTGACTAGAGTCCTGTTTCAGTTTTTCTACCTCCTTTTGTAACTCTTCAACCTAGAAGAAAGAAGAAGAGTTGATAAATTAAAGTAACGGATATTAATCATGTTTTAATTATGTGAATTTCACTAGTTAACTTCACAACCTAAAACTGGCATTGAAACAGATAACCATATGACTTTACAACATTTCCCATCTAAGCAGCTTTAAGTTTTTCAACATAATTTTTCAAGGGTACAGTGGAAATAAAATTTGACCATTTGATTAAAACACCATTCCCTTTCATTGACTTATTATGAAACATGTATGCATTCATAAAATTAAGTTCAAGAACTATACTGTTTAGTATAGAATTCATACTTTTAAATTTTGCTAAATAGGAGTTTATTTCTGATACGAATGTAAAACACAACTTTAAACAATTTACCAGCATGTCTTTCTGTTGTAGAGCTGCCCTGCCTTCTATAGTTTCTCTCTCAAACTGATCTTTCTCTGTTGAGATCTTCTCTTTCTCTGATATAACATCATCCTTACTCTTCTGTACCTGAACAACACATTTTATAAATGTTTTTTTTGTTTTTTTTTGCTTAAGGGAAGCCAAAGAAATGCCCTTTTTTAAAAGAGACTGATTAGTATTCACTCAGCACAGTCTACACTGTCTGACAAAAATGTATATGTTGATATGTTAATGACCCAAACATAGCATTTTGATGATAAAATCTTTATATACTTTATAAACATAGATCTGATTTTATGGCATGTTTTTCCCCCTAAATAAGCATTTCAGTAGTCTTTAGAATCTATCAATGATGTGAGAGTTAAACCCAGATAATTTGTCTTTTTGTTTTATCATTTTTTGTTTTGTTTTGAATTCTAAGTACATGTACATGTACCAGTAAAGCAAGTTTCTGATATCAATTTTTCATATATGTCTTTAGAATGACTCTCTTTGGAAAGTAAAAAATAAACCACTACACATAAAATCAAAGAAATCACAATTTGTATGATAAACCAGAAGATACATTGCTCCATCAAAATAAGTCCTTATAGAATCTCTAAGCTTCCATTATCAATTAAGCCCATCATTTTATTTCTCCAGAATAAAGACACAATCTTACCTCTGCAAGCAGTTTCTCCACTCTCTCCTTCTCCTCTGTGATGTCTTGTATTTTTTCTTCAGCTTTAGCCCTCTCTTGTGACACTTGGTCTACACTAGACTGTGATTTTGTTGCTTCCACTTTAAGTTGAATTAACTCGCTGTTTAATGTATCCCGCTCGGCCTCTAATCTCTTTACCTGTTTTTCCACCTTCTCTTTCTCAAACTGAAGGAAATACACATAATAAGTTATCAATGATAACTGATGATTTAAGCCTAAAACTATTATATCTGCAATATGATATAAAAATCTTTTTCTTTTTTGTTGTTAATCCATTGTTCTTTGTGACCTGAAGTCTGACTTTACCATTTTAACTGTTGCCTTTGTAGCATATTGTAAATAATTCTAATATTCTTATAATTTAATCATTTTTTTTTTGCTTTATAAGGCTTCAATTTTTTTCAATAAAATAGGCCGTAAATCTGCGCATCTTTATTGCCATGATCCAGAAAAGAAAGAAAAAGAATCTCAAAATAACCTTGACCTTACCTGTACTGCCTCTTTCTCCATGGTGATTTGGTCAAGCACCTGTTTATGAGCCTGGGTCTGTATTTCCTGTTTACTGAGATTTTCTGCTGACACTTCCATTTGTTGTTTAAGTTCAGTAATTTCATTTTCTTTTCTTTTTAATATAGATTCCTTTTCACTTTCATGGTCTTTTTCCATGTTAACGATTTTTGTCTTAGTTTTATCAAGTTCTTTTTGCTGTAACAACAAAAACAGAATTCAAACTATGACGTTACAAAAGCTAATCAATGTTGCATGAGAAACAGTTACTGTTAATAGAACTTTGACAATTTCTTTTTTGTTTTTTAAAAAAATGCCATTTGACTTAAGAATGTAATTTAAAAACATTTTTGATGCCATTTTTAGGTATAAAGCATCATCTGGCAATTAAAATCCAGAATTTTTATCACTCCCTCACAGAATCTGGATGCTGCTAAATTTAGCTTTAAAATGATACATTTTTAATTTCTTTCTATCTTTTATTATAGAAATGTCCCTATTTTTACAATATCTAGCTCCCATGACAAAAGTGGCATCAATTTCTGGTGTCAGTATTCAATAAAAAAAATCATGTCATTAATAACAAGATATAACATACTGTTTAACAAAATCAAAAGACAATTTACATTAATTGTCAAACTATTTAAATGGGTAAAGAAAAATATTATTATAGTGCCAATATCAAAAATAATTTTATTAGCTTATATAAAGATGATTTAATTGTGAGTAGGCATTTTCATCTTATCTTTACTAATCATGTAACTCCAAAACACATCTATATTGGGAAAGACATTTAAAATGGTGAGCAGGGGTGGCTATACATGTTATGTGAATAGCATCAATTGGCAGAGTATTGAATACTTTTTTCCAAGTATGAAAAAATTTCAAACTCTCAAAAACTTACATTTATCAATGAAGAAATTGTTTAAACTGTCAATTACAAAGATTGATCCACGTGTGGGTATTATTAAATCAATTGTGGTTACAGGTTAAATTTTTTTTTTTAAAGAGATAAAATTTTCATACTTACCACATCTTCAAGATTACTAGTCAAGGTTGATTTAATTTCATCATTTTTAGCTGCCAATTTTTCTATTTCTCTCTCTTTTTCCCTCATACTTGTTTCAAATTTATTGTTTAGGTTGTGCCATTTTTGAGTAGAAGTCGACAAGTCGGCTTGTAGTTCCTCGAGCTTTCTGAAAATTTACAGAAGATATTTTCTGAATAAAATGCACGCTAGTCCTTACTTCCTTTTCTTGTTGCTGGTTTATGTCCGTCAAGACAATATTTAGGTCATTTCAAGCTTTAAATCTCCCACTTACCTTTAGTACATTTTTATCAAGCATAAGATGGCACTATAAGAGAGTCGTCCTTTAGTCAGGTAATTTTTGAATCCTTCATTTAGTAAAAGAATCCAACACACATCATTCCTTTCATGTTTTTATGTAACTGTACTAAAAATCATTTTCATACAATATTTGCCATGCTTTATAGCAGACAACACTTCAACACACTTCATAGGGAAAGACAATTCAAAGATTCATCATAACAATGCCAAAACATGACAAATTATTTTAATCAACAACAAGGAATTTAAATTACATTAACCCCTTCTCATATCTGTAGCTTAAAGATATAATGTTGCAAGAACTGTCCTATACAACTTTCACAGCACCACAAACTGCATGCCTAATAATTAAAGATACTATTTATCCCCTAGTTCTATAGAAAGCTGCCATAACATAAAAATCAGGGTAGATAACAGCATATTTCAAAGAGTAAAACACATGCATAAATATCATTTTATATACACATTTATTAATTGTTTTGTCATTATCATTTTAATTAAATGCAATTTTTAATAAAGGAATAAATGACCATTTCCCAAAAAATAAAAAACACCTCAGGTTTTTATCTAAACTTATGCAATTCTATCCTTAATAATGAAATGAATGAAAGTTTTACATAATTAAATAGGCAAACACTCTGTTTAAAATACAGAAAGAAAAAAATTATACATTAGACAAAGTTAAAAACCAAAAGAATAAAATATTTCTCTTATAATCTCAGTAAAAAATAACATACATTTAATTCAATATCCACACAGGCACTAAAGAAAAAAATTCCTTGTATATCACATTACAATCAGGACAAAAAATGGGAAAAACAACTCCAAGAAGCATCAAAACATGTCAAACGTCACAGAATTTCGTAATCTTCTCCAAACCTATCCCTAAATCCACCAATTATTCATACGTATTTATGTTTCCTGACAATTCTTCCAGAGTTCAGTATCTTCCAAAGAAAAAAAATAAGTTGACCCATTTATTTCCCAACAAATACGTCTTACTATTCAAAATCCAATAAAATCCCTACAGTCTCTTCCTAAGCAGTCTTCTTTGAGTTAATGTGTGTTGGTGAATTTTTTTATTTATATAAAAGAATCGTTCCTGATCTTGTCAATACATCACTGGGATTATTTTTTTACACTATGACAATACTGTTATTAATTATTTGAGGTAAAAAAGTCAAGACAGTATCTGTAATTTCCCCAAACTTTGTCTTTGTCTACAATTAACTTTTTTTCTTACATGATCAAGTTGTTATGAATAATAAACAACAAAACTATATACCCCATAACCCCCCCCCCCCCCGTTTTTTTCCCACCCTTCAATCATCCAATCATCAAAATTTAATGACCTATTATTTTGTATTTGAGCACTGTCTTAACACAACTATGATTATTTCATTATTTTACAGAATCAGTACCTTTATAAATTTTTGCCTGACTCCCAAGCATGTAAAACTGTATACATGTATATAACTCTCTAACTATAATTTTTCCTTTTAATGATCAAATTTGGATATTCAACAAAAACTAGAAGGCATTCAGAGCAATAATCAAGTATTCCACACAGTATATCATGCTATAATTATACACTATTAACCTGACAATACCCTCCTTCTCTCACAACCACTATCATTTTATTCCCAATCTTTTATAAACTAACTGTATGTGTCATCAGTTGAGGATCAAACTGAATGTCAATAGATTCTGCTACAGATATGCAAAATTTGCTCCTGTTTCTCCTATAATAGTCTACTGATATCTTTTCTCATGCAACTTTTACGTGCATTTTTATATTAAAACCTCAGAAAAATTTCTTTCAAACCATCATTATAGAATTGATTTTTCCTATCTTTCATCAACTTATATTAAACCACTGTAATGAACAAGTAACATGAAATTATTTCATCACTTGTAAATTTTTGTTTATATTTAAAGGACCTCAACCAACGTCCCAAAAATGTAAAATTTGAATTCTGGGAAAATAGAGTAAGCTCCAAAAGCCTAAAAACATAAAAATTGAATTCTTGGAAAACAGATTGAGCAAATGATCTGAAATTTTACACACACACTATAGGTACATGTATAGGCCTATATCATATGGAACATTAATCTTGAATATTTTCAAAAAACATCAGTTAAGTCCCTTTAACACTTACACACCAAGGATGTGCAGGCTGGCCTGGCTCTAAACTGGAGGCAAATGATAATATTTTGGTGTCCAGCAAGGTCAGATCTATGTAATATATGATTTTTTTTTCTGTCTATACATCAAAGACATTACTTTCATACACATAATATATATTTTCTTTCTGTGTGTAAGATGACTTTACATACATATGTTGAAATGTAGCCTGGTTAACATGTAGCATATAAACTTACACATCAAAGCCAAACTTAAATGAAAAAGAATCAAAATTTTACAAATAATAATCATATACTAGTTTCTAAAATATTTATGACATTGTGCCATTAAGATTTTCTTGGCACACTGACTTCCAAAGATGTCATAACATATTTCACAATCTCAATCTCATCTTCTGTTTAAAATTCTGTCTTATGTCCAAAATAAACACTTTCAAAAACAGATTTTTTTAAAAATCTGATCATTTGAAGAAAAATTACCAATGTTTCTTAACTTATATTTTTAATGTTTTTGTTTTTGTCTCCAAAATAATGTATGTTGCAACAGTATTTTTTTTCTTTTACATATTTTGATTAATTCACCAAAATTTGGCTTTAATACACAACTATAAACTTCCAATTAACTAGCATGCAAAAAATCATATATATATATTTACCAGTATATATAAAAGCTTTTTAGAGCATTTTTGATGCTCGTTACCTGCATTAAGTAGCGCTATTTGTGAAATTATTTGTCATAAAAGTAGCAAAATGTGAACAATATCAATGCAGTACTTTGATTTCCATACAAAATCACTCTAACTGTAATAATTGCCAAAGGGCAATAGAAGCAAAAGTTGGTGGGGCCAATTTTAACCCCAGGACCCTTATTTGAACAAAAATGGTAGATACCAATTAGAAGATGTTTCATGCTAAATATCTTAGCTCTAGCTATAAAGGTTTTTTAAAAGAAGACTTACTAAGATTTTACTATATACATAAAGGGAAAAACAATGACCCCCTGTGGCGGGGCCAATTTTGACCCCCGGGCTTTTATTTGAACAAACTTGGTAGACACCCACTAGAAGATGTTTCATGCTTAATAGCTAAGCTCTAGCTATTTGGGTTTCTTAAAAGATTTTTTTTAAGTTTTTACTATATACAAATAAGGAAAATTAATGACCCCCTGAATACCTGCATTAAGTAGCGCTATTTGTGAAATTATGTGTCATAAAAGTAGCAAAATGTGAACAATATCAATGCAGTACTTTGACTTCCATACAAAATCATTCTAACTGTAATAATTGCCAAAGGGCAATAGAAGCAAAAGTTGGTGGGGCCAATTTTAACCCCAGGACCCTTATTTGAACAAACTTTGTAGACATTGACTAGATGATGTTTCATGCCAAATATTTAAGCTCTAACTCTTACGGTTTTCTAAAAGAAGATATTTTAATTTTTTTCTATTGGTTGCCATGGCAACCAGAGTTGTGCTTGGAATTAAATTCTTTGAATCATTTTTAAAGTTGACTACCAAAGGAACATTTAAGCATTTGAACATTCAGATTAAGCCCTGGTACATAATGACATTTTCTTTTTAATTATCTGACCTGGTATATTGTTACCAGTGGAAACACATACTGTCAATTCATTTTTTGAAGATAAGAGTAAAGAACACTATAATTATGCACTCTAAAAGCAATCACTCCTTATTTTTCATTGGCCCAGAGATGTACAGCAGAAAGCCGCAGGACCAACCTTACTTTACAAACTTATCTTAAACCAAATTATTAATTTTAGTTTGAGACATGGAAAAGCGAATTGGCAACCTCCAGATATAAGGCTATACAGATGGACAGTTCAATATATATATATATACAGTGGTGTGGTGTGTGTGAAAATACAAACATTGAAGCAACAACTAACCTATTCTTCTGTCCAAGCTGTTCATTTAGCATTGACAATTGATTTGAACTGTCACCAGTATTTTTCATCATGTCAGCAACCTGGCTCTCCTTGATGGGAAAAAAACAATCAAAAATACACAATATAGAATATTCATTGTGCCCAACATCATCACTTTTTAACACCGTCTTTTTATTTTAATTTTAAAATAATACATAAAATAATGTATACTGTTTGTAAAAACACTTTTGGCATTTTAAACTTTTTATTTTGTTTAAAATCTGACTAATAAATTGAGATTTATACCTCATTTTTTTTCCAGATTTTTTTTCCCTTTTATTAATTCTCATTCTTGCATGGTCTTCTTAAATCATATCATTACTGATACCCTACTATACCATTCTTGTTTCAAAGCAAAATCGAAAAGCTGATTTAAATGAGATTGGTTTTTAATGTTACGATGCGGAAGCGAGTATATACCAATAATGGTTTTTGTTCTGCAGTGAAGGATAGTTTTCATACTCGTACATTTTTCAATAAACCTGCTCTTTTTATTTTCATTATTCAAAAATATTGATTCTAGTTCACAAATAGAGTGAAATTAACAAGAAAAGTTCAAACAGACTTGTCAATAGAAATAATAATATAATACCATGTTCAGCATAATTATGAGGGGAAAAAAGTGCATGAAATAATTTGTAATTTCTGATATTCAAATTAATCATTCAATTTTGAGAAAGAAATTCATTTAATAATCACATAAAAGCAAGCAAATATATCTAACTTTATATTTTTTCCTCCGCAATTTCTTATATTATTTTAATTAATACTTTTATAAGATTCTGATTTTGAAATAAAAGGAAGAATTTTGTTATTTATATACCAATACACAGACAATCTAAAACTAAGTTTATTTTAATAGAAATATATTTCACATAATTTTTTTTCTTTATATATTAATTATCATTAATACTTTTGTTATGTTAATATAATTTAACAGCTGGAAAAATAAAAACAAAAACTTAACACCAGTGCTACAAATATTTGACTTCTAAAAAAACTAAAATACTAACAAATACTGCCAAATAACCACCAATATTACTAAAATATTAATAATTATCAAAAACTTAAACACAGGGAAAAAAATCGAAAGCACGTCGAAAACCAAAAACTGGCATGATTGAATTAGTGGTGATGAAAATGGTTTGATGATATTTTAATAATGATCGAAAAAATGCGAACAATTCTGCGTACTGAATCAATCAAAAACATCTAATAACTTGAACTGAGGGAATTTCAAGCCTAGCAAAATGGAGCAAGGCAGAAAACAATGGCAGATCATGATTTGAATATGACAGAAATTACAATAAAAGATTATATTGTCATTTTCAGACGTGTGTTTTATAGCTTTTATTTTAAACCATAAGTACATATTAAAGAATTCAGAAAATGAAATATTAAATATGTAAATATTTCAAAAAAGTTTATAAATAACTACTGCTGATGTATCTAGAGACTTGGAAGAGTGCCAAAAAGTTCCAATACACTAATTCAGTATATTTTAGAAATCCCACAAATAAAGAGAATAATTTATGTATACAAGAAACATATACATGTAGTTTGACTGTCTGTAAGATGTTACCTCTGTCTGCTTAAATCAAAGCAAAATAATTATTTATTACAAGGCATTGATAATGACAAATCAAACAAAAACTTGGGTTTTAAAAGATATTTGTTACCACTGATTTATAGAACATATCAAGTATTTTTTCAACAAAAATAACACCAAAATTTCTATCTTCATCCTACACCGATAAATTTAAATGACATAAAATACATTATAAGTTAACAATACCACTAACAGCTATCAGTTTTGGTGACATACATAATCTTAAACCTAAATGCTGTTTTTACTGGGGCAATCTTGTTGTGGTGATTTACTGATACCTTTATGAATATCTGGAGGTGACCTTGACCTTGGCTGAAGGTAATCACATGGTCACTGTAATAAATGACAACAATTGTCCCTTATTCCTTGACAAATTCTTCACTTCTTTACCCATTCCAAAGATATTGTAGGACATTTTATCCAAGATTTTTGTTTTTGTTCTTTAGTTGATTTGTGTTTTTCTCTGATTCAAACCAACATTTTCAAGGTCATATGGTGCCTTTCCAGCTTTTCTAGAGGAGAAAGCCCTCTCAAGCTCTTTGACCTAGGAGTGTGTGACCTTGACAAAGATATAGACCTTGACCTTAGACATAGAACCATAGCCTATATCTATTGTTTTGATGAAGTATACAAGGTTTCTATACATTGAACTTGAAACTAAGCTAACTAACTGTCAGCATAACAAAGTGACCTTTATTTTTGACCTGATTTGACCTTGACATCTGAATATGACTTTGATATTAGATGCAGTAATTTTCGTCCTTATCATGATGTTCATATTACAATATACTATGTACATTTATGATCACCACCTTGTATTTTCCATTGCTATGTCATGTTTGTTGTATTATGTTGTATTTTGGGCTAAATGCCTATGTTAAAAGAAATAAACTATACTTTACTTTTTTAAATGATCATAGTATTACAGAAATCATTTATTCAGTATAGAGTATGCAGGTGAAAATACAAATACTCAAGGATATCTTATACTCTGAGACAGAATAAATAATATGTTTACTACCAAACAACAAAACATTCTCTTTTCACAACATTAACTAAATTCTATTTAACTGAAACAAACTTTATTTGCTCTTCTGCTTTACGTAAGCACATAATTTTAGTTGTATCTCGGGAATTGATCCACCTAACTGACTTATCTGGATAACTAACCGGTAATAACCAATTTCTCCACAAGTGATTGACACCTAATCCCATATGATTGCTTAATTAGCAGCGAGTTAAACTTAATGTTCGAGATCCCGGGGCAAATTTAGCCTGGCCCGATACTATCCCTATCAAGCTGTCTTAAAAAATTTTTTTTTATGTTATTTCTATCAAAACATACATGTTTTATATTTTGACTCCTGAATTTATAATTATTTTCTTACATTAAAATATTTTATTCCGGCAATACATCTGTAATTTTACATTGGTTAATTAATATAATAACATGGAATTTCAGTTAGCTTTTATTTCATCTAATTTTAGAAAATGATGTAATACCTACTTTTAGACATTTTTCATTTTAATTCCGATATTTGATGATAGAATGATGGTAGGCACAATGGATAAAGCTTCACAAGTGTAACAAGAAGGTATTCAACATATCACCAAGGTAACATCACAATATTGACAAAAAATAATAAAACAAACAGCTACAATATTTCACAATAACCTAGCAGAAAACTTAAATGGGTGTCGGCACAAAAAAAGTTAATTTTTGATGACAGAAGCATATTTCTTTATATACCAATGATATTTTCACAACATTGAAAGCAAAATCTGTTCAATTCATGAAATGAGCCGCGTCATGACAAAACCAACATAATGACTTTGCGACCAGCATGGATCCAGATCAGCCTGCGCATCCACCCAGTCTGATCAGGATCCACGCTTACAAACTCTATTACAAATAGAGAAACTGATAGCGAACAGCATGGATCCTTATCAGACTGCGCTGATGGGCAGGCTGGTCTGGATCCATGCTGGTCGCAAACGCATTACGTTGGTTTTGTCATGACACGGCTCAAATATGCATTCATAGTGTGGTTTATGCAAATGGTAAAAATGAACTGAAAGTAAAAGCAAGCCTGCTTCAAAATGATAAAAAAATCCACAATGAAAATGCATCCACGTGATATTTAGTTGCTTTTACACCATACTATTATTTTCATCCATGACCTTAATAAATTTATTGAAAAATAAAATTACTGAAATTTTTTCTTTCTTTCTTTGTCAAATGTTTTTTGTTTTTTTTTTCAACTAGACAGAACTTGACTTACTTGTGCATATTATGTTTTAACTATAATTTTGAGATTAACTATCATTTGAGGTTAACTGCAGTAGTACCCTAGTTTATGTTTTCAATCTACAATAAATTTGGATATATATTTGTATACATATATAAGTATATATATATTTAACTTTTCGAGCCTAAGTGAGTAGCAACTAAGATGATATGATAATGATAAAGTAAGTGGGTGGGGTAATTAGTATTTTTGCAACTACTTACAAGATGAGCTTTTTCATCATTTAGTTGTTGACATCTCTCCTGATTGTCTTTAAGCTTTCTCTCCAAGTCTACAATAACAGTGATCATTAAACAAAAGTTTAAAAAAAATATACAGTATATATGTATATTAGCCATGTGTTACTTAAATATGAATACCTTAACATTTTAAATAACTCGGATGAGACACACTCTCATTCATCCAACTTACTTAATGTATTTAAAAGTAAATTAATGATATACCATGCTAAAAATTGATATTACAAAATAATTATAACTGCTAAATAGTCCCTTTGTAAATATAAAATAAACATGTTTTGTTTGTTTGTTTCATTTAACGCCTTTTTCTAACAGTATCCCAGTCATATAGGCGGGTAGTTTCCTAACCATCGTTCCTGGAGAGTTACACCAGTACTAGACTACCTTCCTCCGCGCTAAACTACCAAAGCATCTCCCGGGGATCGAACCCATGCCAGAGAGGTAACTGGATTAGACGTCATCGACTCTAACCCCTCGACCAAGGAGGCGGTAACCATGTTTTGACTTTACACATAGAAGATATGCTATGTCTAAAATTCCACACACTATAGGTGGTCACAGTATGAATATATAGTTTCATTAAAAAAACAGGCAGTTTTGGTAAGAAAAGACCAACTTTACTTGAACAATGCATAGTTTATACATTCTTTCATTCAAATCAGATATATTCAGTAAGAATTTCATAGATTTCAATAAATTTCTGTGATTAAAATATTTTACTTAAGGATGAGCATAGGATATCTATACACAAACTTGTTTTTTTCTTTTCACTTTAATCTGCTTAAAACCTCGAACACCAGTAGCAAGATTTTTTTTTTCCACTTTCAGTCCAAGGAACATTTCAAATGTCATGCATTTTTTTTCTCACAATGTTTAATGTATTGTGCCACATAAGAATGCATCATACTTGGAATGTAAATTAACATGTAGCTATAGCTATATCAATTCAGTAACAAGGCCTTGTATCATATATAATAAGATATCTTACCAGAGTTTTGTGACTTGAGATTTTGCACCTCTAATGAAAGATTATTGCTAAACACTTCATTAGACTTCAACTTCTCTGTCAATTCTGAAATGTTTCATAAAAATATATTCAAGAATATTATAAACTTTCAACTATGATTCCCAAAAGTTAATCATGGTCATGAAATGAAATAGCAAGAATCTTTTGCTAAAATCAAGAATATTGTTTCTTTCTTAATTCATTAAAAAAACAACAAAAACAGAACAAAAACAAGAAGGGTCCATTTTCCAGTAAGTTCAAGAATTATTATTACATCAATTAAGTTCAAGAATTACTGTATGTATTACCCACCAAAGTTCATAAATATTATCATCTGAAATTCAATAATTACTAAGTCATGTACCATGAAAGTATTCATTATAATTAATTATACCAACAAAATGCAATGATTACTTTTAAAGTTGTTAAGGTTACAAAAAGTATTACCTCCAAAATTATTTTGTAGCTTTTCAAGCTTATTGCTTCTTGATTCCAATTCATCTTTCTGTAAATGGATAGAAAATATTACACAACACTTAAAAAGTTAGTATACATAGAAAACAAGATATGTTTGTAAAACATGTATGCCCCCTATCAGCAGCCAATTAGTTATGTGAAAAGGTTATTATGCATGACTTCTGACCCAGTGATCAAACAATTAATAAGGGTTATCAAGTATCTACTGGTCATGACCTTAACCTTTGACCCCTTGACCCAAAACTCAATAGGGGTCATCTGCTGGTACACGACCCAATCATCATACAAAGTTTGAAGTTCCTAGGCCTAAGCGTTTTTAGTTAATTGATCGGAAACCGTTTAACATTACAAGGTCAATGGGGAACCTTGCCTTTGACCCCTTGACCCAAAAATCAATAGGTCATCTGCTGGTCATGACCAATCACCATACCATGTTTTGAAGTTCCTAGGCCAAAGGGTTCTTTAAGTTATTGATTTGAAAGCATTATTACCTACAAGGGTCAATGTGACCTTGCCCTTTGACCCCTTAACCCCAATATCAATAGGGGTCATCTGCTGGTCATGACCAATCACCATACCAAGTTTGAAGTTCCTAGGCCTAAGGGTTCTTTCGTTATTGATCGGAAATCGTTTTTACCTACAAGGTCAATGTGACCTTGACCTTTGACCCCTTAACCCCAAAAATCAATAGGGGTCATCTGCTGGTCATGACCAGTCACCATACCAAGTTTTGAAGTTCCTAGGCCTAAGGGTTCTTTTGTTAATGATCAGAAAACCCTTTTTTACCCAAGAGGTCAATGTGACCTTGACCTTTGACCCCTTGACCCCAAAATCAATAGGGGTCATCTACTGATCATGACCAATCACCCTACCAAGTTTGAAGTTCCTAGGCCTTAAAGTTCTTTAGTTATTGATCAGAAACCGTTATTGCTTACAAGGTCAATGTGACCTTGACCTTTGACTCCTTGACCCAAAAATCATTAGGGCGTCATCTACTGATCATGACCAATCACCATACCAAGTTTGAAGTTCCTAGGCCTTAAAGTTCTTTAGTTATTGATTGGAAACCGTTTTTGCTTACAAGGTCAATGTGACCTTGACCTTTGACCCCTTGACCCCAATAATCAATAGGGATCATCTACTGATCATGACCAATCACCATACCAAGTTTGAAGTTCCTAGGCCTTAAGGTTCTTTTAGTTATTGATCGGAAACCGTTTTTGCTTACAAGGTCAATGTGACCTTGACCTTTGACCCCAAAATCAATAGGGGTCATCTACTGGTCATGACCAATCACCATACCAAGTTTGAAGTTCCTAGGCCTTAAGGTTCTTTAGTTATTGATCGGAAATTATTTTTGCTTACAAGGTCAATGTGACCTTGACCTTTGACCCCTTGACCCCAAAATCAATAGGGGTCATCTACTGGTCATGACCAATCACCATACCAAGTTTGAAGTTCCTAGGCCTGAGGGTTCTTTAGTTATCACTCGGAAACCATTTGGTCTACGGACCGACGGACCAACGGACCGACGGACCGACAAGTGCAAAGCAATATACCCCCTTTTCTTCGAAATGGGGGCATAATAATACAAATAATTCCATAGAAACAATATTTTCAAGTCAAAAAACAATTTTCTCACTTTATAACAAGTAGGTAAGAAGACATTATGTTCATTTTACATCAATCATGTCAAAATAGTAAACAACATTGACATTTCTCTACCTTTTCCCCTATGTTTATAAATCATATATTACATAAGTGAAAACAATCAAAGCATTTTGTATTGACTGCTTATTCTGTAACATTTCACATACATTTTCAAACATTCAAAACCATATTTCAGACATTAATTAATTTTATAGATTGTATCTTATTAAACAATGCAAAATTAACACTGACCATCTCTGAGAGTTTGTCCTGTAGTTGTTTTACTTCTTTAGTCTTCATAGAGAGAAAATCTTCAAGTTCTGACACTTTATTTGTCTTCTCCTCCAACTCCAAGCTGACCTGGCTTGTCTAAAAATAAAATCAGTACTATGAAACAAGAGATGAGATACTTTTATGGGCATAAAACTTTTACTTGTGAAATCCATTGTGATATGTTAACTTTAAAGAATAAGATTCCCAGTGGTACCAATAGTTCACCTACTAATTTCATATTGTGTAAAATATAGGATTTGGAAATGAAGGGAATAAAGTCACATTGTTACAGAACTGGCACTGTATGGCAACATACCACATTATTTAAGGTATTGATGGTCACTCTTAAGCATGTGTGTTTTCAGGTTCACCACCTGTCCTCATCCAACCGACAATGTAGTAAATAAAGATAAGGACACCAGTATCACCCATTATGTAACACTTTGTCAGTAATTTTTTCCTTTTATATTTTTTTGTTATTTTGTTTCTTTGCTTGGGTATCCAATCACACTGACACTGTTAAATTATATGGCAACTTTCTAGTATTATAGGAGGAAGATTTCCTCATATATCCCTTTAGGGATGTTGGCAGACATCTGTTTTTAATGTATACTGTCACGAGAATGAATTTTTAGCCACTAGCAGGGTGCTGATCTCCAGAGGTGAGTGTCAGGTGAACCATGAGTTAGTGTCCTTTACCACTTGGACAGGTATGCCCCTTTGTCAATTTTGATACCACTCATAACAGATGAAGTACCCCGACTTTCAATAACCCTACCTCTTTTCAACCAAGGTAAGTAACAAACTAACCTTAGCACCTTCTTCTAGTCTAGATGAATCATAGGTTTGTATTTTAAGCTCAGCCTGGGTAAGCTTGTGGTGGCTTTCTATCGGGTCCAGGTACAGTCTGGTCTCCTCCGGGACTTCAACTGTTTTCATGTCTCCCACCATTTCTGAAAAAAATCCAAGTCATTTGTAATAAATGTCACTCATAATTAACATCATGTTTTAAAAAATTTTCAAAAGCATGTTCGCTAAAAAGGGAAAGGGCTTAAAAACAAGGGGAATCAAGAAAAGCTCAGTTTTTTGTCTATGATGATAACAAAAGACCTTTCCCATTAGATCAGAGAGTTTGCTTGTTCACTTTTAGGTCAAATATTTTATCAGCTATACATTAATTAACTTTGTTCTAAACATACCTTGTATGTTATAAGTTCAGTTTCTATTTTTTCATTCTTGTCTTTCTCCCTCTTCAAGGATTTTTCCAATTCTCGAATCTTTGCTTCTTCCTCTTCTGTTCTACTCTGTAACAACAATATTATATATATATATGTTTATACCTATTTGATAATTCTTTTTTCACCCAACAATTATCACTCCATTAACAGTAACAGACTGATATTCTCAAGTAATTTCTAGTATTTCAGATTTATTTTACCTTGAAATATTATATAACTGAACTCCTGCGTTAATTTTCAAACATATGCAAGCAGTACTGACCTCGTCTTGCAAGTACCTTGAATATTCACTTATAAAACTTAAACATCAACTTATATCCTTGAATATTTACTAATATCACTGAATATTCTCTAGTATTCTTGAATATTCATTAATATCCTAAAATATTCACTAGTTTGTTATCATGCACACAGAGCTTTTGAAATGATGGGTCAGACAATATTTAGCTCTAAAATTTTTTTCTATTTTTTTGTCACAACTTCGTCATCTAAATCTTCCAGTAAAACCATTTAAAGCTATGGAGAAAAGCTGTTGTGTCAAAGAAATGTCAAAGTTCTCCAATCAAAAACATATCAGTACCCTGAAGTTTATGAATTTTTGTAGTTAAACTTTTTCCAGTAGAACTTTTAAGAAATTCTTGCCAAAATTTCAAATTCCATAAACGAAATTCAAAAACATGCACATATATTTCACAGAAAAAGATTCATTATCATATTTTAGTAAAAGAATCATACCAAAAACATTAATTAGTCTATACAGTTCCAATATAAATGTGAATCCATACATTTAACAACTTGTAGTATATCTGATTGTACATGGCATGCAATATACATATATAGTTATATTACATTGGTGCCAGACATCAGTAATTAAATTAACATTATTCCATGTTTATACAATACAATTAGTAAATTTACTTATTACCTACCATGTAAAATATAGAATTTCCAGAACTAACTGTGAATACATTTCCAAAATACACAGTCTATCAACATTTGTGATTATGATTTATGTTTCTAGCAGTAAAAGATAACCTTGTATGTCAAAACAAAAATTGTGACAAACCAGTAGTGGAATTAGTCTAAGAGGTTGTCCAAGAAATCTAATTACAATAAAGAAGGGAAATTATTGACTCCAAAGGGAAACTACTCCACACCTTTAAATGTGATTATCTTGACAAAGTGCATTCTCTTTATGCAACAGCAAATGAATTTGAATTAAGGGGAAACAACTCATTTGATATACATTTACTTAGCCCTTTGGCCAAAAAAGGGTGCAGTCTTCTTTTTTATTAAATCAATAAAAAAATTATCATGTGTTGTTTTTTTAAAGGTAAAAAGAATAAAAACTAGACTTATTCTAGAGTTGCAGCATAATAAGAGAGAACTACATTTGTACATTAAAGACAGAAAATGTGTTACAAGATTATACAAGAAGCATGCAAAAAACTATAGTAAAATATTAGATATAATGAATGACTTTATGATTATATGCTTTTTTTACAAAATTACACACATATATGTAATGGAGCCATAGAATATTCTAGCCAGAATTATTATCTAAGCTCGTAAAAGTTTTCACAATGAAATCTGCCAACTCCTCTAGATGAATCAATGAATTATGGATGTTATGATATAATCAATGAATATAGCTGTGAAATTAACTCCTGCAGAATTATTCCGCAGTGTCAATATGGTCTTAAATGCAACATCTTAAATTATTGACATTGAGTATTTCATATGCTCACTGACAGTATAATGCATAACTATGTTGAACTGGGAGTAAGTACTCATTTACCCTATGGGTCAAATCTAAAGCTCAAAGTTGAAATTGCTTCTGTTATGGACAAGCTTTGTTAGAGTTGGCTTGAATGCTGGGAAATGCACTTTGGTATATTACAGACCCTAAGGGCCAGATCTCAAGTACAAAGTTGAAATTGTGAAATTGCTTGTGTGTGTATATAAATAATAAGAGAACGAAATATTTTGGTTGTAAAGCATCTCCATCAAGAAATGAGGAAGATAAATAAGCAGCTAGTTAGTCATTTTACAAGTTAGATGAAGAAAGAATTTGTTGACATTGTGTATAGAAAACATGCATAATTGTTATGTAATTATAATACCCTTCAACTAGTATTTGTTAAGTAAAGGTATATAACATGAGCTAGACAAGGAAAGAAATATAAAATATTAATGAATGAACTTAACGAAATATTGGATGGGTAAAAATCTGCCCAAATAATCTGCAATAGTTTACATGCCGTTTTGAATGGGTTGTATAAATAACAACTTATGTAGGGTATAAATAAAGAAATCTAATACTAGTATAAAATTTGCCGGTAAAAATCCATCCAAACAAGATATGTTTGTAAAACATGTATGCCCCCTATCAGCAGCCAATTAGTCACGTGATAAGGTTATTATGCATGACTTCTGACCCAGTGATCAAACAATTAATAAGGGTTATCAAGTATCTACTGGTCATGACCTTGACCTTTGACCCCTTGACCCAAAACTCAATAGGGGTCATCTGCTGGTCACGATCAATCATCATACAAAGTTTGAAGTTCCTAGGCCTAACCTTTTTTTTTAAATTGATCAGAAACTGTTTTTACCTACAAGGTCAATGTGACCTTTGACCCCTTGACCCCTAAATCAATAGGGGTCATCTGCTGGTCATGACCAATCACCATGCCAAGTTTGAAGTTCCTAGGCCTAAGGGTTCTTTTATTATTAATCGGAAACTGTTTTAACATACAAGGTCAATTTGACCTTGACCTTTGACCCCAAAATCAATAGGGGTCATCTGCTGGTCATGACCAATCACCATGCCAAGTTTGAAGTTCCTAGGCCGTATTCTTTAGTTATTGATCAGAAACCCTTTTTACTTACAAGGTTAATGTGACCTTGACCTTTGACCCCTTGATCCCAAAATCAATAGGGGTAATCTGCTGGTCATGACAAATCACCATACCAAGTTTGAAGTTCCTAGGCCTTAGCGTTCTCAAGTTATTGATCAGAAACCGTTTTTACTTACAAGGTCAATGTGACCTTGCCCTTTGACCCATTAGCCCCAAAATCAATAGGGGTCATCTGCTGGTCATGATCAATCACCATACCAAGTTTGAAGTTCCTAGGCCTAAGGGTTCTATAGTTATTGATCGGAAACCGTTTTTACCTACGAGGTCAATGTGACCTTGACCTTTGACCCCTTGACCCCAAAATCAATAGGGGTCATCTACTGATCATGACCAATCACCATATCAAGTTTGAAGTCCCTAGGCCTAAGGGTTCTTTCGTTATTGATCGGAAACCATTCTTACCTACAAGGTCAATGTGACCTTGACCTTTGACCCCTTAACCCCAAAATCAATAGGGGTCATCTGCTGGTCATAACCAATCACCATACCAAGTTTGAAGTTCCTTGGCCTAAGGGTTCTTTTGTTATTGATCGGAAACTGTTTTTACCCAAGAGGTCAATGTGACCTTGACCTTTGACCCCAAAATCAATAGGGTTCATCTACTGATCATGACCAATCACCATAGCAAGTTTGAAGTTCCTAGGCATTAAGGTTCTTTAGTTATTGATCGGAAACTGTTTTTGCTTACAAGGTCAATATGACCTTGACCTTTGACCCCTTGACCCCAAAATCAATAGGGGTCATCTACTGGTCATGACCAATCACCATACCAAGTTTGAAGTTCCTAGGCCTAAGGGTTCTTTAGTTATCACTCGGAAACCATTTGGTCTACGGACCGACGGACCGACAGACCGACGGACCGACAAGTGCAAAGCAATATACCCCCTTTTCTTCGAAATTAGGGCATAATTATCTAAGAAAATTTATATGCTTTGAATGAGTTGTAGCTAGCCAATAAACTAACATTACAATTCTTTTAAAGTTTACAACAAATTGTTTTGTTTTTACAGATTCTTTTTAATTATAAATTTTCTTTTCAGATTGTATAATTATACAGTATTAGAGGAAAGTTTAGAGCCTATATCTTAAATCAAAATAAAACTTCATAATAAAACATTTTTTTTTCCCCAAAGTAATTATATTTTTTTTTTTACAGATTTACAGTTTTGTAAGAAAAGTATGTTTGTTAGTCCACAGGGGGACGTCACATGCTAGGATGGAGAAAATAAATGTTTACCAGTTGTTTTTTTTTTTTGTTTTTTGTTTTTTTAATTTTCACTTTAAAAACCCTTTTTTAATGTGAATATATAAAGCATTTGAAATAACATGTTAAGCATTTTTTACAAATATTGGTAAAAATTGATATTCTCTTGAGACCTTCCCCTTGTCTTAAAAAGCTATTTAGGGGTGGTATTTTTTTATTCATATTTAAATGGATTTTTAAAGTTTAAAATATTTTATTCTCCATTCTAGCATGAGCCGTCCCTTTGTGGGTTACTCTGTCTTTCCACTAGTTATGTACATGTAATATTAGATTCAATCTAGGGTTAGCTTAACATAAAATAAACATTATAATGGAAGATTACCTTTACTGACTGTAAAAAAACAACAGAAAACAACATTCCTGAATTCATACACATGTACAAGGACAACACAAAACTAGACTAATTGCATATAAGATAATGAAATAAATCATAAAATATAACTAAAATTAAGAATCAATTTTCAATATTATGAATTTATATATTTTTACATTATATTTACATTATATAAAATGCTCACTATAATTCAAATGGAAAGTTTATGAAAATAGGCCAAAATGAAGAAAATAGGCCAAAATTAACATCATCATTAACCATGATGTGTTGTGATATGCTGTTCGACTTTATATATAAATTCTAAATTGTTTTTATATCTGCTATTATCTCTTTATATATTATACAGCATAATATGCCATGTTTAGACCATAACTAATACTTATATGCAATTACAGACCACATGGAAAACAAAACTGTGCAATATAATTATAGATTATTACATAATATTTATGTCAAACCAACATTCATGTTATATTTCTGGGACATAATTTTGTGCATTTCATTTATATATAAATCACACCTGTATATCATCTAGTCACCATTCATTGAGAACATTATTCTTTGGTCACCGTTATATAATCATATATTGTAAAGCAGCCTAAAAAACTAAACAATTCAAAATCAATCATAACTGGTCGCTATAAAATATTTTTTTAAAACCCTTTTTCCAGACACTTTTGTTTCAAAATTCCTCTTTCATAATGATTTCTAGAACAAATAATTTCCCTTTAGATAACAAGAACATTGATAATACAGAATTTTTTAAGTTCAAAAAGGGCCAGAATTCTGTCAAAATCCATGTTAAGAGTTATATGTCTTGGAAATGGACCACCTATTATCCTCTCAAATAAGTGTGTGAAGTTCCAACCAATTCCTTTCCATAGTTTTGGAGATACAAACTTGAATGCAAAAATTTAAAGTGTGACACATATGTTGACACCGACGTCAATGCCTAGGTGAGTACAAGGGCTCTGCCTAGTAGTTGAGCTAACGATGAAAGTATTTTAGTATATTTTGAATGGTGACAGGGATATACAAACAGTGCTACCATTAACGATGATGTGGAGCAAACGTCACACAGTATGCATGAATTACTTACATCACATGGAGTCTATAGATTTCAGAAGTATATTAAAGCTAATGCATATACAGGAATTCACACAATATGCATGTTTACTGTTATACTGAAAAAAGTCCTTCTTTTCCAAAATATGTAGTAAACTTCCCATATAAAAGTCAAGTCATATTCCATCAGTTAATAGCAACTTAATACTAATGTATATTCTTTCCATATTCACAAGTAATTATTCAAGCAACTATTCTTTCTAACTTTATAACAATATTGTTCATTGAATTAACAGTTTAACAATATTTTTTTATAGCTTACATTCAAAATTGTCAAAATTTAATCAAATGAAAATCATATAACAATCAATGTTACTAACATATAAAATGTTTTCTACGACCTGACATTTCCTCTTTTTCTTAATTTCGTTTCCATTGCTTTCATCAATAGAGGGCTAAAGCACCTTTTCCAGTGCATTAACATCTGCAGAAGCACGATGACACATTTGAAGCCCGAGCCTGCAGGGTAAGGTTTTAATTTCTCAATGAGCTCTTGCAGATGTTAAAAAGGTGTATCAGTGCTTTTCTTGCAAAAAATTATACATCCAAATTGGTCATTCCACATTTCATTATTTGTAAGTCATATGCTTGTTGGATGCTTTCTACATGGAAGTGCAACATTATTTGTTTACGTCATCTGACATTATGTTTTGATAATAAAAGTACAGGGGCTGTCATTACATTAAGCTATTTTAACATTATGCTCTGAGTCAGTCTTATTAAAAACCTTGCAACAATGGCACATGGTCATGAGAATCTATCCATTACAACATTTTTTTCTTCCATTAATGTATACTGTGTGCGCAGTTCTTATGCAAGAATTATTATCATTTCATTGATAAGTTTGACATGACATGTACAATAGAGTAGGAAGCCAGTAATCCAGACCCCCCCCCCCCCCCAAAATTAACTGCTCTTGTTTCATTATGCAGTCCCCCCCCCCCCCCCCCGCCAATTTCCTGCTCTTGTTTCATTATGCAGTCTTCTTTTATTGAGTGTTATTATTTCAGTTGTGTAAAATCTTAAAGTCTGTGCTAGGGTGTGTGAGAGATGTCGTACTTTTACTTTATCTCTAAGAACAGCCTCGATCAAACCAAGTCTAGAATTTCATACTATATTGTTGTTTTCATTAATTCTAAGGGATTATCCCTTTTCCAGGTTTTTTTTCTGTATAACAGCATTACAAGAAAAAAACAACTATACATAAAGATAAAATGCAAACAGTGTTATCATGCATTTTAATAAACTCAACTTTACATACAAAATGCATTTACAAGCAACAAACTATGCACAAAAATGCTACAGTCTTACAAGTGCCTGCATTTCAAAGAACTTTGAATGACATGCCTTATTTTTCAGTCAAATTGTCAAATCTTTATCTTAAAATAATATCAGTAAAAACTGTGTTACAGGGAACTGTTTTCACGTTTACAATTCAGATGGTATTTTCTTAAAATTAGAATACAACAACTATCCTTTCTGTAATTAACAGAACTAACAGTATGTCACCTTAGTGCAGTAATGGGTTAAGTCTTTCTTAATTTGATAGGAGTTAACTACTATTTTCTAATGAGACAGATTTTATATTCATACAACATTTATCACACGCTAACAGTGAACAAAACAAAATTTGACTAAGTATTTCTGTAGGAAGACCGCTGCTTTATACAACATGGGTGTTTATACTTTCTATGCTTTCCTTTATCATCGGGAGACAAACATTCTGGGATTTTATTACAAAATTTTACACTTTGTTAAATAGCTTTCAATAAAATGTTAAATACCTCTAAGTCATCTTTACTAATCACCTCCTCTTCTATCTGGAATTGTAAATCTTCTACTTTCCTGAAAAATAAATTTATACTATCATTTAAATATTCATTCCATATATTCAGTCTGACATGACTGGATCATGTTCACGGCAATCACTGAACATTATAGACCCTACAATATAATTCAATGCGAGACATGCAAGTTGCTGTCATTTTCTGTAGGTGTATTGAGTTCAGCTCAAGTCGGCGTCATGGATGTTGCACTTTTTCATTATCCCACATGCACAGACTCAAACCGATTATGCAATCCTTGTGTAATTTTGTTGTGATTAATGTTTCCAAGGATCACACTTTTTGCAGATTTGTTTTATATTATATTATCAAAGTTATGGTCATACTTCTTCTTTTTCTGGTGGAGAAATACCATAATTTCCCTCCACGAAAAAGAAGACATCTGATTCAGTAATGCATCAATATACAATATTTCAATAGAACATTTTATCAAAAATATGCTGTTAATTTTCTTTTATAACAGGATGTAAGGAGACATAAATTACCTTTTTTCATCATCTAGTTTTTCTGCAAGGTCATGTTTTTCACTCGCTAACTTCTGAATTTTAGCTTTCAGTTGTTGTATACTCTCCTCACTACCTTCCTGTAGTCTGTCCGTCTCTGCTCGCAACTGTGTCAGCTGATCTTGAGCTTCTTCTACCTGAGCTGCGGCCCTAGCAACCTCCGACCTCTCAAGGTCACGTTCCCTTAGCAACTGCTCTATATGCTCTTCTTTCTCTTTCAAAGCTTTCTGTATAAGACAGAAAGAATTCAAACCATAGAATATTGAAATGTTTGTTTATTAAATTAGTTTATATTAATTTTATTATCATTTCTCCAGGAGTCACTGGTTTTGTTTTTTTATTGTCTGAAATGCATATATCTGAAAGTGAAAATATACATTAATAAAAGTTATGATGATTAAAAGGCATTTTCCAACTCTGCTAATGGTCACTGTTTATAACTGGATTGTATAAGAAAATGCTACATTTGGGTCATACATGCCTAAATAAGGCAAATGACTTTTTCATGTCCAACTTAAGGCAAATCAATATTAATTAAACAAAAGTAATTCTATTGTATCTGACTAGTTGATAATTTAAATAATTGATTAAATAAGAGCAGTATTGGTATCTGTCTAATAATAGACTAAAGCACTAGCCATAAACCTTGCCACCATTATACATGTAATTACAAGAATCTCTACTTTGGGTTCATATAGGCTCAATCTTGTCACCTTTTGCTTCTAATAATAAACAGCAAGAATCAACATTATAGCCTGGACCAAACGAGAAAAATAATGGTCATATACATTATATGAAATGAGAATATCAACAAACAGGTCCCATTTTTGACTCTTTGTATGATGTTTGTTGATGTTTTTCAACAATTTTTTTTTTTGAAAAACTTTGCCTTGCCTCTTTAAACCCAAAGTACAGATTGTTTTTTGAACCAGCCATAAACAATTAGCCTTTAAAAAGCAAATAATAGATATTTCTGATTAAGATATATTTATTAAGATTTTATTCCTGAAAGTAAGGGTTTATATACTTTACTTCAATAACTACCCAGGTTGAAGTGAACAAAACCATCTTTTACATTAAAATCAAAATAATTTAATCCTCAAAACATGTAAAAATACCTCAACAATATAATCTACTGATTGAATATACCAGGTAATCTACTAATTCAATATCATAGTAACAAAAAATGGTCTTTATATAATTATATTTGTTAGAAGATAATATATATTGCACCAAGAGAAGACCCTGTAAATAACTGTTGTTGTTTATCAACTTTAATGGACAAAATTATCTGGTTTTCTTTCAACTATTATGAAAAAAAAACCTGTAAAAATTGGTTTTATTTCAATCTAAATGGTAAAAACCTTGTAAACAAGAATTTGTAACAGAGTTACCAACGTCCCCCGCCCCGGGAGTTTTATATGAAGCATAAAATTGTGCTATTTCAAAAAATTGAGGTATGGATCTCATGACATTCAGTCCATAATTATGATCAATGCTAGATCTGCAAATGTAACAATAAATTTGTTAAAAAAATAAAATGAAACACGGAATTTAAAAATCTATCATGTTAAGCGTTGACCTCTAAGTGTGACCTTGACCTTGGAGGTAGGGGAGCAGGTGTTGTGCATGACATAACGTCTTATTATTGAGACTATTTGTGCCAAGTATTATCAAAATCCCTTGAACTATAAAGAAGTTATAGATTGGACACAAAATATACCCTAAAACAGACTACGTAAATCTTTGACCTCTAAGTGTGACCTTGACCTTGGAGGTAGGGACACAGATGTTACGCATGACATTATCATCTAATCATTGTGACTATTTGTGCCAAGTACTTTCAAAATCCCTTAATCTATGAAGAAGTAATGGACGGGACAAAAAATATACCAAATAACAGACTCTGTTAACCTTTGACCTCTAAGTGTGACCTTGACCTTAAGAGGTAGGGGTGCAGGTGTTGTACCTGACATATCGGCTTATTAATGTGACTATTTGTGCCAAGTTATTCCAAAATCCCTTGAACTATGAAGAAGTTCTAGATTCAACACAAAATATACCCTATAACAGACTATGTTAATTTTTGACCTCTAAGTGTGACCTTGACCTTGGAGGTAGGGATGCAGGTGTTGAGCACGACACATCATCTTATTATAGTGACTATTTGTGCGAAGTATTTTCAAAATCCTTTGATCTATGAAAAAAGTATAGACCCGACACAAAATATACCCTGTAACAGACTATGTAAGTATTTGACCTCCAAGTCTGACCTTGACTTTGGAGGTAGGTGACTGGTTTTTGCGCATAACACATCATCTGATTATTGTGAACAATTATGGCAAGTATTTACAAAAGTCCTTCATAGATAAGAAAGTTATGGACCGGACACGACATATACCCTCAAATAGACAATGTTAACCTTGAATGTGCAAGTACGACCTTGACTCGAAGGTAGGGGTCTGGTTGTTGCACATGACAAATCCTCTTATTATAACAAACATTTGTGCCAAGTAATTTCAAATTCCTTTGATAAATGACAAAGTTATGGACCGGAAACGAAATATACCCTGTAACAGACTATGTTAATATTTGACCTCCAAGTGTGACCTTGACCTTGAAGGTAGGTGACTGGTTTTTGCGCATGACCCATTGTCTGATTATTGTGAACAATTATGGCAAGTATTTACAAAATCCCTTCTTAGATAAGAAAGTTATGGACCGGACACGACATATACCCTCAAATAGACAATGTTAACCTTGAATGAGCAAGTACAACCTTGACCCTGAAGGTACAGGTCTGGTTGTTGCGCATGACACATCGTCTTATTATAACAAACATTTGTGCCAAGTAATTTCAAATTCCTTTGATAAATGACAAAGTTATGGACCGGACACGAAAATTTAATATACCCTGTAACAGACTATGTTAATATTTGACCTCCAAGTGTGACCTTGACCTTGAAGGTAGGTGACTGGTTTTTGCGCATGACACATTGTCTGATTATTGTGAACAATTATGGCAAGTATTTACAAAATCCCTTCTTAGATAAGAAAGTTATGGACCGGACACGACATATACCCTCAAATAGACAATGTTAACCTTGAATGAGCAAGTACAACCTTGACCCTGAAGGTACAGGTCTGGTTGTTGCGCATGACACATCGTCTTATTATAACAAACATTTGTGCCAAGTAATTTCAAATTCCTTTGATAAATGACAAAGTTATGGACCGGACACGAAATATACCCTGTAACAGACTATGTTAATATTTGACCTCCAAGTGTGACCTTGACCTTAAAGGTAGGTGACTGGTTTTTGCGCATGACACATCGTCTGATTATTGTGAACAATTATGGCAAGTATTTACAAAATCCCTTCATAGATAAGAAAGTTATGGACCGGACACGACATATACCCTCAAATAGGCAATGTTGACCTTGAATGAGCAAGTGTGACCTTGACCCTGGAGGTAGGGGTCTGGTTGTTGCGCATGACACATCGTCTTATTATAATAAACATTTGTGCCAAGTTATTTCAAATTCCTTTCATAAATGACAAAGTTATGGACCGGACACAAAAGTGTGACGGACGGACGGACAGACGGACGGACAGACGGACGGACAGACGGACCGAGCCTATTTCTATATCCCCCTTTTTTCTTCAAAAAGGCGGGGGACAATAACTGGTTTTATTTTAACTATAATTGAAAAATCCCTGTAAAATATGGTTTAATTTCAACTATAATGGTAAAAACCCTTAAGTAACTGGTTTTATTTAAAAACCAAATAAAACTTTCAAGAATTTATACTGAAATCATTTGGACAATGTACATTGCATATAAATAAATAGCTAAGCTCTCTTTTTCTGTAATATCTCTTTTAACAATGCTCACAGAAGCCAATCATCCTTAATCACAGGGAAATGTGTCTTAAGGAAAATACTGAAGACAAACTGCCTCGATGCAATCAGTCTACTTTAACATTGCATTTTAACATTTTGAATAGACAAGTGACCATCATTGTCCCTAACTGGACGATATATACATGTATTACATTCATACCTCATTCAACAGTGACCAAAAAGATCTAGAGATCGAACAACTTTGCCAAATCAATTTTTTTTAAATACAGTCGAACTTCGTTCGCTCGAACTCGAAGGGCCTGTGCAAATTTGTTCGAGAGATCGGTAGTTCGAGCCAACCGAGGTCGAACATCATATGCCTAAAGGTTTATAGCATACATTGGTCGAATGATAAATACGTAAATATAATTGTTTGTTAGTACATTTGTTCGTCGAATATGTTACATTCAGAATTATTATCCAGTGTTTTCAATTAAGTATAAACGGTATTTTGTGTTAATCTATATTCATGCATCTTGTAATTGGTTGAGTTCGATTTGGCAATCAGACCAAACTTGTTGAACAATGTTCAAAATATATTTATATGTTTATAATGGGATTTTTTTAATTTTGAAAAATAAATTAATGAAATATTTAAGAAAAAGTTTTACAGCACCATTTATTTGTAGTCATTTACTTAAATAAACACACGTACAAGTATCATTCTATAAATACATAACACTATTACAATTCACGTTACATGAACTACAGTTGAAATTAAAGCCGTCCGGATAAGCGTCATTCTTTATTGACGTTAGCATATTTCACTTATTTCACAAGTTCTTTTCTTTTTATCGTTACCATAAACGGCAAATAAACAATATTATTGTAACAAACAAATTGGTTACAACAACTCTTATTTTGTATCAATTAACCTTAATTGCCTTTGTCATAATCACGAGGTGTTAAAAACATGTGTCACCGACTGTCATTTGTTTAGGACATGTCTACTCGTCTTTTTGTGTTCGACCGAAAAGGTGTGATTTTCACTATATATCTGCCGGTGGGACCAGAGATCAGGTTCGAGAGTTCGAGCGATCGGTGTTCGAGCTATCCGGGGTAGAACAATATATAATATATAGGAATTTTGCCGGGACTGGGCGATGAGTTCGAGCGAAGGGAGGTATTCGAGCGATCCGAGTTCGAGCGAACGAAGTTTAACTGTATTTTAAAAAATCTGGCTTAAAACCGAACACATTAAACTGACTTCAATGGAAAGCAAGACAAACAGATAAATATATTGAACCCTTTTGCCGGCAAGAAGAACACAAACTTACCTGGAGTGCAGATGTGGTAGCAGTGATATTGAGAGAGCTAGGTCGTTGGCCCGAACGTGCCCCAGGTGTCGGCTGTTAATACACCAAAGTTCACCATAAATACACAACTGGTTAGTAGAGTAGTACAAGACACAAAAACTACTGTGTGTAGAAAGAATACACTTGAATACAAAATGTGCACTAACTAATTACATATACTGAGTATAATGTGCACTAAACACAAAAACTCCTCAAAATGATCTTAAAACTGAAGTTTGTTAACTATCTGAGCATATACCTTATAACACCTCTATTTCCATGTTAAATGTGAAGTGATAATATTAAGTGGCAAACTGTTTTTGTCTTTTTTAATATGACAGTCCACAAAGGTACCTTTTATGGTTTATATTAAAACAGGATATGATACAATTAAGTTTTGGTTCTTTAAATCACTTTATATCACATGCAAACAATGTAAATCTTCAGAATTTTGATGAAATTGAGGTAAAACATAGCTTATTCAGAAGTGATGAATTTTCAAAATATCAATTTTGAGGTGTTTTTATATACATACTGTTAAAGGAAAGGAAAATCCCGAAGTTGTAAATCAATTTTGATTTGATTCAAAACTAACTTTGAGGAGTGCAGTCCACGACAAGTGTTTTTCAATTATAGTACATTCAATTTGCAGTAATGCTTTGTTATTTAATAAACTATCATAATGATTATATTCTGTCAATGATGTTTGTTTGTTCATTTATCTGATTTTTACACTGATTTTAACACAATTGATTATATCTCAACAGAGGCTTTCCTGGAATGAATAACTGACCAGAATTTGTCAATTTGTCAGTAAGTCACAGACTACCACATGGATCTGAGCAAGTAACCATTAGACATAATGTCCAAGATCCATTGTCATAAAGAAATTTCACCTTGTCTGAGGATTGAACCCATGACTGACCCCAGGATTATCAATTCATTGGTATCTGTTATACATGTACATTGATGTTTACTAATTAAGTATTTAACTATGTAAGTAATATACTAATGTTAATAATTTGGAAGTTATGTTTGGCTATGTTAATAAATCTACTATCACTAAACAATCTTCTATAATAACATAATAACCAAAACACATCCCTCTTTTAATGCATGTGAATGCCATCATGGATATTTCTAGAAACAAAAGCAACTAAACAAAATGGAAAATCAAACAAATTAATCATCTGAAATCATCAAACCTCTTAAGTGGGTAAAAGTAAACAATAATTTGCAATAAAACTAAAATTCTTTAAACTGCAAAGGAATTTTCATATTAAATAAAAAACATTAACTTCCTTCATGATAAGGCAATTATTTAACAATACCCTTTATAATCTTTTTCTATGTAAATTTTTTTATCATCTTAAATTACCTCCCTTTAATCTTTTTCAGAGTCTTTTTAACAAATTCTTACATTCTTGTGAAATATATTGTGAAATTTACAAGCTTCCATATAACTGCTTTCAACATAAGGCGTGATCAGCTGCTAACACAAATTTGGAGGGTGGGGTAAGATGCAAAATCAATATATCAAATCAGCTAATGTACTAATCAGGAACATATATTGATGAATATGTTGGAGAATTGTATGTATCATAAATATATATAACTGATAGATTAATAATTATGCAATATTATAAGTTTTTTTGTTGTTTTGATTTTTGATATATGAAGCTTTTTTAACTTCCAAATGAAAATTAATTAACTTCCGAATGAGAACTTAATATACAAGAGCTGTCAGAAGGACAGCGCGCTCGACTTTTTTAGTGCTTGCCTATAAAACAAAACTTTGACAGTTAAGGGCACACAAGACTTTAACTAGGAATTTCTAAGTACAAATCAAGAAACATTTTCACAGAGTTATCTTCTCTTGCTTACAGATAGGTCTCATGATGGCACATAAGAACTCCAACTTCCAAAGTAATATCTCAAATGGTTAAGTCAACAAGTGGACAAGAATGAAAATTTTAACTGAGTTTCTAAGTCAAAAAGGGCCATAATTCAAATAAAATCCTTAACAGAATTACCTTCTCCTGCCCATGTTTTGGGACCATGATGGTAAACAAGTATTCCAACTTTCAATTTAATATCTCAACCAGTTCAGTCAAAAAGTTGACTGGTACAAAAAAGTTAACCAAGATTCTAAGTCGATAAAAGGCCTTAATTTTTAAAACAAATCCCTGACAGAGTTACCTTCTCTTGCGTACAGATGGGGGTAATGATGTGAAATAGCATTAAAAGTTTCAAAGCAATATCTCAAAGGGTTAAGGCAATAAGTGGATTTTACCCATATTCAATGTATTTTCTAAGTCAAAAAGGGGCATAATTCTGTCAAAAACCTTGACAGAGTTATGTCCTCTTGTCTGTTGATGAAGGTCGTGATGGTAAACAAGTATGGTCAGTTTAAAAGCAATACCTCCAATGGTTTTGAAATAAAGTGAGGTGGTACAAAAAACTTAACCAAGCTCAATACACTTTCTAAGTCAAAAAAGGGCCATAATTCTGTCAAAAACCTTGACAGAGTTATGTACTCCTGTCTGTAGATGGAGGTTATGATGGTGAACAAGTATGGTAAGTTTCAAAGCCATACTTGTAATACTTCTGAAATAAAGTGGGGTGGTACGAAAAACTTAACCAAGGTGTGACGCCAACGCCGACGCCGACGCCAACGCCGACGCCGACGCCGGGGCGAGTAGGATAGCTCCCCTTTTCATAGAAAAGTCGAGCTAAAAATCAAAGAAATCTATCACTGTTAAACAAACTACATACAATAGCCCAATAATAAAACTAACAGTGTGTATAAGGGTAAGGGTATATCACCTGCCATTCAAGAAATATTATTATACATGTATATATACAAGGAAATAAATAAACATATCATATATTTATGAGGAAATAAATATACAATAAAAGCTGAAACTTTAAACAAAGATATACATAAAAATCTCAATTATGACATAAAAATATTGACTCTAAAAGTAAACATTTTCTTAAGTAAACTAATTTGACAGTCTGTATCATCTTATTTTTTAAATACCTGTTCTTGTTTTCTTTAACTAAAATTCTGTTGCTATATCACGGACGATTGTAATTCTTAAACAGTTACAATAATAATGTTCAAACATGAAAAAATGTTGTCAAAACTTTCATGCTATCTGAACCGAACCATTGTCATGCTTCCATTTCTTTTTTCTAACCACTCCTTAAAACCCTCCCAAAGCCAGTATTGATAATAATCTGCTAAGACCAACCAATCATAAAATGTCTATAATTAGAAGTCTATAAATAGACATAATATCTATATATAGATATCCAATCATTTCAAATGAAATTTCATTCTCAAATGCTTGCATAAATAAAACATTTAAAACTATACATAAGAAAACAAAATTCAACATTTTCTTAAATGACATCATACTTCTATCACTTGATTATATGTATACTTTAGAAGGATTATACTGAACTGATAAAATATATCTGAATAAAGATAAAGATATAAAGATATGTACATGGATAAAAAAAGAAATTAAACACAAACTCTTGGTTAACATAGTTTTCAAGCCAACCACATGCATGCAGTTTACTAATGCAGAATTTCAAAACTTAGGGAAGACACAAAAATTTGCATTATTTCTGGGTGTTTGAAACATATGCACAGTATCTGTCAAGTTCTTATGTTTTAAACAGTCCATGCCAGTTATAATCATGTCTTCAAAGTAGAAAATACTAATGTATTATGATACATATATAACAATCTTTATTTTAAAACAGCATTATAATTTGTTCCGATGAAATTTATTATTGAAAGGATCTTTTTTTTTCCAAAATGCTGTTTTTTTTTGTTTTTGTTTTTTTAAAAGAAGTGACTTTTTAAAAGATATTCATCAACAGTATATCAGATACCTGCACATGTTTCAGCAGTAATATACTGTGCATTCCAAATCTGGAAAATTTCATGGCTAAATCTGCTTAATATATTGCCGAGTGCTGCAGAGTCAATTTATTCACACATATAAACTCCTACTGATGCAAAGGAAAAGGAAAACTACACAGCAAAGGCACTCTTATCAATCCTGCCAGAAATTATTCCGTTTTAAAAATAATTGTTTTAAGCACAAGATAAGTAGGGATTTTAATGGCTAAGTTCAAATGTCAAACAGCATTTTCTTGATTTTGTGATAAAGATTTTGTCAATGGACAGAACCACTTTCAACTTGTACAAAAAACAAATCATAAGTGCAAGCACATTCATAAAACAAGGTGTAAGTTCTTTCTTAAAAAAAAGAAAATATTTGTACTACCTTAATTAATGAAACAACTGCCTTCATTGTTCAGATAAAAACACTGAAAAAAGGGATTTTTGTATGTATGATAACCTAACCACCTAACATAAATCAATGAAACTTAAGCAGGATTAAAAAGAACTAGCAGGATTAAAGAGAACAGTGCCTTTTGCAACAAAGGAGAAGCATTAAAACACAACAAACATGGAGTTATGATATTATTCTATTAATAGTGATAGATAATGATGAAATCTTGCAAAGCAGCAGTCAGAAAAGTGCACCATGCCTTTATATAGTAAGGAAAGCATTCCTCCAATAGTTGGCCATTATTTAAATACTGTCAGAAGACATATACTGGTGTAACATAGAAATATTATATTATACATTGTATAATAATATGTGAGTAAACAGTTATTGTTTTAGTCTAATATAAATTTTATGGACCCATTTCAATTATTTCTCTGTCCAAATTTGAAGAATACAATACTTCAATTATGAACATAAAGTCAATTTACTGGACAAACAAGTTTTTCCTAGGACTTTATGAAGCCAAGAGAGACTTGGACCAACAATTCCTAACTTTTTGGTAAATTACCAGGTCAAACCCCCACTATCCCGCACCACCCCCCTCTCAACTAATCCAGAAATTTTACGTCAGATCTTAAATCATTCATATGATTTTGTTTTATTTTTGTTTTGGAGAATCAATAATGTGCATAAAGTTATGCACAGTTATATCTAGAATCCATTTTCAAAAGGCCATTTCTTTCAGTATTTGACAGGAAACTATTAAAGTACAAAATAAAAGCACATTAAAAACTGATTACTTTAAACAGCTGCAATAATTTATTGACTTGAATGTTTGTATGGGATACATTACAAGTGGTTTCATACAGCTAAGAGTCATGTTTGTTTATTTACAGGTAAATGCTTTCCTCTCGATAGCATTTCAAACATTTATTGGCAAGTAAATACCTATCTCCACAAAAACAATCATATATCCAAGTAACATATCTCTAGATAATGCATGTTACGCAAATGTATCTAAAATATGTTGCATATCAAAATGCATTACTGCTTCAATTATAAACTACACATTCTTTCTTAAGTAAGTATTGCCCCTAGTTTTGGAAGGATGGCCTTCAGTGTCAATAGCTACAGTACATATTTCTTTTCATACTACATATTCATGTATGTATGCATTAAGCAAAGAAGCCATAAAATAGAAGCAACAATTTAAAATGATATAACACATATAATTCTAAAGCTAGAGGTTATAATTTACTATAGAAACACGAGATAAATATATTTTTTGGATTTATACATGGATTTAGCCTAAACGGAAGTAAAAATCAGCTCTTGCATTGATTAAGGTAGAGGGAAGACAACTTTCCATTTAAAAGCACATAATATTAAAGGGAAGCTACCCTTTCACCAATAAAGGCACAACTAAAAACATGCTACAAGGTGAAAATTATGAATATTTTTTTCAAATCACTTGCCAAAGTTTAGTTTACTAATTAGTTAGGTGATATGTTAATAGTGTATAAATGCTATGTTGATATTCATACAGGTTTTTAGTATCTTTGTTAATGTAAGCGTAACATGAGAGCACAATCTATTTGACCTGTTAATTTCAAATCATTGATTCCCTAATTCAAATACTAAACATAGAATTTACAGATTAAATAAAAAATTTACAAGTGCAATTAACAAAGCTGCTTATTATCGTTAGGTTCCAGGTGACGAGGGTTATTGCATATCTTTTAAGCAATTCTTCTTCAACATATGTGAATTAATATTTAGTTTTCACTTATCAATTATTTTGATAGCAGACTTTAAATCCACTAATACACCAGATCAGCTTCCAAAAATAATCTTGTAATGTATATATGTATATCCTCAGTTTTTAGTCTAAATTAAAAGTATCTCTAAAATGCTTCAAGCAGGTCCAATAGATAGTCAGTATTAATGAATGATTACTTTGTTAATAATGATTTTTCTTTCTATTAAACCAAAGGACTAAGCCTGAACCCAAAAAGATGAAATAAGGGGAGTTCACTCCATGCTCCCTAAACCAGAAGGGAGTTAACTATTGTGAACAAAAATCATAACTCTACGACCCTGCAGCTCTCCATAGTTTTAAGTTTTATAATGCTCTAGTTTCAAAAGTTGGTTATTATTTCACAACATCAATTAAACCTGTTAATCCTGTGAGTTTCTACATCTACTATTGTATATATGTAATGAAAATCTTAACTTGTGATGTGTTATATACAAACAATAAAACATGTTGCAAAATTAGCTAAGAAGCTTGCTTTAAGAAAAATATTTAAAGATTTGTAAATAAATATACAAAAAAAAAATATATATTGTACCATCTAAAAGAAAATAGCCATAGGATTTAAAGATTTATAGAGATTTATAATTTTTCACCAAAAAATAAATTACATCTAGCTGAATGTTACTCATCCATTGTTTTCTTTCATTTTTTTTTTAACTGAGTTAAAATGTCTACATTAAAATCAAATCATTACTTTAAATGTGTAAGACAAGCCTTTAGCAACAATCAGCAAATTTCTATTCAGGTACACATTCTGTTACTTAAATGGAAAATGCTGATTGTCACTGATATAGACCTCTTTGTCAAGAATGAATCTTATGTTACATTTGTTCTTGTCCTATCACAGGATTAACCGATCTGTCTGCCATCTGGCGAAAAAGAAAAAGAAAGATTGTTTTTGTAGCACCAGTAATTCTGCATGTACCTGGTTATTTCCGAGGCCTGACACTCCGAGCCTTACCCTCGGTCTTGATGCACTCGATGTTGCCGAACTCATCGAGCTCACCGATTCCTGGCTCCCACTGCGCTCCCTACTCAACCTCATACCAGCGCTTCCCACTGACCTTGACATCGAGTTTGGTGTTGAAGTCACAGACGTCTTTGTGACTTTGTGTACTGGCGCAAATAGCCCATATCGAGGACGGCAGTCAAAATACCTGTATATCCAAAAGGTATAGTCGTTAAAATGACAAGTAAATTTTAAATTAAACAGTTTTTCAAACTACATGTACATTATAACATACTATTTCTTGGTCATAAAACAACAATTTTCATTTTCATACTGACATTATTTCAAAATACTTTATCAAAGATATACTGAAAACAGATAAAACAGAAAGATTTATAAATCAATGAATAAATTTGTGTAAGTTAGGACAATGTTTTCAATACAGTGAAATACTGTTATCAACATATAAGTTCTCACCTTTTCCCTGCAACAGCTCCATCATTCTTCCCTACTGGATCATCTAATTCTACACCTGCCCATTCTCCCTTTGCAAAGTCTGCCGGACCTAGGTAACGTAAGGTTCCTTGTTTTGACCCACTTACTAATACCCTATCACCAATATTCAAGTTATGTTTTATACCCGCTGAACCAGAGGTCATCTCAGATTTCACTTTAGCTGGGGCATGACCTCGATTCAAACTAGTGTTTGAGCTTGAAAGAGATTTATTTACAGGTCTCGGTAAACTTGGAGTTGTTGGCCGCATCAGACGGCTTTCCCCGTGACTTGGGGTTGTCGGGCGGTGTGACATACTCGGGGTAGTAGGTCTTTTATTCACAGGTGTATTATCACCATTTACTGGCATCGCTACTTCTGATGTTGATCCATCCTCTGCTGACTTAACAGCTCCTGCTATTCCAGGAGTCCGACTTAATTTAGAAATTCTACAGAACACACCACGTTTGGGTTCACATTGAAAATATCTTACTCCATTCACTGACCCATCGTTTTTACCGATTGTTTCATCAAGCACAACTCCTGCCCAATCCCCTGGAGCAAATTGGGTCTCTCCGAGAAAAGCAATAAATCCAGGTTTAGAACCACTAACAAACACACGATCCCCGATTATAAAATCATCCACTGGTGGTGGTGGCGCTCCTAAATCTTCTTCACCTATGAAAGAGCAAAACACAAAATAAATATTGTCTTACTTTGATATAAAATTTCGACACTCTCAAAATAAATTTACGTAAATAAAAAAAGGAGAAAACATAATATGTAACATTTTAAGACAACATGCTATGCTATGCTATGTTAAAACAAATGCTTATTGACTATGTTACACAATGCTACAAATTCTTTCGATCACATGCATGCTCAAACACTTCGACATTTAATCATCTCATTCCAGATATACACAGAAGCTTAACATTAAACTGATGATAATAATAACTGCATGGTAAGTATAAACTCTTTATTTCCTGGTGTTAAAAGTAATTTTAACAACTTCTTTCCTGCAATGAAGAGCTTTAAATTGTTATCATGTAAAAATTATCCTTTTTAACACATTTTAGAGGAGTTACATAGGCCAAAGTATATAAAATATCAGTTTGTGGTGACATTTAAAAAGCAGGCTATACAATACAAGCCTTATTTCTATCTACTTAACAAATGACCGAATGCTTCACAGCCATTTGAAATGTCTGAGGTTAGAGTCATGGCAATGATAATAAATTATTATCCTTAAGACCAAACTTTTTGATCATTATCATTTCCTCTATATAATGTTAAGAGCCAGTTAACTTAAGCAATATTTCAATTTTCATTCCTATTATGGCATGTATTTATACTAATAAGTATCTCAGCAAGTAAAATGCCAACTTCTCCACAAATATAATATAACATGACACATGTTGGAGGGCAAATAGCATTTAGAGATGTCACATGCTAAATTCTGTTAAAGGTCCAATGGACTGTGGTTAAGACCCTATCCTATCTCAGCTTATCAAATCAGGTTTAACAGTATCAATGCTTTAAATTTAGTATTGTATGATAAAGAGTTAGAAAACTTATTCATCAAAGAAAAGCATTGCATTATCATACCTATTCAAAGAAGTACACTTATTACATGTATTTCTCTAGACATAATAATCTATATTCTAACATAAAGCTGTCTAGCTTCTTGTGTTGAGTTTGACATACAATTAAGTGCCAACAGAATATGGGAATCCACTTAAGCAAAGCACAGGAATTTTCTCTAAATTTATATCAAAGCATATAGCTCATTTAAACATATCACACAAACATAAACAAACCTTCTATAAACATTTTATGAAGGAAAAACATAAAAATTAATAATCATGTTTTTAGTTGCTTGGGTTTTACCTTCATGTATCTACATTGCAGTTTCCATCTCTTTACACAGGGATAATTAATAAAGATCAGATATTAACTAAAACTTACATTTTCTTCATGTCTTATAACAAATTAAAATACTTTTTAAAGCAAATTCAAATCATTCATGCAGCCTTAAAACAAACAGCTAGCTGACTAATATGTGGCTTATCTGACTGGAGAAACGTGCTTTATTTCATTAATACATTTAACACTACTGTGTGCAAAACAACTGATCAAACTTTTAACTTTTTCTTACATTGCTAGTTTTATTGGATCAAAGAAATAGCATATTTCTTATCAATTATAAAACTCAATCCTTGAAAAACATTTATCTGCCAATTTCTATGACTAGATCTACTTTATTTCAAGCACTAAACTGTATAGTGTCATTACTTTTATTCTGTTTTGATAAATCTACTTAGACTAGCAAATTCAAGGACACACTAAAGAATAAATATTTTTTAAATTAACTTTACAAAAAGAAATAAGGTTAGTTGACTTGCCTTTATACTATTATCATTAAAAACTGATCATAACAGTAAACATTATAAACCTATTATGAGCCTTACTTTTAAAATGTTTCTTTCTTTCTTTATAATTCATTAAACAGTTTCCCTAGCAACTCAAAGAAAGCTATAAGAAAACAAGAAAAGGCTATGACACTACCTGCCAGAGTCTGTGCGGCATCAGCAGCATATTTCTCAGCCACGCTGGTGTTCAAACCTGCAGCTCTTGCACTTTTGGCAATAGCACCTAGACACAACACAAAATTAATGCACACATAGCTCTATCAAATATGCAAGCAAGAATAGAAATGCAAACTGTACTATAACTGTAGAATAAGGTTTTGTTTAAAACCAGAGTATAAGTCTACAGAACATTCATAGTTGTTTTTTTCCCTTCCTTTTGCCTTAACCCTTAAGCTGCTAGAAATCAAGTGATATGCTTTAGCCAATGGCCATCAGTATAGAACCAGACAAGGTTTTGAGTTAAGATTCTGTTTTATCTACCCCTTTCTCCCATATTGTCACTCCTTTTTAAATGTTTGGTAAGAAACCATTCAATGAAAATATCCCTCCTTATTGTGAGGCTTACTTATGACCTAAATTGACAAATAAACTTAAAAAAAACTTTTCCCACCGGAATGTACAAACATTATTATGCTAGTTGTTTGTTTGTTTTGGGTTTTACGTCACATCGACACAGTATAGGTCATATCGCGACGTTCCAGCTTTACAGGTGCCCTTCCGTGCATTATTTCAGGCACGAACGGGCACCTGAGTAGAACCACCGACGTTCCGTAAGCTAGCTGGATAGCTTCCTCACATGAAAGAATCCAAAGTCCCTGTCGGGATTCGAACCCACAGCGGTAAGGGGCTAGTTAAATTGAGTGTTATGCAGAGTTATTTTAGATATTATAACAGTTTTGAATGAAAATAATTCTAGTACATAAACACTTATCTAAAACACAATAATTATAATGTTTTCAAATTAAAAGCCCGTTAATACCCCCAATGACTGAAAGTAACCAATCAAAAAAGTGCTTTCAAATTCATTCATAATGTTAACATTAAACAACATTAAATAACATTAAATATATTAAAGTGACATTATGCTCATATTTTCATTGTCAAGTTGAGCTAAATTGACTTTAGATTTCCAAATATTGACTGTTTTTATGGTGAGTGACCAACAGATTATATTAGAAAATGTTTAGGATAAAATCTAAAATCTGAAAAAAATAAATAACAAGAGGGCCATGATGGCCCTGAGGTCGCTCACCTGTATATAGGCCCCCCCCACCCCTGGGCCAATTTTTACCCAAGGGCTTTTATTTGTTTATTTGAACAGACTTGGTAGACACCCATAAGAAGATGTTTCATGCTAAACATCTAAGTTCTAGCTCATTGGCTTTTTTAAAAGAAGATTTTTAAAGTTTTTACTATACACATATAGTTAAAAACAATGACACCCCTGGGGCAGGGCCAGTTTTGACCCCCGGGCGTTTATTTTAACAAACTTTGTAGATATTTACTTAAAGATGTTTCATGCTTAATATCTAAACTCTAGCTATTTGGGTTTTTCCAAAGAAGATTTTTAAGTTTTTGCTATACACATATAAGGAAAATCAATGACCCCCCCCCCCCGGGCGGGGCCAGTTTTGACCCCAGGGCTTTTATTTGAACATACTTGGTAGACACCCATTAGAACATGTTTCATGCTAAATATCTTAGCTCTAGCTCTTTGAGTTCTTTAAAAGAAGATTTTTTAAGTTTTTACTATATGCATATAGGGAAAATCAATGACCCCCTGGGGCGGGGCCAATTTTGACCCCAAGGCTTTTATTTGAACAAACTTGGTAGATACTCATTAGAAGATGTTTCATGCTAAATATCTTAGCTCTATCTCTTTGGGTTCTTTAAAAGAAGATTTTTTAAGGTTTTTCTATATATATATATAGGGAAAATCTATGACCCCCTGGGACGGGGTCAATTTTGACCCCAAGGCTTTTATTTGAACAAACTTGGTAGACATTCACTAGAAGATGTTTCATGCCAAATATCTAAGCTCTAGCTCTTATGGTTCTTTAAAAGAAGATTTTTTAAGTTTTTACAATACGCATATAGGGAAAATCAATGACCCCCGGGGCGGGGCCAATTTTGACCCCAGGGCTTTAATTTGAACAAACTTGGTAGACACTCACTAGAAGATGTTTCATGCTTAATATCTTAGCTCTAGCTCTTTGTGTTCTTTAAAAGAAGATTTTTAAGTTTTTACTATATGCATATAGGGAAAATCAATGACCCCCTGGGGCGGGGCCAATTTTGACCCCAGGGCTTTTATTTGAACAAACTTGGTAGACATTCACTAGAAGATGTTTCATGCCAAATATCTAAGCTCTAGCTCTTACAGTTCTTTAAAAGAAGATTTTTTAAGTTTTTACTATATGCATATAGGGAAAATCAATGACCCCCAGGGGCGGGGCCAATTTTGACCCCAGGGCTTTTATTTGAACAAACTTGGTAGACACCCATTAGAACATGTTTCATGCTAAATATCTTAGCTCTAGCTCTTTGGGTTCTTTAAAAGAAGATTTTTTAAGTTTTTACTATAATTATGCATATAGGGAAAATCAATGACCCCCCCGGGCGGGGCCAATTTTGACCCCAGGGCTTTTATTTGAACAAACTTCGTAGACACTCACTAGAAGATGTTTCATGCCAAATATCTAAGCTCTAGCTCTTATGTTTTTTTTTAAAAGAAGATATTTAAAGTTTTTTCTTTTGGTTGCCATGGCAACCAGAGTTCTGCATGGAATTAAATTCTTTGAACAATTTTTAAAGGTGACCACCAAAGGAACATTCCTGTGAAGTTTGGATGAAATTGGTTCAGTGGTTTAAGAGGAGATGTCATTTAAAGCAAAAGTTTACGGACGGACGCCGGACGGACGCCGGACAAAAAGCGATCACAAAAGCTCACCCTGTCACTTTGTGACAGGTGAGCTAAAAAGACTGCCCCACTCTTTTTTTTAAATGAACATTACAGGTAAATTCTAAATGGTATTTACTGAAATTCCGTTTGAATCCGGTGGTTATTTATTGTTTATGCAAAGTAAATCATTAAATCAAAAGGAATTATGGCAAAATGAAAATTTATTTTGACTCTCACTTGTTCACTCACTATATACCTTTAGATGGACATAATGACACTTTAATACAAGGTCTTGTACCTGACAAACAAATCCTTTATCAGTAAAAGAAAACAAAAGAAATCAGTATTCTGTCATTATCAATCAATTAATAACACATTCCATCATCTTACCTTTTGCATTATATGAACTGTGCTATGAGAAATATCCAGAATAAAGACTAGAAACAAACTGCCTAATGTTTTATGAAGTATTAACAATAACTACAGAACAGAGTAAAAATGTTACTGGTAAAGTATATTCTATGCTCCATGTATACAGCTTTTTCTCTCTCTCTCTCTGAAGGGTTCATGTAAAATAGTTCTAGAGGGGCTGTAAAAAGTATCAACATAAACATTAATTGTTTAAAGATGTTCTCTATGTTGGTGAAAAAAACCTGATGTTTAGAAGTAGCTTTACCAAGATACCTGGACAAGAGATATTGTGTTGAACTAAGAATTTTGGTAATGACCTTGAAGTAAAAATAATGTTTTTCCCCCAAGATAATTATGCCAGACAAAAAAGTGCTGCAGAATATGTTATTTATATGGAAGTGTTACATCTATATATTCTTAAGAAATAAGAATGTAATTATCTCAGACAGATCAATAAAATGATTCATATTTGGTACAAGGGCTGGAAAAATGGTTTCTGCTTAGGACTCAAAACATTTGAGTTTAGTACTACGTAACCCTGAGTATACCCTTATGCTGGTAAAATATTGAACCAAACATTTGTTTCCTCAAATATCTATAACAATTTAGTTATTACTGAAGGAAAATATCTAATATAAAAAAAAAATTAAAGAAAAAAGGGCTCCAAAAACATAGTTAGAAGCACATGCAAATTAAGTTAATAATCTTAACCAAAAAACAATTCAAACTCAACACATGCAAACTGAAATTAAGAAAACAAGTTAACAGGATAACAATGACAGTAATATAATATTTTTGAAAGTACAGGCAACACTGGCAGTACAGAAAGCTCTTCTTAGCAGTAAGTCTTTCAAAAACTGTTCATGAAAAACATAGAAGAAGGACTTAGAGGCTTATAAAGTGTTATAGACAGAAAAATCTTTCAAGATATCTTTTTTTATGAATTAACCATTCACAAATTCTGTAAAAACATAACTTTTGGAGAGAGTTTTTTAATTGACATTCCTTTTAAACCTGACATAGTACAATATAAATTAATTACTATGGCATGAATTTGACTGGTTAGATGGAGATAACCGAGTTATGACAACTTAGAAAAGTAAACCAATCTAGAAATTCACTTAATTTTTCTATAGTTTTCAAAGACTAACATCTGAATTTTGCACAACAATAAAAAATTACTAACAGAATTTACAGAATTTGTGAATACTTGGACTAAAGGTCATATTAACCAAAGATTAGCAACCAGTCTGTTATCAGACTGTGTCTTTATATCAGCAGACTGGTCAACCATCTTAAGAGTTTTACAACCTTACAGTCCAAAATATAACAATTAAATTAAAATTCTAGCCAAACCACTAAAAACCCTTCAACAAAGTTCTTACCGTGTTTCAATGCATGAGCAGGACCTAGTAAGTGATAATCCGGGTGTAATAATTCATAGTTTATACGTACAGAACCATTTAAAACATCAGCCATATCTTATAACACTCTCAAAACTAATTTACATTGAAAAATCACCTTTTTTGATACTTAAATAGTACTAAGTACTGTTCAACCTTTCTGCTACAGCAAATAATATTGAAATACACACACAAAGCCTCGACTTTTCACTCAGTAAGATGCAAAAATAAAATATATCATCTACAAAATTCCATCATCTAATGATGAAAGCAGACGCACACAAAATAAACACCTTAACTACGATGAATATCTCTCAATATATCTGACTTGCAAAGTAACTTTAATATTATATTTCTGACAAGAATATGCAGAGCTGTTATTTCCGTTGAGCTTTTCAATATCACCTGAATATCACTTGAAAAAAAACTTTTCAGAAGATCTAATAACAGTTTCAACTCATAAATTATGCAATAATTTGATTAAAACAACTTTATATTAATACCACAATATGTCTACATTACAGAGATGCTTCCCTTATTTTCACAATTTCAGATATCACTACACTTGCAGTTATGAAACAATTTCATATGCATTGCAACATTTTCGAAATATTTCGCTAGTGAATATAAACACTGTGACTACACTGAAACGCAAAACCACAACCTTGACTGTTTAACACACTATGCATTTAAGACTTTGGAACAATTCTGATCTATAGGTCTGGAAATGTATCAATAAAGATGGAAGGTTTTTTTCCGCAGCCACTAGCTGTTTTATTACAATGAAGAAAAATCTATTGCGTCTTCCTGCAGTGTATTGACAACAGAGTTAGATATAGAAAGAAACCATGTGTTCCTTACATGTTACAGTATCTATCTCAGAAGTTTTCTAGTTTTGAGTACATTCTAAGCTTATTCACTTGGGACATTACTGGCTCTTATATTGATGCGCTTTTATTTGCTATTCCAATGTACAAAAAGTTCTTCAAATAGGTCAGGAGGGTACTTATGGCCTGATGAACCTATAAACCTATTATAAATACCTTATTATCACTATGACTATAATTAATTTCTTGAATTTCAAATAAAGGAAGCAATTTCTAACTTTATTGAAAGAATTGTAATTGTTTTCATGTCAACCCTTTGATTTAAGTGCAATTCTGTACAGATCTTAATTTCCCAATTCTGTGTTTTAACTGATTAAGATTTCATGAGATATTCCTACATTTGCTGAGAAATTCATTTCAAGCAGTAACATACATGGGATTCTAAAATATTGGTGCACAGCAAATGATACTGGCTTGTTTGATTGATAATGTTGGAATTTAATAGTGATATCAAAACATTGATAAATGTTATCAAAAGAGACATGTCATCAAATAAATACTATCAGTAGATGCATAATGAAGTATTTCCTTCCTTATTTTTCTGCCAGTTTACCTCTTTCTAAGAAATCAATACAAGATTTAACAAGTAATCTGCATATGAAGAACTTCAAAGTGCTAAAAACAACTTAATTACTGCATTAAATTGTATGCAATCACATTACAAACTCCTGTGGGTGATCACAGAGAAATAATGGCCTTAATTTTGATGCAGTGAAGTACCCTTCCCAATTATTCTGAGAGACAAGTACTTACTTTGTGCCCTGGACAATGAGCCAGGTTGCATTAACCCTGACTTCTGTGGGATACCTCCACTTGGTTTTGCTAATTTGGACCCTGAAGGGGCCTTTAGCCCGGAAGGTCTTGGTAAACTCATCTGGAAAAGAAAATGGTCACATAACTTTACTTCTTTATTCAACAATATCATTTTGAGCCATATCAGGCACTGAATTTTTCTGTGTAGTCTTAAAGTGACCCTGCAAAATATACTAATGATAATTAAAGATATTTCCTTAAAATTCTACCATACATATCTCTCAATAGGACAAGTGAACCATCCCCTATTTAAAGCTACAGTAATATGCCAATGAAGAAAGCAAGCAAACTTAAAAGAACTTTTATTTTATATGTAAATAAATTTCTGTTCAATAATTCATAAATTTTGTTAGCTATCTTTGGCAAAACTTTTAATTCCTTTTGACTGAAAAGTACAAATATAATAATACCCTGTCAGTCAAATTCAAGAACATGTTTTTTCTCTTAAGTCTGACCTGAGCTTTTTTTTCTTTTCTTTTTTTCAGTCTTCTATTTATTCAATTTACAGAACATAATTATATAAGTAAATATACTGTTGGCTATGCAAGTTTAGCGTTTTCATACTGAAATTCCTCTACCTACAAATGGACGGTAATAATTTCTAAATAAGGCAAGTCTATTGTGAGAATATAGCATGATAAAGGTTCGGCTACTGTTATTTACATTCTATAGGTATATAATTTAATATAAATTGTGTCCAAGTGTACTGAATTCTTTTAACAATATAGATTATTTCCTTTGCCAGCACATAAAACTTTTATTCATACACAGCTATCAGGAATAATGAGAGAATGCATTACTAGTCTAGACAGAGGAGGGTTTTTATCTAATTAATGTTGTGAAGCATTCCTCTAGCATTGAAATACTTATCAGTGGCACATCGCAATTTCCCTTGACCTTTCTGACATGTATATAATGTCCTTATAGTTGACAAAATTTTCTTATAGCTGACAAAATTGGGGCCAATCACTACAATAACTTGACTTTAACTTCTGAATTTAAGGAATCCTGGGGCTACTTGACCAGACTATACTATTTACTGCTTTAGTATTTTGAAAACAGAAATGGGATTATTCCTTAAACTAATTCTGGACTGTTCTGCCAGACCATGTCACAGGTGCTTCAACACCAAGCCTGCTGGCAGTGACTGAACCTACCCATGCAACCAGTGCAAACCTTGATCAACAGACACGTCCATGACATCTGATTACTTCTCTTTTCAGTGAAAACTTCTGAATGGCTACATTTAAATATGGCTATTATTCTACTTTACAATTTATGGAGATCACCTCAAGATCATCAAAAAACTTCTCAGCTAACAGGATTTTTTCAAATAAGAGCCAGGTGATAGGTCATAGTGTGCTTTCATAAAATATACTGCTATAAGAAGAATAAGCTATTGATGGATTGAGTACCATGATCATATTAAATCATTATATTTAAACAAATGGTAAGGGGATTCAGGACTCGAGCATTCATTTTTTTAATCATTCAGGACACAATCATTTATTTTCTGGACTCAGGCAGATTCCTAGATGAAGTTGATCAGCCTGCTATATTTTGCTTGTTTTAATTTTACTATTTTGGACCACACAAGGCATAAAAAATATCTTTACATATGTCGAGAAGCATTTAATCCATCTTTAACAGCACTTGCTAAACTATCAAAATAATGAACATTGCTCCACTAATATTTTCACATCATGAAAGAATGTCTGTCATACAGTATACAACATACCCCCAGCTCTATGACTCACTAGTGGTAACATACCTCTTCAAGGTGCAAGTTTCACAGTAAACAAATATCACAGTCAGCTTTTATCACATCCTGTTACCATGGCAACAAATCAACAAACTGTCATCTTGAGAACATTTTTCTTTCTTTTATTTCCTGAAGACAGAAAAAGAGGAAGTATATACTCAAGACTGAAAAAACTTTCAAGAAAGTAATGTTTATAATCAGTAACATCTTCGATAGTGCATTCAAACATTGTTAAGATCTGTGAAGACACACATCTGTGAAGATACATAATCCATGAATTATTATAGTTAACAGAACATCTAATTCAGACCTTATTTTGTGCACATGTGCCCATTAACTCAATCAGGCTGCTAATGTTTTTATTCCATGTCAAGCTGAATTTTGTATCTTCCAGAAGAAATTGTTTGTTTTGTTTGTTTGTTTGTTTGTTTCATTTTACGCCTATTCCCAACAGTATTTCAGTCATATAGGCGGGTAGTTTCCTAACATCGTTCCTGGATGTTTTGATGGTTACATCACTCGACACGTATAGGTCATATGACTTGACCTTCACTTTACGTGCGAATGACTAGTCCCTTCTGTCATTATTTCAGCACCACCGGGTACCTGAAAGAACCGCTCTAGTCTGGATAGCTCCTCACATGAAAGATCAAAGTCCTGTCGGATTCGAACCGACAAGTGAGGGGCAAGTGGTTGAAGCACTTGCACAGACCCCTCTGGAGAGTTACACCTGTACTAGCTACTTCTCGGCTAACTACAAATGTTCTCGGATTCGAACCCACGCAGAAGGTATGTTAGAGTCATTGACTCTACCTCACAGAGCGTTAGAATGTTTATTAGATTCAGTAAAGGCGTAAAAAAAGAGAGTCTAAGGATTTGATAATAGACTACTTACTGTATAATACATGTGTAAACAATATTCTTGAAATATCAGTTATTAAAAGCACTTTGAAATTTAATAACTGTTCAACAACCTTTATACCAGTAACTAAATTATATTTGAAACAGGTAACTATAATATACCTTACATTATAACATATGGTAACATCAAAAATATGACATTACATTTCAATGTAATTGTTTTGTTAAGTCCTTTACTTGTTTAATTATGTTAACAAAGTAATGTAAAACATGAAAGTGGCAACATATACATCCAAATACCACAAATAATATCATATAACAACTTCGCAAATTCAACTTTTTACAAAGCAATGTTGAAAAAAAAATTGCAAATGTTAAACCACTAATCTGAGGAAAAAATCACAAAGGAATTCAGAAAATCTGATGTGATGTAATGAGAACACTCAATAATACCTGTATAATTTAACGTTTTTTTAAATTGTTTATTTCCAGCACACAAATTTCCACACGAATTGAAAATGACAATTTTCAAGAATCAATATTTACAAACCGAGTGACTCACACAATTCCAATACTGAAATCACTTCCATTCCCAGCTAGCTTCCTATTTCCTGATGAACTTTTAAAGTGTTACATTGAATTTATTATACAAGCATGTCAATTAAAGGTGCACCGTCATATAAACAGATTATAAACATAATTACTACCTTTACCTCAAGGTTCAATCACTTTAATTTATCATGGATATTTTTATTTATGTGAAATATTTGTCTACTCATACTGTTGATATACTAAAATCATGGCTTAAAATATCCAGATAATCTTGTATCAAATTAGTCATACAATCTCACAGGGAAGTACTCAATAGCTTTTATAAAATCACAGTGAAAACATGTGTCACACATGATAAAAATTGTGAATCAATTCACAGCAGCAGTGTAAACTGTACAAAATCATATTGAGTGTTTATAATTGTTTGGGTTAAAATGCCAGATTTGTTTTCTTATTTAAGTCAACATTTCATAATGGGAAAGTTGACTACAGAGTTATTCTATATCATCAATCAACCAGCAGCTCCTTTAATTAAATTTTTTAATAATAATTCCACAATTAAATGCCAACTTCTTCACATACATCTAATCTAGCTCACTTGGATCCTACCAGCTGTCTGCTTAGCTCATAGCCTGACATGTTACCAGTAAAAATGTATATCTTACAAATATCTTACAAAACCTTTGAATGAGTCACACTGAACAAAAACAAACAAACATCAAACAAATTTTATGTACTTTAAGAAATAATCACTGTTGCAAAGTACAGTCTGTCGTTAATTTGAATTTTAGTTGCATCATGGCCTGCATATAAAAAACAAAAATATCCAATATAATTAACTACAATATAATTTACTACAGACAATTATCCAAAATAGACAATTCGATACCATATCACTTTTTAAAATATAAATATCAAAATTCTTAACATACCAGTATGAAAATTGCGCTACAACAATAAAATGCTTTGGTACACCAGTTTTACTCCCCAACCAAAAATACACTAGTTTATATTAGTCCACAAATATATGATAATATAATTAAATTATACTAAAAAGTAACTTTTTACCTATATTTGTGATGTCCTAGAATGATATATATGGTATGTTTATAAGATTGTATCAGTAACACAAGTCATTAACTCCCCAAACACAACTGTCACCCTGTACAATAGCTAGGGTGGATAATTAATGAATATAGACACAACATTAGACAACATATAGCAAGTATGTACAGTATGTTGCAGTGTAATGGGGAGATACCAGATGACTTAATTTAAATGACCTAAAAAAATAATCAATCATTACTACATGAAATGATGTGAATATTGGTAGAGCCAATGACTGGTCTTAGGGACTGAAGCTTCAAGATTTAAATGGCTCAAAAACATATTTATACATAAGAAATTGGTCTTTGTTTAGTGGACTTCTACCAAGATTGTTTAAATAAAAGCCAGCAATGACAGACAAAATGCTGTAGTTTTAGCTAATGATGGCAATATATAATATCTTACATATTATGATCTTTAGTTTCCGATCTTTAATACACTTACTTCCCTTGCAAAAAGTGGCAGCCATCTTGGAAGGCAATATTCCATAATAACTTAATTGAATCAAGATTTTTCTATTTTTAGCTTCTGTGACCTAGTTTTTGACCGGAGATGACCCATATTCAAACTTGACCTAGAAATCATCAAAACAACCTTCCTCATCAATTTCCAAGATATTTGAATCAAAACTGCAGCCAATAGTCTTAACAAGATATTTCTATTTTTAGCTCCTGTGACCTACTTTTTAACCCGAGATGACCCATATTTCAACTTGACCTGTATTTCATTGAGACAAACATTCTGACAAAGTTTGATTATGATCCAATCAACACCGTTGATCGCTAGAGTGTTAACAACCCAAATGTAGACAACGCATGATGACGGACATACCCCATCACTATATCTCACCTTCAGACCACCTTCAGGTCAGGTGAGCTAAAATTTACCAGTAAACAGCTGGATCAGGTCACTGGTAAATTATCAAACTCTTTGATAAATATGAAAAAAATATCATTTTAGCACCAATATGTAAAAGATTTTACATCCGTTATCATGAAGATGATAGAATTATTAGAGATTTTTTATCTAAATTCTTAGGCAATGACTCTAAAAATAGCAGCCAGGGGAAGTAATAATTGCTATGTAAAAATCATCTATATATTCTCAAGACCAGCAAGAGGCTTAACTTTTTCTCAGTGTCTAATATCATGAGTTTACCCTACAATATGAGTGTACAGATACTACATTAAATTAACTGCACTTATTTTGACAGGATTTATCTGTGACAGATAAAGTATAGTCTTTCTGTCTATTTGACATTTAAACTGCACTTGTAATCATTCATAAAATAATCTTTAATGTATTATCAAGATTAAAATGTCAAAGACAGCATTAGCATGTCAATGAACATAAAATACTGTAGTATTGACAATGTCAATTCTGACCTTCATTAGAATGACAGAAAGTTCAGAAAATGCATGCTTGAATACCCATATCATTTACAAAGTAAATATTATCTCTTGCAGACAGCCCAGTTAACACCCTTTCTTAATTAATCTATTGAAGATTTTTTCTTCAAGAAAAAAATCCAATTTAATATATTTTAATACTTTAAAATTTTAAACTGAACAAGACTCAACATTTACATCAAATCTGCAAGACAAGATTATGTTGCTTTTTCTTTTAACACCAGAAATAAAATATTTTATAAAAAAAAAACATTTAAAAAGAGGAACTAGTTTACCCAACTCACCTTTGAAAATTTTTGTAACAAAAAGAAATATTTTAGTTAAACTTCAGCATGTCCAAATTTTATCCAGCTGTGACCTGTGTTACATTCTTTTATATGATACATACAAGAATTTCACAAATATATGGTATGGTAATCCAAAGTCATCAGTATCAACTAAACAACAAACAACATTCCATTCAACATTAGTACCATGTCACACTTTCATTACCTGAGCCTCTTAAATTAAAATCTTACCATATCTTGAACACAGTCAACCAGAAGTATTCAAGTTATTTTATGTTTGAACCAGAACTCTTTATCAACTATATTACATAAAGTATTACACAAAGTTTCATTTCACACTTGAGTATCAAATTTATTATCAATTAAATGATCCATTTAAAGCCACAGATTCAATATAACCCATGTAATAAACCTACCTACTGTTTCCTTCATACTCAAGGGTCCTTTGATCAAACTTGTTTATACAGTTTTTACTTTATTGACATGTATATATAATTTAGGAATAGTGAAATTTAAAAGGTAAATAAACTCTATCAAATTTTCATGATATCTTGATCAATTTCAAAAAGAATTTCAATTATCAGACAGAATTTTTCTATTAAGCCAGTGTTGATCTAAAAATTTTGAAATTTAAATTTTGGCTTTAGATCTAACTTTTTTTTTTATCAACAATTCAAAATTAACTTGTATGCACATATGAAGTTTTGAATTAATTATTCAAAGAGATAGACTATCTACAGAACAGCACTTTTAAATGCATCATATTATAAAAATGTAGTAATTCTATTTCCAATAAATCTGAATGTAACTTTGAATATAGAAATCAACTGCAATTACACAATAAGATACAGACTATGGTCTTTGAACTTAAAGAATAATTATACTGACTTGCAAGTAAAACCATGAAACAAAT